TTGAGAAGAAGTTGAAAATGTGAAAAGTTTACAGACAGACAGACGGACAAACAGACGGACGGACAGACGGACGCCGGACAAAATGTGATCAGAAAAGCTCACTTGAGCCTTTGGCTCAGGTGAGCTAAAAATGGCATATGCCTATTTACGAGTCGTGTTCAGCTTTAAGTAAAAGACAAGATAGGGCAAGACCCCTATTTGTCCCCTGATTTTGGGTGTCTTTCAGAATGATTTTAGTTCAGTTTTTAACAGTTTATCTATAAATACCTGTTGTCATCCCTGCCACAAAATGAACATTGGTTCCAAGTTTTTAATTATACAGAGGTTACAGAAAGTTCAATTTTCGAATTTTGTCATTTTTGTGCAAATTTTCATCAATTTTACAGCACATTTTGTTTCAGAAAACATAGAGCACAAGCTTGTCTATCTATCAGATTTATATAATTTATAAACTAGTACCAAATGCAATTTCTTTGTAAAAATCTGATAGGCAAGCTTGTGCTCTATGTTTTCCGAAAAGAAAAGTATCTCAGATGATGAAATTCTACCAGAATTGAGGAAATTCAGGAAGATGTTCTACTTCTGCACCCTCTAGTGGCTTCCGTATTAGCTTTGAATCCATACTGGTGCTGGTTTTAATGCAAGCATCTATAGCACGCCAAATTCACAAAAATGAGATAAACCTAGTTTCACATTTGATAAACTAGGTTTATCGACTGTAAACTATAGTTTACAAACCGTAAACTATAGTTAACCATTCGTTAGGTATAGTTTTCATCTGAAAAACTATATTTAACGGTTGTTAACTATAGTTTACGAATGATAATCTAAGTTTATCTGTCTGTTATAAGCGTTAATAATAGATTTTGTTGATAAACATAGATTCACGTTTGTAAACTATAGTTTACAATCGTAAACTATAGTTCAGAGTTGTTAATCATAATTTCACAAATTGTGAAACTATATTTATCAGATCGTTAACTATAGTTAACGGTTTGTAAACTATAGTTTACAAATCGTGAAACTCTATTTATCAGATAATCTATGTTTTGCAATCGCAAATGATAGTTTTCGGTGTTAAGTATAGTTTATGGTTGTGAAACATAGATTATCGCATTAACTATAGTTTACAGATGTAAAATATGGATAAACGTTGTTAACTATAGTTTACAGTCCGTAAACTATAGTTTACAACCGATAAACCTAGTTTATCGATTGTGAAACTATGCTTTGCTCATTTTTGTGAATTTGGCGTGCCATAAGCATCATTTTATGGTTGTTAACTACAAACTATCACAATTTTACCAGTTTCTGATTTTTACATCAAATAAGGGGCCAGATTTGGCCGTTTCCCTACCTTGTCATTTACAATAACCTTTACCTTAGTACTACATGTATATCTAAGAAAAAAACAGAAGAAATTTGTGAAATATGACTTTTTATCTTTGTAACAAAAAAAAAAAAATACAAAAAACATTGGACGAATCCACTTGGTCTTTTAATGAAGAAATTTGTCCCTGAACAGATGACAAAACAAACGGGCTAAGTAAGATGTTTATGCCTTCTGTGTCATCACCATGCTTTTTACTTGCCCTTTCATCTAAAAAGAAGAAATGCCATATAAGATATTGAAGTTATGAAATATTGAGATAAAAACAAATAGTAACTCATACTACCTTACTTGTCATTTTTGAATGCTACTACTGTAAAACAGAGCCTAAGTTAAAAATAAGTATGGTTGAAGCAAAGGAATGAAATTGGCTAGTTTTCAGCCATCACAACCCCCTCATTCTCTTAAAAATTCTCCCTTTATTTACCATAATTTAGAAAATTTATCATATATAAAAATTTATCGTATTCCCATTTACATTCAACAAGACACAAGAACACAGAAAGTGACCAATGCAAAAAATAATATATATATATATATACACACACACAACTCTTTTTCCAGAATAACAGACATAAAAAATTATCTTAATTTATACTTCCTGATTATATTTCACCAATTGAATAATATTATAACTAAGAATAAACCTAAATTAATTTTAATCATCATCCTTTGGATAGAAAATTAGCCCATTTGTCTTCTCCCTGTTGCTTAGGGATGCAATATGCTTGGAGTTTGACTGAAATTTGTTCCATTGATAAGGAGATGTCAAAATTAATATCAGACAACTTAAAAGATGGTCGTAAATTTCCATTTTTATTGATATGTCAAATATCTAAGAAATTAACAGATAGTATCAAAAACTTTCAATAAGAAAAGTCAACTTGTTTATGCTCAGTTACATGAAGCTAAAAGTAGTACCTGATGATTTATATCAGCGTGATTTCTGTTCTGATGAATGGACATCTAGGAATTCCAGTATCTTGAGGGCGATGAAATCAAACGTTCACCCACACTCAATACTGTTCAATACAACGAGTAAAGACTTCATATATGTTAAATAAAGTCAAACAAAAGACAAACTTTGCATTACAATGTGCTTATTCAATTACATTTTAGAAAATATAAAATTTGAAAGCTTTATTTTTACAGGTTACTACACAAATACAACTGCAAAAGAATATGAATACAATGAGCACGAGGTTGCACCAAATATGTAAGCAAACGAAACAGTAGCGCACTGTCTAGCGCGGATCACCGTCTCGAAATCATTCTTACCAAACTTGTTGATCATATAATTATTTCATCCACGTAATGCTAGGCCATTCTCTCTTAGAAAATGAGCTGAAATTATCAAATTCATTCAATCCCGAAACAAAAACATTGTTATACATTTTTTTATTTTATCATTTATTGAGTTTACTAATTCATGAGACAATGAAAATATTTACAAATGACACGTGTGAAAACTCGATTCTAAAAACGTCTACAGTAGATCTTGATTTGATCACGGTTAATTAAGCAAAAATATTCGTCCTTCCACAATCGCTCAATTACTATAACACAATAGGTCCAGTCTTTTCTTCCATTTCTTTCAATGCAGATACAATCTATAAAATGCTTAAAATATTTTTTGTAAAAAGTTTCACAAGTCCGTTTGAAATAATGAAAGCATTAATCAGCTTTCCATCTTTGGCCTCCGACGCGGGTCTGCGACGTTCAATATGGTGCCGGGACGCGGCTGCGAGGTGGCGACAAACGATTTGTTCCCGGGGGTGGTGGCATTGGGTAGCTGTTTACAATAAACAACAATGTTGTCAAGAATTTAACATTCAAAAGACTCATTACATATACTTTAAAGCATTTAAAAAAAACATCTTATATTAATCATTCCTTTAAAATCACTTCATATTTTTACTTTTACCAAACTGAATTAAAAATGTTCACAGTTCTCACCTGCTTCTCCTAGGAGGATAGTAAGAGTCATAATATGGATCACTGAAAAAGATATTTGCTTTGTCAGCAGAGGCTAAATAAATTCAGATGACTTGTATTTAAATACTTAAAATTCAATCCATGTTAATATAATGTGAATTGTTAATTTTTGTACTTACTCTGGTCTTGGTCTCATTGGAGGAGGAGGGGGTGATCGACGCCCATAGTACTCTGGGGGTGGTCTGGCGTAGGGGTCCCTCTCTCTGTAGTATGGATCGCGGGGTGGGGGTGGGGGGAGAGGCCTCCTGTCGTAGGGTTCTGGGTAGGGTCTATATCTGTCATGGGGAGGTGGGGGAGGGAGGTACCTCTCCCTGTAGTAGGGGTCGTATGGGTCTCTGTATGGGTCCCTGTATGGGGGCTCTGGTCCTCTAGGCTTCCCTCGAGATCTAAATCAGGAATTGTTTAAATAAATACAATGTCTTTTATCATGATGAGGCAGAGCATACATTTTCATTAGAATTTATATTGATCTAGTTTGTGTATCAACCCTTAATAAATAATATTTAAGAAAAATTTGTTTTAAACAAGAGATGTTTGTAAAACACTTATGCCCCCCTCCCCCCAAATTGCAATTTTTTTGTAAGTCTAAGGGGCATAATTCTGTCAAAAATGGCACGATTGTACCCAAAACATAACTTGACCTAGATATTCATCTGATTAATCTGTATATTAAATTTCATCTCAGTATGTGCAACGGTTGCAAAGAAAATGAACGGAAACTGCAAATAATTGAATTTTTTTCAAACTCCAAGGGGCATAACTCTGTCAAAAATGGTGCGATCATACCCAAAACAGAACTTGGCCTAGATATTCATGTGATATATATGTATACCAAATTTGATTTCAGTATGTGCAAAGGTTATGAAGAAAATGAACGGAAACTAAATGGACCGACAGACAGACCGACCAACCGACAGACAGCAGCAAAGCAATATGCCCTTCCTATCTTCGAAGGGGGGCATAAAAATTACCTAATTATTATATGTTTCAATAGATATGTGCATCATAGAATTTGTAGTAAATCTTCACATAAACTTTGAGAAGGTTACAAAGTACACTTGAAACATATTACTTACGGTCCCTTTGGGCAATCTTTTGACCTAAATCAAAATAAAGAAATATATGTAGCAGATTTATAATTCATAGTCTGTTTTACAACAAATCCGAAACAAATACTTTTAAAGTTCTGATCAGAGAGTTCACTCACTGGGATAAAAAAAAAACCTTCATTCTATTGCAAAAATGTCCAAGTTAAAAGGCCATTTCTGTCAAATTTTGCACAAGGTATACTGAAATTGTGTGCATTTTGATAATTAATAATGTTTTTGTGGAAATGTTGCATGTATTTAAGAGCTTCATTCTCCATACAAACTTTTGACTGTATTGAACTGATTTGAGGAAGATTTATACAGAATTGGATGTTGGGGAAAAATGTGTATATCTAATTTGAGAGAATGACAAGCAATTCTAGGTAAAAAGCTTGTACTACTAGCATCTAAAAGGCTAGCCGTTACAAATTGAGCAGTTTAAAGAGAAAACTGACCAGTGCCCCTCCTTTCCACATCTGTAACACTCGCCTTTTCCTCCCATCCCAGGTTTTTGACGAACTTTGCTGTGAGACATCTGTGCACAAAAAACAAAACATTTCTCTATTATCTTATTGCTTTGATTCAAGTTGTGCAATTTTAACATAACATTTTAATTTTCATTCAGTATAAGTATAAAGATTTAATGATTAGTAACCTCCACTTTTAATTTGACGCCTTCAAAATCAGCACCATCCAGATTTGCTTGTGCCATTTTTGCTTCATTTGGATTTTCAAAGTGCTGGAAAAGTAAAATTACAATTCCTAAGATAAAACTTATCTCAATATATAGGACTGCTATAATGCTTTTTCTGACATAAATATATTTTAAAAGTGACAATAATTAACATATAAAAAATGTTATTTGATTGAACTCTGAGTCACATTTATTATATAAATCATGCAGTCAAATATGTAAAAAAAAAAAAAAAAACTAATACAACTTACAATAAAGCAGTAATTTCTGACAATGTCACATTCTATAACTTTTCCATATGCTTCAAACATTTTTTGTAGATCAGCTTTCCTGCAAGTTTCAGGTAAATTCCCAATGTATAGTTTTGTAGATATTGGAGGTGGCATTCTGATCTTTAAAAGAAAAAAACAAGTCAGAAACACAATTGTAATAAAGTTGAATCAATTATTGTTTAGTTTTGTGTGAATGCACGGGTGTTTAGTTTTGGTTTATCATTTTTGTTGACTATGTTTTGATGGTAGTGGGTTACCATAGACGGGTGTAGTGTGTAAGTTATTTTTAGCGTGAGGCGTGAGTATAAAAGTGACCGGTTAGGCCAGAGTGGTCAGATAAGGGAGCGGTAGCAACATCAGCCGGATGCCACGTTTGTAAGTATGTTCTTTTGTTTGGGTTTTTCTCTGTGTAAAGTTATTTTAGGGTTAGTTAAACGTATGATATTTTCAGTGCGTACCATGTAGTAAGGCGTGAGGAGTGTTTGGTAAATTTACTTGACGATGACCTATAAGAGACCTATACGTGGTGTGAAGTTACAGTATGGAGGGTCATTTAAGGACCTAAGACGTTCTTTCGAAGCCGGAGGGTGAGACCAGCGAGTCCGGGCCTCCAACTACCGTGGTGAATCGTTTATCGGGGCGGATCAGCACGTGGTGGCGGGAGTCCTTCAGCGTGACTAGTGTCGTGAATAGTGAATTTCAGTGAATTGTGTTTCTAAATAAAATTTGAGAAAGGAAATTCCAAAAACTATTATATTATAATACAGTTTATTTATTAAAGTGAACTTTTTCTAATTCTAAATAAGAACAGCTGATTGTTAATCTCTATATCTGATATTAGCTGCAATAATGTAGCCCTCTCCGATTTTTTTTTTTTTTTTGGGGAGAGGGCTACAACTCCTTAGGATCTCTCTAATGGCGCAGATGTGGCAGTGGATCACTACCGCACGGATTTCGGCTCAAATTATCAGTAAACGGCTATTTTATTATCATCTCTTACCTGGAATCCCAAAATGTAATTATGCAAAACATAAATCGATCCAAAAATATTCACAACGATCCATATATCGGTTATTTTCCGTGTGTGTCAACAGCTTAACTTGAATTTATCCGCCATGTTTACTGACCTTGATGGATTGTATTTTGGGACAGCCAATGAGAATTTAGGTTCTATAGGAGCGGATCTACTAGGAATTCCCTTATTTTAAGCATACGTATCGCTGTTTGCGCAAAAATAACACTTGAAATGGTTTTATTTATCGATGTTTTTGTGATATATTATAGCACAATCGTTTATAAACATCGACATTTGCTTTATTTAGTTGTTCCAAATTTCAAGCGAAAGTCTTACTACGTCACGCGTGAACTGTCATGGCTGCTGAATATTGCAGCTGGGAAAGACACAGATTTATTTTACATGGTTTTCGAGTTTAACAGGCTATGTTGTTGACAGTGAATAAAAATTCCGTCTTATAAGAAGTAAGTTTAATGTAAAAATAATTTATTTTGCCTTCAATCGCCCGTATCAAAAAAATACATTTGCACCATTACGGAGATGCGATGGAATTGTAGCCCTCTCCAGAAAATATCAGGTTAAAAAAAATCGGAGAGGGCTACATTATTGCAGCTATATCTGATATGTGAATTGAACAAAAAAGACTGTTGATTTAAAGTTAATTATACTGTATCAGATATTTGTTAAACTTATTTCTGTTTCATTTTATTTCTTGTTTGAGTGTGGTGTGAAAGGAGGGAGAGAGAATATTATCATTCTTTTTTTTTTTTTTGTTATTTTCTTAAATAATTTTTTTTTGTTAAGTTTACAATTTGTTCTTTTGTCTCAGCCATACAAAATTCCAAAGAACTCATTACAACAATTGATAGTAATAGCCTGATAGGTGCGACAACGAAGGAGGGAATTTTTCTTTTTCAATTAAAACACAGAAACGTTGCACATGTAATTTGTCAATTATTTGAATGACTCTGCACAACAAATCCTTTGTCAAATTTTGACCAGATTTGGAACAGACCGTCATTTTTTATTAGTCAAAAATATATGATTGGTTACCAGGAGGATAGATTGAAACACGACTGATAAGTGCAAAAACTTCCAAGAAGGCAGGATTTTTTTTTAAGTTAAAACACAGAAATGTTGCACTTGTTTTACGTGTGTGACGGTTCTGTTAAATATTTGAACGACACTGCGCAACAAATTCCGCTTTGAATTTCAAATTTTTTGGTTGAGAGCAAGGATAAATATCTTCCCTGCAAGTTTGAATTATGCAGCATTCCACGCCGTTCCAGAGAACTGATCAAAATGAAATTTCTCTCCCATTTGGTGGGTATAAGAACTGACTCCGGTATGGGCGACTCACCACCGAACGGGGTTTAAATGACCGTTTGACCGTGTGTGCCCATCCTGATCTATGCTTCAGTAGCTTTTAGTCCCATACACAGCTTGCCACAACTTAGATAGAATGTTCTATCGTTAAAATGATATTGTCCTACGGACCCGGTTTAACAATAGAATTCGTTCCGTGTATTCGTAATGTAGCAGAAAGAAACACGGGCGATAACTCGCATAGTGCATTTACTAGGAACAATCTAGAGAGTTCCGAATGTAAACATTGCAGGTAATTTGAATCTAGAGAAAAACGTTGAGAAAATTAATTGGATTTTCGTATTTATATGGATTATTTTTTGGGATAAAAGGCATAAGCAATCTCAAGAAGGTTTGTTTTGATTATTTTGGTAGTTATTCCCAGTGCAAATCATTTTATATTCTTCAAAATCGTTTCGGAGCGGATCCGCTCCGATTTGCTACATTGTAAGTATAAGGGACGTATTCTAACTGTGGTGAGGGCCTGTACCGAGACACAGTTAGATTATTCTAACTAGCCACAACTCAATTTCTTTTAATTTCACCACCCCTATACTTTGTGTATTTTATTATAGTTGGGTCCCACGGTGAAGGTCGAATTTAAAGAAGGCAAATACAAAGTCGTTGTGATCCCCGCAGAATCATGGCGGCCATATCAAAGGGTTTGTACAAAGCGAAAGTACCAGATACAATCCACCCCATAGATAGATTCTTTATTAGGAACTTAACTTTAGATAAATAAACGATTCATATCGCTCCAATCTGCAAAAGATGCCACAACTTCCTTTGTAAGTAGGCCTAGGCCTAATAAATTTTTTTTTCTATGTAAAGTTCATCAGACGATGTACAACATTGATTTTGTTAAACTCATAGCTTTTGAACAACCGTACAAAAAACTTGCAATATAAAGGACAAGAAACAATTTACCTATTTATCTGCAACAGTTCAAATCTTTTTTGGATAATATTGAGCTGAAGAAAAATCTGGATCACGCGTTGACTGGAAATGAAAACGAGGCAAAATTTCCTTATTAACTCGTACAATAATTCCTGAAAATAATCAAGGTACTAAAAATACTGAAAAATCTGTTTGCATTCTCCAATGAATTTGCGGCTTACAACAATGAAATTCTTTGTCAAGCGCGATGTTAAAAAAGAACTGTAAAGTTTGTTCAATGTAAAGTAAAAGAAATACAAATTTTAAAATGCTTCCAATCATTAGCAATTTTTTTGCATTGATTCAAAATTGAGGGCATCCTTTTGATTTTGTTAGATATAGATACTCTTATACATTATTTATTCAAAGATTTTAATAAGTTCACTTGCTTTTTAAAACTTAATTTGAGCCCTAGCCTCTATTATTTTAACACTACAATGTTGTAATGAACTGAAGATTAAAAGATGACCTTTTTGGTGGGGAAGGTATAATGTTCCTTGTTACATGTACAGCCACACACAAAACCGAGCAACCCGTTTTACACATGAAAAACTAGATTACAATAGGCCGAAGACAACCTCAGACTGGCCTTTCCTGTGTTAGAGATTGACTATGATGGACTAACTTATAGATCGATTGATTATATGTTGTTTTACTTCCCATTTGAGAATATTTCACTCATATAGAGACATCACCATATATATACTGATGAAGGGCTTCAAATTTTGACCTTTACTCGAGACTTATGCCATTCAGCAGTTAGGGATCTTTATTGTGCCAATGTCTACTGTGACATGGGGTTTTTTTTTTTTTTGCTTGTCAACTTTTTCAGGTAAAAAAAAAATTTCTGGCTCCCCACCCCCCACTTTCAAAAACGATGCTATGTCACCGACATGAATTCGTGGGTCTCTACATACCTTGAAATCAACAAAAATAAATTTGCAATTTCCAGACCTGCCAAGTGACCCACATTCAGTGGGTCACACCCACAAAACTGACCTCTCACCCCCCACTCGTAATGACCCGCGGCGTGTCATTGTTTTCACCCGCAAAATCGATCATTCCCATTTTTTGACCCCTTTGTCCCCACAAGAAAGATCTGAAATTCATCCTAAAATTTTCCGATTTGTGTTTTATAAATTGGGATATGAATATCAGACTTGTTTATTCAATGCACACAGATTAGTATTTTTGTTTATGCCAAGGTGTTAATTAGGGCCTAGCCACAGGAAATCACTGCTCGCTTGAACGCACACATTGACACAGCTGTACAGGTAACATGCCTGGAGCAGTTAGGGGATTATACGTATCCATTTGAACGGGTATATGCATGGTGAACCACATAGATTTTTGCGCGCTACGACCCAACATTTCAATTCTGAATGTTGGGGCATGACCCCCCACAGCATCAATTTTGGTTGGCAGGTCCGAGTATCATGAGTGTGAATCGCACTGTGACAGTGAAGACAGATGATAACCAATAAAACCGAGGCCCTGTGTAGCAGTAGGTGCTAGCACAAAAAAGATCTCTCATAGTCAAAGGGCCTCACTTGTCAAGTACAGGTCTAAATTTACAGCTGTTCACCAGCAAGTGTTGTGTCTTAATATGAGTGAATTTTCAAAGGGATTTTTAACAACTTATCATAACACAATATGCTACATGGATCAAAGGGCATTGTTTTACAGCAGATTAAGGTCTTGTTTAATGTGGATAAACCTGAACACTTGAATCACAATCATAAACCTTCATTGGATTACTCTTGAAATATACCCATACAAGTAGAAAAAAACACCCATTTTCTCCAATACTTTATTCAGTAAAACACAAATTTGTAGCTACACAGCTATTAATTAACAGGAATTTATTTTGAAAATTTCATAATTTGCATTTGGACTTCTTACTGGAATATAAATGTACGGTACCAAGTAGCACTGAAAATCATAAATCTTATCACAAAGATGAAATATACCAGTAATTAAGAAAACATTTGGTCGATTTTGAATTCTGGAAGCTTTTTTTAAATCTCTCAATTATTAAACCCACCACCATTTGTAATTTTGAAGTTTTTACCCATATTAAAGACCAATATTTACCTTAGGAATAGCACTGACATTCTAAGTATACAGGAGCTACAAGCAAACACTAAAAGCAAATTCTGTCATATTGTGTTCTAATACATGTTTATATATAGAGAGGAAAGTTGCAAAACAAAAACCGCCACAATTGATACTTTTAAACACAAATAGAGTCAACTGATGGTTACAGTGTGTGAGTACACTTTCTGTTTATCCCAGATCTGAGGAAATAATGGCCACTCCTCTCTCGTAGAAGCTGTGGTCTTTGCCGGACCCCTCACCCTCCGTGTCAAAGTCCAGGGTGAACAACAGATGGGAGCGAGTTGCATTCAGGTACACTGGAAGAGTTACCTTTCCTGCAGTTATGGCATTGTCATCCATTCTGAAATCATAAAAGTTTTATTATAGGATAACTAAAGTCTTCACAGCATGTTTTCTTATTTCAAAAAAGCAACACTGCAAATCACAAAGCTAGGAAATACCAAAGTATGGTAATAAAATTTTTTATATTGTATACTGTAGATCACTTAATTTTCGCGACACCTTATTTTCGCGAGATAGTCATTGACTCTTAATTAGCGAGACAATATTTTCACGAATCGTGTCCATTGCTCTATATAATCTTAAGGAATTCTATTATATGCTAGAATGAAATTTTCTCGAGCTTACTGTCTCATGTAATTACGCGAAAATAAAGTTCTCTCGAATAAAAGGTGATTTACAGTAATTTGTAAAATATTTGTCTATACAAGTTGATGCTTTCTAAGCCTTTATTACAAGGGTATGACAAGTTTCATTTTCTAATCACTGCTGCAAAGTAGCGGAGGCAATCAACAACAGAATCACAAACACTACAGAAACTTTACCTGGTATATACACTGAGAGAATGAAAGAAGAAAAGAGCATGACAAAATACTAGTAATTACAGTCCCTAAAATTCCTAATTAAGTCAGGATGCTGGTACAGCTTACAAATAACTACTTGGCACTAAGCTATAACAACTGTGAACTCATTATAACTGATATACAACTGACCTGATCCATCTCAACAGAGTGACTGGCAGCTCAGTGGAGATTGTGGTACTCAGCTGTAGCTTGTTCTTCTTACAGATGGCTCCTTGAAGCTTCAGACCTACAACAAAGGAATATGGCAAAACATTTTAGTGGCACAGGCAGAAATGCATTTTTTGTTTGCTATGACCAAAAACCTACATGCACATTACCCTGGTAAATACTTATATCTATGAGGCTTCTCTGCTTGTCTTAAAACTTTTTTGTATACAATTTCAAATTTTCAGCAAAAAATTTTTGATCACCTATACTTCTCTCAAGACATTGACCCAATGTACTATAAATTTTGGATTTTTTTTTCAGAAGAAATGCAACATGATTTTATTGATGACACTTGACCAAAAGTGTATTGCAAAGCTCTAGCCATTGATTACACCTTCATGTAAGATGTTTTTGATTCTGTGTTCTAGGTAACGAAAAGTTGCAACATGTACATGTATTTGTAACACTGTACATTCTATGCGTATCTGTGATGACATACATGTTCACATGTTTTTGTTTTCTCTAGAAAAGAGAACATTTCAACATACCCTTAACACTAAAACTGCAAGCATCCATTGATTCGCCAGCATTATCCAAAACTTTCACCTGCAAGAAAGATTCGACTCATAATACATGTACAATGTACATACATTTAAAACACCTTACTGATTAAGTTGTTGGTACTTGTAATTGAAAATAATGTTTTTGGAAATCCAGTTATTTATAGTAACTTACATCCAGGTAGAGCTCCTCCAAGGACCAGCTGTTGGCCTGGGCGACATACTGCCTAGTGGCTGTGATGTAGGCCTCAGGAATAAACAGGCCTCCCAACCATACACTGAAATTCTGCAACAACAAAGAATGAGCTATCACACTCTAGAATGTAGAAGAGAGTAAAGTAATCTTCATTTTTTAACATTTTCAAACTTCATAGCACCAATGTAATGAAGAATAAAATTCTCTGATTTAACTGAACTCACCTTGAGTTCCTTGGTGCCTCCCTGCTGGGTGGTCTGAACTATTGCCTGTAGCTGTTTCACTCTCAGAGAGAAGTCTGTTATCCACTGGATCACAGTAATACCCTGAGGCACTGTGTATCTCCTCCAGGACAAAGGTATTATACCTACAGAGGAAGAAATTGTCCATAATTTTAAATATTCCTGTCCTGAATCATAAGGGTGCATTTCTTTTTCGTTATATGTGCAAGCTTGAATGACAGTATTCATACAAAAGAATTACAATTGTAACTTTCAAAACATGTCGAAATTACTGTACAAAAAGACTGTTTTTTCCTTACCTCTGGAAAGATCTGCCATCATAGAACGATGATGGTTAGTTGGTTTCTTGTCTCCCTGGCAGATCAGCATGACATCTTGTAAGTCCTGACGGATGTCATGTAACAGCTTGGCTCCAAGATTTACTTCACGTTCAAAGAAACGGAACAGAGGATCTTTAATATTGTCTGCTGTTCTTTTTAATGCTCCAACAGCCTGTAATAGGAAAGTGGAATGTCAAATTAAATGTAGAATGTAACAGATTTTTCTGTTAGAAACCGAAATAAATGAGTACATGTATGTTTCCACCCACATAATGATGATACTAATTACTAAATAAAATTAAAAGGAAATCTAACTTTTTGAAAACCATATCCACCAAAATAAAAGTAAATAAATCATAAAAAAAACCTAGAGGCCCGTAGGATACACTGCTCAGCCAAGTTAGCATCTCTTCAGGACAGAGAATTATGTATGTGTAAAATGCATCCCCATTTTAGCCTAAATAGCCATAATTTGTGAGAAAATTTAATCTCAATTTTTCTCTGGCTCTTTGTTTCTGAAAAGATTTTAAAATGACATCACCCTTTTCCCACATTTCCTAAATATCTCTCTTTAAAAAAAAAGGGCTCATCCATTTCAAAATCAACCCCTCTAATTGCAGAACTGTAGCCTTCTGGAAGAGAAAAATCAGACAGATTCACCACTGCATGTCCTATTTTCCTATCCAAGAGAGAGCTACAGTTCTGCAGCTAGAACCTACTTCACCCAACTTCATGTCCAACAATGTTTTATTCGTTGCATGTTTGGTTGAAGAGTAGGATGGAATCGGAACAAGTTTACATTACAGACACACATGTACAAACGCCAGACCTTCAATGATCAGAGAAGCTCAACTTGAGCAAGTACAGCTGAATATAACTTAAAAAAATTACCCCTCTATTAAACGATCATAAATTGGAGATTGTGCATGAATAGTTTTATATAGACATGTACTAGGTGCTGATGATCTGACTGATACCAGCTTCTAAAGGGTAGGTATTTTCAGTACGATATTCAAGGAGGTTTTCAGTTGCCTTTTTGCAATTTTTTTTTATTGCAGCTTAAGCACGTGCAGAAGAAACAAAAATCTTTGGAATAAATGGAGAATTCTGACTGGTGTTGGCAGGGCATATTAATTGACCACACTTACCAAGTCCAATGAATCCTGTGATAATACAGTGTATATGATTTAGTAGCAATGTGTATAGAGGCATGTCAATGAGCATGAATATAATGAATGAAGAAAAAATTCTATGTAGTCATATATAACAGATTGTGATCATAACTATAAATAGAATTCATATCTTTTGGAATTTGTTCTTCTGCCTGTTTTACATGCATATATTTCATCACTCTTAAAATAATGACAAAATGAAGTACTAATTTATATATTCTCATCAGCATAATAGCTAATTTATAAGCATTACCACTGCATGTCCTATTTTCATATGACTGTTATAATTTGTAGCAAAGATTAAACACTGAGATGCAGGAAAACAAAGGTGAATGAAATGGTAATATTTTTAAGTTTTGGATAAAAATAATTTAGACATCAAACCTTTCCTTCCTTAAATATAGAAATCTGCAAGATTTGACAATTATATTCAGGTTGTACATGTGCATGGTTTTAGAAATTATCTCTTGTAATCCGTCAGTTTTAAATTTACTGTATTAGACTGTACTCTACTTTACTATACAACTACTGTACACTACAGACAGTTAATACCTTGGGAATCAGTGACATCCAGGTAGACACAGATGTGTGGAGAGTCCTCATCCAAGCAGGACGGCCATCAGCCAGTCGCTTCTCCTCGTCTTCGGGGGTGGCACCATAGGCCAAATCATCATCTTCCTCAATCAACTGCATCTTCATTAACTTGGCAATCAGCTTAGATCCTGTAAGTACATGTAAATGTATTAATTGTGTTTGACAACATTTCTCTGCCTTTAACATGATACCCTGGCATACTGAATGGCTTACTAATCAAGCAACCTACCAATCAATCAAAATAAATTATCTAGATCTTTGTTTTTGCTATTTTGTTAAAAGTGGAAAGACTGCACACCTAGGTTTGACCTGAGCACTTTCTCAGCATTGTTTGGGAGAACTACCTAGGTTTGACCTGAGCACTTTCTTGGCATTGTTTGGGAGACCTACCTACGTTTGACCTGAGTACTTTCTCAGCATTGTTTGGGATACCTTCCTAGGTTTGACCTGAGTACGTTCTCAGCTTTGTTTGGGAGATCTACCTAGGTTTGACCTGAGTACTTTCTCAGCATTGTTTGGGAGACCTATCTAAGTTTGACCTGAGCACTTTCTCAGCATTGTTTGGGAGACCTACCTAGGTTTGACCTGAGCACTTTCTTGGCATTGTTTGGGAGACCTACCTAGGTTTGACATGAGCACTTTCTCAGCATTGTTTGGGAGACCTACCTAAGTTTGACCTGAGCACTTTCTCAGCATTGTTTGGGAGACCTAACCAGGAAGGAGTCTGGCTGTCGTTCTCCAGCATGTCAGCAAACTGCACAAACTGCTCTCTCCTACAATTCAGATGTAAATGTGAAGAAATACAAGAACTTAAAAGATAAATTAGGACTTGACTTGTGGAGAAAAACTGTATCTTACTGGACTCCATCTGGCATGAGAATCTTTTTGCCGTGTCCATCTACATTGCTGACCAGGGTGAAGTCACCTTCAAAACTTTTAGGTGAGAACAACTTCTCAATAAATGTCGTCAACAGTCTCTGCAATTACATTAAAAATCCTTTTTTAGGAAAAAGAAATTACATGTGCAGATTTGAAATGAATATTCTAAAAAGAACTTGATGACAATTTTGAGTACTTTTAAAGTTTAAATTAAATAAAAATTCCTTACCTGATCAAAATCATTATCAATCTTGCCTCCGTATATACACTGTGATAACAGTGTTTTGATAGCATCCCAAGGTACTTTTTCTGGAGGAAGATTGGTTCGTCCCTGGAAAATTTATGACCATATTACTCTACATATACTGTGCATTGAAATATCCCTTTTACATACAGTGGAGCCTCATTTATCCGGACGCTTTGGTTCCTAGTCAATTTGTCCGGATATGTGAAGTGTCCAGATATCTGAATTACCAGTTAAACAAGACAAAATAACATTAAAAAATTCTGTTCCCATGAAAAGTCCTCTAGATACTGAAGCATCCGGATATCTGGCGTCCAGATATCTGAAGGTCCACTGTATATTTATGAGCATATCTAAACTATTCTCTGTATTAAGAACCAAAGGAATTGTGATGTTAATTTAATATAGGACGTTCAGATTATTTTTATTGAAATATTACCATAGCAACAGAGTCTATCCAGGTATCTAACATGTCACAGGCCACTTTAAGGTCTGATTCTGTGAACTCATATTTCTTGGCCCAGCCCAAGGGTGTGTACCTCATCCTCTCCTGTACAATAGCGTGGAGCCAGGCCAGCAGGAAGTACAGACGGGATCGCTCATTGGGGGCCTGTAAACAAAGACACGTTCCATTAATTCTGACTCTGAAGTAATAATAATTTGCCTTTGTTTTATTTTACATGATAAATCAATGTGTACCTTGCACATTCGTGAGGCTGGGACAGTGGTGAACGTTCTAGATAGATTAGCGGACACTCCGGGGGGTGGCTCAAACACAAAGATACGGCCAGCTCTCAGCAGGTTGGAGGGCAGCTACAATAATGTAAAATATATTCCAGGTTAATTACAACCTTTAAAGCAAAGTGTTATTTATTTACAAAAACTTCCCTGGTAACAATCTTTGACACACTGAACAACCACATTTTATGATTATCCTATTTTTTTAATTCACATAAACTTTCCAGAGGTAACAAAAACTTGACTAATTAATGCTTCGACTTTGTTCAGAGTTTGTCACCAGACCTTAGGATTGATCTCCATGGTGAGGAAGAGTCTGAAGTTGGGGTGAGGGGTCAGGCTGTGAAGTTTCTTCTCCAGGGACACCAGCCAATTGGGGGCCAGATGGACGTTCTTCAACATGACCCAGCGACCAGACTTACTGGAGGCATTTATTGCCTTGTCAGCTTGAGTAAATCCTTCAGCCGAACCTAACAAAGGATCAAATGTATTGTTAATGGGCAGAATTTTTTTTTTTTAAATCTTTTCAAAAAATAAGTTTTTAAACACTTGATGAAAAATAAGATTTTTACATATACATGTATTTGTATATTTCACATAAATATTTTGAAAGCAAATATGCACAATGATTAAAAAATGCCAGTGAATTCACAAAACCTACCTATGGCAATGGATGTCAGTTGTTTCCCAAGCTCCGCAGCCAAGTCATCTACCCATCCACTAGCATCATACCCTGGTACTGAACACATTAACACAGGGGTATTGGCTTTTATCTGTTGAATAAGACAAGGACAGCATTATTTAAGTTCTTCCAAAATTCCAAATTCGGTGTTCAATACTTTGCAATCGCAATAAATAAAATAATCATAAATCAAAAATCAATCATATGCATGGATATGTACAATAGCCAAAAACATAATTAAAATGTACCTCATTTTCAACAATGCCTGACAGTTGTAGTTCTTTTTCAGCATTGTGTAAGAAAGATGATCCCAGGACTTTTTCCACAAACACTCTGGCCATTGAGGTGGTTCTGTCTGGTCTGAAGGCCTGAATGGTCAACAATCCATAAACAGCCTTACAAATAGGGCCTAAAAAAGAGAAGATATCCACAGTGAATGCCAGCGAAACAAAGCATGTTCTGCTGAACACACATCCATGACAATTCACTTTTTCAGAGGATAGAGAAAAGATTTACTGGCTGGTTTGTCTTCATTCCAAACTTTTACGACATCCATCTCTGGTGTGGCACTGTCTATCCATGCCTTAAATTCCTACAAGCAGAGTTAAAACAATAAAATTAGAAAGATATTAAAAACATCTAATTATGATGAAATAAATACAAATGAATATTCATACGTATAAATTAACCCTGAAACCCACCTCATTTCCCTTGATTTCCTGTACAAGGTCTTTGAATGCTCTGTGCTTGGTAAGTCTCATCATGGCTGATTTCTGCTGTGAAGTTAACCCAGGAATTTCTGGGGCAGATTTTTCCCCTATACCAAGAAGTGCTTCTTGACTTCTCATGAACATGATAAATTCATCCTCATATGTGGACTCACTGGAAATAATATGAAAATCAGTTCATTTAATGGATAGAGCAGAAAATAATACTGACTGATCGTAATCTCATGAATCTGCCAATGTTTTAGCAACTATCACAGAGAATATTTTTTTTATAAGTACCTTGGCATTCCCTTCAGACAGATTCTGCTGAGCTGTATAGCAAACGTGACTCTATCTTCATACAGCATGCCTCTTCCTACCCTGCAATATGTTTCCTGAAAAAAAAGCATATAAACAAAAAATTAAAAACATCCAAGTTAAATTATGCTGTGATTGGATTTCTTAAAGACATTGATATGGGAATATGACTAGTTAGAATTCCTCTACCAACCTGGAACAGTTCATTTGTGATGATGTTTAACCGAGCAGTATAATCCTTCACACCATTCAGTTTACTGCTCTGTAGCACAGAGTGGAAAATCTCCAAGAATAGTTGCAGAGAATATTGGTACAAGAAGTGAACCTAAACAAGAAGAAAATCTTTTTGAACCCCAAATTCCAAGTCTTCTTTATGCTCAAATACATGTGAAAATGCACTAGAACAATTCTAGTCTAAACAGAGTGATAATCTTCATCTAAAACATGGTAAGGCCAGCATTTTTTTATTTTTAGGTTTACAAACCCGCCGCTCAAGTTTTTGAATTTTCAGAAAAAAAATAAAATTGAGAAAAACAGATTTTTTTCTTTCCGATGTCAAATTTGAGTCGGGATCGAAATTTCAAATTTACAAACTCGTACTTCCGGTTTTAAATGCATAATGGCGATCATGGCGGGTAATGAAGGTAGATTTGTACAGTCCACAGCAGCACTAAAGCTTGGTTTAATGTAAATATTTATCGATAGGAGTGCCATTCAAAAAGTTTCACCCGTTCAGAGAACAAATAAAATGCTGACGACTTTGTTGCACAATGACATGTTGGTGAGATAATTATGTATCCGTATTCGAAAGTATCTGTCATCTGTCTGTAAATTAGTTTCCTCCCACAGGTTTAAAACTGCCCATGGTAGCTATTGTCAGAGACATTGTTTAGGTTTCTCTTATAGCTTACAGTCTAAGCATCATTCTTCAGAAAAGGTTCTCATTATGGGAGAAGTTAAGTCACAACTAGAACTATCCAATCGGGACAAAATACCCCCCGCTGGGTTTTTCAGAAGTAAGTTTTTGTATAATAAAGATATGTATCAAACACGAATTATAAAATTTTTCTTCCAGTGACCTTGATTCAAGGTCATGACACACCCTTGATGGGCAATCTTTGAGTGAAATAAGAACCTTTTATCAATAAGAAAGATATGGACCGGACACGAATTATTACATTTTTCTTCCAGTGACCTTGAACTTCCCGAAATGACCTTGGGTCAAGGTCATGACACACCCTTGGGTCATGGGCAATCTTTGAGTGAAATAAGAACCTACCAAGTTTATCAATGTATAGCAAATTATTAAATTTTTCTACCAGTGACCTTGAACTTCCCCAAATGACCTTGGGTCAAGGTCATGACACACCCTTGGGTCATGGGCAATCTTTATATGAAATGAAAACCTACCAAGTTTATCCATAAGAAAGATGTGGACAGGACACAGATTTTTAAATTTTTCTTCCAGTGACCTTGAACTTCCCCAAATGACCTTGTCATGACACACCCTTGGGTCATGGGCAATCTTTGTGTGAAATGACATTATCCATAAAAGATATGTGTCAAACATGAATTTTGAAATTTTTCTCCCAGTGACCTTGAACTTCCCCAAATGACCTTGGGTCAAGGTCATGACACACCCTTGGAACATGTTCAATCTTTGTGTGAAATGAGAACCTACCAAGTTTATCCATAAAGATATGGACCGGACACGAATTATGAAATTTTTCTTCCAGTGACCTTGAACTTCCCCAAAATGACCTTGGGTCAAGGTCACGACACACCCTTAGGTTATGAGCAATCTTAATGTGGAGTAGTAGATTCTAATGTCCCTCTGTAAGAAAGATATGGACCGGACACGATTGCACAGACAGACGGACAGACAGACAGACGGACAAGGTGATTCCTATATACCCCCCCAAACTTCGTTTGCGGGGGGTATAAATATATACAGGCATGTAGTATCGTTTTTGGCAGCCAGAAAAATTATTTTACACTTAATTGAAAAAAAATTCCACCCTACTCCCCAATACTCCCTGTCTGTTTTATGAAAGGAATTATTATTTTAGGTCTGAAGTATATTTTAGAACAATTTCTACACACTTACCTAACACATATTAAAAACAAAAATTAAGATATATATTGAAAGAGTTTTAAAAAATTGATTTTTTTAAAAAATCTGTATTTTGTCCAACATCACAAGATTTATATCACTGGCCCCAACTGGTAGATGATGAGATCTACAATTAAAGGTTCTATTTTCCCCTTTGTAACCCTTATGTGTCCAGTGGCAAGGAGCCTGTTAGGAGAGCTTAAAAAAAATAAGCAAAAATTAATGAAGAAAAGTTGATTATGTGTCCAAAAAAATAATTTTATTTTTTTTTTATTTCCTCCTCCTAAGGGACTTTTTCATTTTGATGTTCGTAAACCTAAAAATAAAAAAATGCTGGCCTAAAGTTTCACTGACAGTGCTGTAAGGATGTCAGATCCACACTAGTCCTATGTTGAGCCTGATTACCTGTTGGAGGGCCTCCATGGAGAAGTAGATACTACTACAGGACGTGGCCAGGGGGACGTACTGCTGGGATGTCGTCTCCACCTCCGCCATAATGGCGTCAGTCTCCTCCACTTTACGTGCCACCTCCGACGCCTCCTTCTTCAGGGTCTCTAAGTGACTTATGATGCTGTCGTCATCCAGTATCTTACCTTTGGAAGCATTCAGAGCCTGGAGAAGGGATTTCTCCAGGTGTCGGAGCTTAAGCTGAAACTCACCTGTGAATGATTAAATAATAAATCAATAATGAATAAATAATGAATTAGAAATAAGTTCAGGGACATTACTTAGTAGAAAACCACAGGTCATAATTACATATGTACCTTGCAACTTCAACAGATCTGATCTCTTTGCATCTACATCTGGTCTCTCAGACTTCAGTACCTATAGAATATAACACAAGCTATTATCTCCTTCTTAAATGTACAGCAAAACTTGTTAAGCATAAAACATAAGGATATATTGAAATTTCTTTTGGAATACAAAATCCATACCAATTCTTTTTAAAACTGTATGGTTAAAAAGAACTCTCATGTAAGGAATTTACAAATAAACCAACTGACTTTGTGTTTATAGAGGTTATAGATAAAGTTATTATGAAATATCAAATTACTGATATAGTGAAGTAAAATCAGAGATGCTCTGAACTTAGTTTTACTGTAAATGTATTTCTCATTGTATTGCTTAATATTTTTTTCTTTAAAGCTAGATAATTTTTTTTCAAACCTGATTCAGACACTGGTCCTGTAAACTTCCTCTTGTAACTGTAAAGTTCACAAATGTTACTCTGGAGCACAAATCTGGAGGGAAATCAGCCTAGAAACAAAAACAATATTCCTGTCTTGTAGTTATAAGAGAAGATTGCTATTAACAATCACATACATATAATATTATTGTAACAATGTATTACACCATAGCATAGGAAATCTTACGTTAGGATTCCTAGTGGACAAGAAGATGGTGAACTTGGGAAAGAAATCGATCTCTTGGTCTCCCAGTGTGATCAGTATACGTCCTCCAGTCTTCCTCAACTCTCGGTTCAGGACAGGGTTTAGAATGGGGTCATAGCTCTCTACATCCTACAGACATGCAAAACAGATCTTATTAGAAAATTACCATCCATACACTACAAAGCAGACTACAATTTACTTAGAGAATAATGTTTACCTGCACAAGCAGAGGATTTCCAAATCTCACCGCACTTTCCAAATTCTTTCTAAATGCATCATCAAGGAAGCTAAAAATAGACAATAAGTACAGAAGATAAGTACATCCCTTTTAAGATTTCTAAATTATGAAAATTAATAAGCTTTGTTATGAATTTCTGACCTGGTCTTTTTGATGCCCTTGTCTTTGTACTCATTCATGAGGAACTCTGTGGCCTGACCGGAGGGGTCAATGATCAGGGGGTACCTGTTAAACCTCTTCAACATGATAGCATTCTCTGTACACAGGTCATCAGCGGGCAGAGTGTTGGCCTGCCATCTCACTCGCTCATCAGCATTAGACAGGTACTGAAACATAAGAGCACAATAAGGACCTGGTCATACACTGAATCAGTAAGGCAAATTAAGGGCTCTACATAACTCTACATTTTATAATGTAATTATTTGATTTTTAAAAAATCAGTGTAATTTAAAACTCTTATGACATACATTGTACATTTATAAGTATGTTGATGTACTTTATTCATATTTATCTAGAATTAAACTTCTCTCTGTAATGGTCCTTTATGAGAGGCTTAAGCAAGTCTCAGTTCTCACCTCCACCCTTGCCAGATCACTCCTGAACTGTACACTAGCAGTCTGAAGATGAGTGGTCCATGATGTAAACAGATTCCTCCTCATTTGTTGGTCAAAGTAACCTAGAGAATAGAACAGTGTTAAAACAAGCTTTGCCTAACATCTCAGAACTCATTGTGAAATTGTGTTTAACATACAATTATTTTAATCAAGCATATGCATTCTCATCAACTAAACAGACAATGGAGACATAATGCTATCAATACCAGCATAAGCCATAAAGGCACAGGACAGAAGGACATCTCCTACAATGGTGGACATTTGACTCTTAAAGGTCTCACTGCTGGACTCCCATCTTAGCTTCTCATCATCCAGACTCTTCAGCAGGGCAATACTTCTCTCCACCTTAAATTCACAATCTTAAAGTTTATTTCAATTCTCAAGTGCACATTACATTTTCTCCTACGGATACCAAAATTAGTTAAATTTGAGGGGAAATTTAATATGAATTTTGAAAATCATAGTGGCACTGAATGAAGTACAGCAAAATTATGGATTAAAGATGAAGTCCAGAAATTTACACTCATTTTCTATGACATGAATTCACATAGAACTCTCTCACCTTTAGCAAATACTATATTTCTTAACACTGATATATTTCCTATAAAAAGCACCCCCACCTCCCCTATGTGATGCTAGAGTACCTTGGCCTCGACATTGGAGAGGTCCTGTTTGATGGCCTGGGCCTGACTGATCAGCATGGCGTACTCCTCCTTGTACTTGGCGATACTCTTCTCCAGGCCGGCTATCGTCTTGTTCACCTCCTCAGCTTTCTGCTGATTCTCCTTGGCTTGGGTCTCTAAATCCTTTAGCTCATTTCTCAGAGGATCAATCTTCTTCAGCATGTCAGCATAACTGATCTGTAAAATCAAAAAATATTTTAAGTTTTAATCAAAATCCAAATAAATCGAAGTTTCTAAAATCCAGTCAAGTAACTTAAACACTAAATCACAAGAACTTCTTTCCAAAAATACAATGTACCTGTGCAATGGCCCATTTAACCATAGGACCACAGGCCAAGCTAGCTCTGTTCACTTTTTCGTAGTTGTAGTCTGGGTTGGAGAGGTATTTGTTCTTCATTTTTGCACGAATATCATCCCTGTAAAATTAAATCGATTTCTAAATATAAGTTTCAGCTTCATTTGGTATAATATTGCTCTGTCATAGGCTATATTACATCAGGACAACATCAAATATACCTGGACTAGGTGACTTACGTAATGTCTTGAGTTTGCATTTTTACGATGTTAGGAACAAAACTATCCTTAATTATGTTAGTACGAATAGTTTTCCAGTCCTGTGCGTTTTCTCCTACCAGCAGACATATGGCCTCCAGGGCCATCTTAACTGCAGGAGGAGGGTTGCTCATGGTACGAATCTCGACCAGGTCTTTTTTCTTTATACCCTTAACAGCTAGCATTAAGAGACAAAATAAGAAAACTCTAATGACAATTATAGTCCCAGCAAGCAACATTGTCCCTGCACATGGATTCCATAAAATTCATTTTGAACTGTTGCCAAAACTGCATTATTTTAATTCATACTGATCTTTTAACACCTCAATATATATTGATATTAACGTATGCTGGAGTCCTACTGGAATCCATCTGGTAGGAAAATGTTGCATTCATAAAAAAAAAACTTACGATATATTGTCAGTGGTGAAATGGACAATTGTGGAAATAAAGTTTTCTCTCATGATGATACCACGGAGGGACTTCCAGTCTAAGTCGGTCTCTCCCAACAGAGTACATATAGACTCTATGGCAATTTTCACGACAGGAGGGGGGTTGGGCAGAGACTTGACCTCAACTAAGTGTTGTTTCTTGATGGATTTAACAGCTGGTTCAAACAAACAGGACAAAAAATAATAAAATAAAAGCATGCAAAAAGATAAATATGACTACATTACTACTGAAAAAGCAATTCAATTGTCTTGAATAATAGATTGTTACACATTGTGCTGGAGTCTCATGCAAATACATTTGAAAATAAGATCATTTTTAATTACATTTCAACAAAAAAAATAAATCTTAAATACTAATTACATCTCTATTCAATACATTAAAAGAAACTCAATTCACAGTATATATTACATGAACTTAAATCATACAACACATATAAGCAAATGAGGATTTGAAATCTACATTTATAAATGTCAACTGATTCACATTCAGACACACGTGATCAAAATCACAGCAGAAAATGTTGAAAAACCATAAGAAACACTAACACTTTTTTGAAGGAGGATACGTTATCCAATGATAAAACCCTTTATTTCACACTTTTCCTATTTTTAAATGCATAGAAGAACTGTACATTTTGTGATCTGTAAGTAATGCTGTGTGTACTGACCTTGCTGGGCCTCTATGACAGCGGGCTCTACCTGGGCCAGGTCAGCCTTGACGTCCAGCTTCTTCTCATCAATGACCTTGGTCTGGGCCATTAGAGCGGTTTGAATCTCCTGGGACATCACCTTCTTGGCTTCAGCTTCTTGTTGATCTTTTACCTAATTCAAAACAGAATCTTCTAGTTATTCTCAAGAACGTTTTAAGCCTTAAATTTTACTTTTAATTAATTGGTAATCCATCAATCAGTCAAACAAAATACATCTTCAATCTTCCGGGTGCACAGAAATTTACATCCGATTCTGTAACCAATCAAACCTCTTGTTACAAGCTAAATAAGAAATAAATTTATAAATACACACTGCTGCTGTTTTTTTACTATGTCCTTAACCATTAAGATACTATCTGTGCTGACTGACCATCTGTTTGAGTTTGGCGTTAGCCGCGGCGTTCTTCTCCTCCAGTTCCAGTCGTTTGACAGACAGTGATTTCTGTAACTCCTCCACCTGTTCTACCGTCTCCTTGATTTTCTGGAGACCTATGTTCAGGTGAAGCTGTTGTTCCTCCAAGTCAGAACGCTTCTCATTGTACAGCTTGGCCTTATAAAGAATGAGTATGCCAGATGTTAGAGGTTTTAATACAATGATTTTAAAGTTTAAGATCTAAGTAAGAATTGCTGCTGATAACATGCATCCACAATGTACAAAAAAATTATAAGCTTACAAAATGGTTGATGAAGTCCAGATAGTGTCGTGGGGTGACAGCGGTAATTCTCCCTCCTCTCTTCAGAACACGAGCATTAGCCTGATGTAGAGACAGGTGGACAAAGACGAAGGCATTGATGACCACCTCACGATGTGACGGACTGACTGGAAGCTCATGCATGGCCGGAATATTCTCCGGAGCCATGTAGTTTCCTTTCTCTAGGTCTATCTTGTTTGTGAATTCACGACCAACCTGGTACAGGGCTCCATTGGACCAGTCACCAAACCAGTTCAAGACACACCTGTAAACAACATTTTAAGAATTTTCAACCATATAGTGAAAAATGCAGGCATCCATTCATATACATGGTCACAAGTAGGTCATACTTAATGTGAAAGTCCATGTACAATGTATATGTAGAAAACAAACATTTTTTTTAAAAATAAAAACTCGGTTCATAATAAATGCAAGAGAATCACATTACCTGTTGAACAAGGCTGGTGATGTAGAAGCTCTATCTTTGAGACCTTCAGTTGAGGGGTTCATTGTAAATACTACATGTAAGTTCTTCATCACCTGTCCTGTGAACCATTTATAGAGCTCCTCCCCCGAGTCTAACATGAGTCCCTCCCTCTGGGCCCCCTCCTTACACTGGGTCATCAGAGTGGTGTACTCATCTCCCTCAAACAGACCTGGCACCTCAGCATTGGCCAGCAATGTGTTCATTCTCTCCAGGAATCCAGAGTCCAACACATTGGACTCATCCATGATGAAAGCTATCTTCTCATCCTGTGACAAAAACACTTATAAATGTAATTTTGTTTTTGCTGTATTTCATTTCTGTTTAATACATGTTCTCTGAGACAAATTGATGAAGATAAAACAATGGAAACAACCAATTTTCTCCAACATAAATTACTGAAATCCCATATTCCTTACATATTTTTAGTTAATTCTAGTTTTACAGTACCTTGCATCCAGATCTTCTCAACACATTTCTCAAGTCCTCATCAAAGTCTGCTGCGGAGTACTTGTTATGGACCTTGATCTGATAGGTACTCAGTCCATTCATCCAGGCCACAAACCTGGACAGAGTTGTCTTTCCTGATCCACTGACCCCTATCAGGAGAACATGCCCCTGAGGCTGTCTGAAAATTCTGTCAATCCTCAGCACGTGGTCCAGAACCTCATCAAATAACACCAGGGGGACATCCAACTCCTCCTCATAGAAGACCTACACAAAACCACAGATTATTCAACAGTTAATCATAAAGTTATTATGCTTCTTATGTTTTCCTTCTAATTGATGTATACATACATGCATCTTACTTACCAGCCAAATTGCAATGATTTGAATTTCTGACTTTATAAAACATTTTGAATTGAAACTGACCTTAAGCCTGGCTTTGACATATTCCCTCAATCTCTCTCTGTCCACTGGCACATAGTCCTTGGAGAGCCAGTTACTGAACAGGATGGGTCTGGCTAGGGCTGCTTCACGATTAATGTTGGGGAAGTTTTTGAATGCAACAGCATCTACATTTTCATCTGTCCATCTTCTTTCCTCATCTTCAATCAACCTGCATTTCCACATTATTGAATATGTAAACTCTAGCAACACCTTTGTCTGATATCCTTACAAGTGTTTCTTGGCATGGTGGGACAATTTAAAGGTTATTGGTTTTCTGGACTACTAGGAATAGTGTGCATTACAAGTAACATAGTAAAAGTGTTCAGTGTCTCACTCTCATTTTCTCACCTATCTTGGAACAACCTCAGGGCTTCATGGGCCCAAATTCTGACCAGGCCGTCCACATCTAAGTTGTCCAGAGGTCTGAGGGCCTCGCAGATACCACGCACCCACCGAGTCATCTCTCTGGGACTGTACACGTAGTGGGGCTGCATGTCCTGGGTAAATTTCTCCTGATGAAAGGAAATAAATAAAACAATATTCAAACGACAATACGATTTTTTTTTTTATAGCATAAAATAACTATGTCAGGATCTTTTGTATCCTTTTTTTCTATTATCATGTTCCACTTTTTTAATTTTAATTAAACAGTAATTACTTCTAAAAATGAATAAATCAACATATATGTAAATATCAAAATTTAAAAACATGCATAAATCTATTTACTGGTCCTACTCTAAAAGATTACCTGTGACATGAGATAGAATTCCACCATAGCATTGGTTAAAGGCTCTGCATATGGTTTTAGACTGGGAACAAGTCTCAGCATGGCTCTGTTGAAAGTTCCATAGATCTGAGTCAAGGAAATCTTTCCTGGGTAGTCAACATACACCACAGGGACATGTCTCAAAAACCTGTAAAGTTAAACAAAATAAAAATATACATATTTACCATATAAACTTACCAACAATGCTAATGTAAAGAGATTTGTTTCTTCTCTATATCAGCCCTCATTCCTGTGCATTCTTAACTTACTGAAACCTCCTAGCCTCTACAGATTAGTGCTGCTATTTACCTGTGAGACAGGGGTTTTCTCCCTGGATCAGTGGGAGGGTTACAGGCACCCACAAACTGCATCCTCTCAAACTTGACCCAGGTGTGGTCTGACGTCCTGTAAAATCCTCCATGTTCCAACATCTGTCTCAGGAAGGAAATCACACGCTGGGTGTCTGTACGGAAAATAAGAGCAAAAAAAAGCAGTGAGAGTTACACTCAAACTGGAGACTTAAGGACATTGTGAAAAACAACATATTTAAAAGGACTCCTGAATTAACTTACTGTATCTATCCATATTTGGCAGATTTATCTCGTCACAGAAGAGAACCAGCCACTTGTTCATCTGTATGGGGGACATCACCACCCCGTTGGGAGTACGTCTGTACTCACAGTATTGGTCAAATGTTTTCAGCAGCAGTTCTGGTGTTGTGGCACTAGAAAAGTTCAGACCAACCACCTGTAACAGAGAAATGTAAACAACTGTAATTTTCTGAATCAAACTCACTTAAAATGCTGAGTTCCTTCAAAAAGAAAATGCACATTTAGTTTTTGGCTTTCTTGAGGCGAGGTGTTTGCTTCTGTGTAAACAAGTATTAATTTATCATCTGCACGTAAATTTTTATTTACTGCACATGTACAAGTATTAGCAAAGGAGATTTACAAATTTTTCAGTCTCCATACAAAGTGCAAGATATTGTATTTCTTTATTTTCTATTACACAACAAAGTGCTATATCTATACACAGAAATCCTCCTAACCTCCATATCTGGTAAGGATCTGAGAGCACTGAACAGTGTCATGGTTTTTCCTGAGCCTGGGGGACCACACAGTACGAGGGGTTTGTGTTCTGCCAGCCAGGTGTATAGCAGGGCCTCGTGTCTGACCGTGTCGATGGTGGGGATGACCACGTCTGGGGCGGCCACCTTATGGGTCTCCACCTCCACTACAGGGACTTTAGACTGCCAGGGGATCCATTCTCCAGATATGGACACCTACAAACAACAGGGAAGGATATGCAAGTCAAACATTATTATATTTTATCAATATTTAGCCTAGTGTCTGAATTCTAAAATGTTTGACTGCACTCAAAACAGTATTTCACATACAAAAAAAGACTCATTTTATGTATTTTAATCTTCATTAATGTATGCAAGTGTTATACATGTACAGGTATATTTATAAAAGTTCTTAAAACAAATTGTTAAGTACAAGGTATAATTGCTAAAAACACATGAATCAAACTGTTAAAGTGAAATCCGTTTACAGTGTAAGTTACCTCGAAATCAATGATGAGTTGATTGGTGGTGGGTGGCAGTGGAATGTCTGTGATTCCTCGGACAAAGTCACCGAGTTCTTGTCGACTCTTTAGACGTCCATCACCAGACATAGACCACAGAATGGAGTAGATCAAGTACTTTGTAATGTATTTCTCTACCTGGTCTTGCTGAAAGTCAACACTTAAACCATATCAGACTGCAACTTTTATGTGATGTTTTCTTTTATGTGATCTTTGTTTAACTAGTTGCAACTTTACAAAAAATTATGCTTATCAATAAATCAACTTGACCTCAATTATTAAAGCAACTTTCAAAATTTACATTTTTCTGTAATTTTAGATCTCCACATAATATAGCCCCTTACCTGCATTGGGAAGTCCACATGAGTGTTATTGTAAGCTATAATGTTTCTGACTCCTTGGTTTATCATTGAAAACAGAGAACTGAGAGCTCTCAATCGAGTAAAGTCCATAATGTGATCCAAACTTATAGCATACTCCAGTGCACGGTTCACCACACCATCAGAGTTAAAATACGGACCCAAGATGTTAGCACAGTCTCTCTGAACCTAGAAATAATCACAATACACTATACCTATACTTTCAGGTGCCATTTATCATTTAATATGGTTATTTTTTCTCTCTGTCAATGTAAAATAAAGCATTTATTAACCGTCACATTGAAGTAAAATGTACATGTTTCAAAGGAATGACAATGAATGTGAAGGTTAATCTTAAATATTACAGCAGCCTGAAAATCATTACCTGCATTGTAGCAGACAGAGTTTCCTCTGCCTCTCCTGTGAGGACCTTAGGTGATTCTTCCTCCCCCTCGTCTAGTGACACATTCTTCAGTGTTCGGAGGTAATTTTCGTATATCATCTCGGGAGACAGGACGTCTTCACTGAACCACACCATACCACACCTACTGACCGTGGCCAGGGTTGCAAACTTCAGGTCCTGTACCTCAAACATGATCCTCACCTGTATATCAGATCAAGTCAGATTAGTCTTAGAAATACATGTAGTATCAGCTGCAAGTCTGCAATGACAATGTTCATACACAAAATAGTACATACATTTGGTGGAATGGCCAGACGTTCTCCATTGGGGAGGGTAAGAAGTTTGTTTTCGTCTAACACAGAGTTTAAATTTTCTACCCATTCAGGATCCACATCACCATCAAAGATAATCCACTGTCTCTTCTGAAGCTCTCCTCTCACATTGTCTATTATCCTGTAAAATATCTCACATTACTATCATCTACTACCCTGTATAATATCTCTTAATATCTATATCTATTATATACATGTATTATCTCAAATTATCTAATATCCTGTAAATGTCTCCTACTATCTATTATCCTGTATAAAATCTCACATAATATAATACCTCACAAAATATCTAATGAACACGGGTCATGGAATGAATTTACTTAATACGTCACAGTTTAAGTACAATGAATCTTATACTCACTTTCTTAATACATGAGTAAAGAGACCATCAGACCATTCTCTTGTATTGGGATCTAGAGTACCATATAAAGCCTCTTTGGAAATGGACTGAAAACAGAATCATACCTCTAATAAACATGTTCTTTATCTTTTTTATTTATAAAGTAAGTACCTTTTAAACATACTCTATTACCTGATCTCTGATATTTATTCAAGATCATTATAACTGTGTGAAGTGGATTGCATGCAGACATGATAAACTATGAGAGGAACTATGTGATACCTTGGGGTCAATAACATGAGCCACGCCCTCAGTTCCCTCCAATCTCTCCAGAGCTTTCAGTAAGACCTGCCACGCCTTTGACTTTCCACTGCCACTGGGACCCACCATCATCAAACCATGATGGAGGTTTGTAATCTGATACAGCTGTAGTACCTACAGATAATCAAAGCAATAAACTCTCATTATTAAATCTATTAACGCCATGTACAACTTAGTTTTTTTTTCTGTATTTACATTGTTTGGTATATTGCATGAATATGTTAATATTTGTCGGAATATCTCATATGCTCCCAATATTTTACAATGATTTGATGATAAACTGGGTTATCCATGTATCATGGGTAAAGAAGCCTCTCATTTTCAAAGGATGTGAACTATCAGTGAGACTCTACCTTTGACACCCACTGTGATCCTTGTTCGTCCTGTTCTCCGTATGTGAGGTACCTCTCCTGACACACTTTCTTGATCTCCTGTCTGAGGGCGGTCATTTCAGCTGGGTCGTACTGTACCCCGGGGAACACATCAGACAGTAAACTGTACAGGAGTGGGATATCTTCAGCCACCAGCTTAGGTACCACTGTCTCCATAACACTCTGTATCAAAATCTGCAACACAGAATAAGCATAGTACACATTACAGTGTATCTAGATTCCATAATCTTCATTAATAAATAAATATTTTTACATTTACTGCACTGTACATGCAACTATATTTAAAGACATCATGTTCTTCTTCCATAAAATTAGACTGTTTTATGACTATTGCACTGTCCATATACAACTACATGTACATGTATATCATTACTTAAACCATAAGGTACTGAAGGATACTTTTCAAATTACACAATTCCTTTCTATGTACTGTATCTTACTTTCTGTTCAGGGAGGTTTTCAGCAATAGACCTTTCGTCTACATTCTCTCCTCTCTCCAGCATTCCTTCACGGACTTTCTGTATCTTGTCCCGCTTCAGATTGCCGGCACTTACAAGTACACTCTTCAGGGCTCGTAAACCAAAGTCATAATGAGATTGTGGAGACAACTGCTCATCACAAAGCCTGACAAACACAAAACCCACATTTTAATAAATATTCATAGTGTCATCTGTGATGAATAGACATATCATAAGCTGTAAACATTGAGAACAAGTATTAAATTTAAACTAAATTTGTTACATCAAAAGATTTAGTTGTATATAAATAAGAACATGCACACATCATACAAGCACATTTAAAAATACTTTTGCTGTGATTAAATTAATGTTTTTTCTTACTTGAAGAAAGGAACAATTTTTTTAGCGAGTTTCTCAGCCATCCTGAATCCTTGAGAATACAACATGACTTGAGCAATGAGTTGTCTGTCTGGTTTGGTCATTGCTAAACTTCTGAACAGCTTCTTCAGGTTATCTGGGAGATTGGATCTTCCGGCGTATCCAGGGTTCATGGTGATAAACACGGCCATGTCTGGATTTACTCGGACCTGTTTACCAATCAGTTCTACTGCAGTGGAGGCTACAAGGCAAATGTATGAACACTTACATTGATGTACAGTGAGAATTTGAAAAACTTTTGTTTACATGGCCACCAAACCCATCTTCTCTAATCACACTTCAGATTAATTTTACCATTTCAAATTGATAAAATCAAGCAATTCATAAAACTAAATTGTCTTACTCTTTTCTTTCTTGCCAACCATATCTTTGAGAGCTTCCTGTATGGTCTGAATTTGTTGTGATACGGCAGATAACATTCTCTCCTCTAACCTGTTAAACTCATCAAAGCATCCCCAAGCTCCTACCTGACACAGACCCACAAAGATGCGACCCATAGCCTGTGGTGTAGAGAAAAAGATACATTCTAAACTACTCATTTTCTCAGACGCTGACTGTAACTTTAATGTGAAATGATGTACAATTTTTAAAAAATTTTTGCTCATTCTTTGATACTTTCTTATCGCAAAAGATAGTGTCTTTTTTTTCCCCCAAAAAACATTACCTGGAAGTCAAAGTTCTCATCACAGTTGAAGACCAGCACGAATCTTCCCAGCTGATTTCCTAGAGCTTTAACAGACTCAGTCTTTCCAGTACCAGCAGGACCTGCAACATTAAATACACTGATATTCCTTTTCTCACTAGTAAGTATTCTGCCTAGTTTTATCTAGAGCTGTGGACAGGTCATACTCCCCTCTGCCAACACTTAAAACAGAGAGACCTTATCCTGCCCCTTTAGTTCCTGTAGCATGCTGAGCATCATTGTTACCCATACCATGGAGTAACAATGGACCACTGGAACATCCTTGCTGGAAGCATGCAGTTTTTCTGGTGTTAAAACACTAAAGAGCTAACCATCAGTAAGATATGTACCTTGAAGAGATCCTAGACTTCTAATTACATGTACATTATCTTAACACAGCAGTATACAATAAATTTTTATACAAGAAAATGATTTAATTCTAAAATAGCATCAATTTGATCCATCTGAAAAATATTTATTCATGAAGCTGAATGCCTCATGTAGTTTTCAACAAAGGAAAACTAGAACTGTCCAAACGGGACAAAATACCCCCCGCTGGGTTTTTCAGAAGTAAGTTTTTTTTTATAAAGATATGTATCAAACATGAATTATGAAATTTTTCTTCCAGTGACCTTGAACTTCCCCAAATGACCTTGGGTCAAGGTCATGACACACCCTTGGATCATGGGCAATCTTTGTGTGAAATGAGAACCTACCAAGTTTACCCATAAGAAAGATATGGACCGGACATCAATTATGAAATTTTTCTTCCAGTGACCTTGAACTTCCCCAACTGACCTTGGGTCAAGGTCATGACACACCCTTAGGTCATGGGCAATCTTTGTGTGGAGTAGTAGATTCTAATGTCCCTCTGTAAGAAAGATATGGACCGGACACGATTTCACAGACAGACGGACGGACGGACAGACGGACAGACTGACAAGGTGATTCCAATATACCCCCCCAAACTTCGTTTGCGGGGGGTATAATGAATCTAAAAAAAATTATTATACTAAGATTCACCATGTTCTACCTCCAATAAAAATAAGTGAGAGTTTGTAATACACCTTCCCTCATTGCATCTTACCAAATGGTGACCCTCCCAGCCTGGCCTCCAGGGCCTGGGTCATCGTCAGGTAACACCGGTCTGTCAGCGGAGTCTGGACCAGCTTATCCTGTACACCCAGGTACTCAAAGCCATAGTTAAACTTAGCATTGGCCATCTGAATAGACAGCTGCTGTAAAACATCCGAGTTCTTGGGATCAAAGTAAAACCTCATCTGACACAGCCAGTCAAAACACTTAGGACTGTTCACTTTGTTCTTCACTAATGTTCTTGTCACATCTCTCTGATGTACTAATTCTGTAATCTGTTGAAAAAAATGTTAAAGATTACTATTAGACAGGTCTCAAATGTTATTAGAACTTCTTTACACTCAACAAATTGTGTATTAAATGTATCTGACAGTTGTACATTTCAGTAAACAAAATCAAACAAAACCAAATGAACAAAAACATTCAAACTGAGCAGTGTTTAAATCTGACAGAATTTAATCATTTCAGCATAATTTCTTTGTTTGTTAACTTTCAGTTCTCTTACCAAATGCTCCATTTTCTTCCTCCTGACTGGAGGTTGATTCAGTAGGACGGAGTCGGCCAGTACATTCAGTGTGTTGTCTACTACCTGTAGGACGTCCGTCAGGGCGGTCAGGTCCGCGGGGTTCTTAGAGCTGGCGATATTTGACAGGGCTGACTGGACACTCTCAGACCAGGACACCTGGGAGGCCAGCACCACCAGCTGGGCCTAAAAACAATCACAGCAACAATCCATATACAGTTTCTACAGATGAGCTTTATAAAGCCAGACACTTGCGTTTCACACTAATGCCGCATGGAGCTTAATGGTACAAATTTAGAATAAATAAAAATTTCTTTGCCAATTTTCGTCCACAGTTTAAGAACACTCCATGATATACACATTGTATACCGTAAATTCCTTATTTTTCGCGAGTACTTATTATCGCGAAATTACGCAATAATTAATTTCTCACTAATAATTGGGAATCTACAGAAGTAAATGTTAAGCGTACCTGATACTTATCTATCCACTCTAGATATTGATTGGGGTCAATCTGACCAGACTTAAACTTAGCAACGTCCTTGACAGCAGCCTGTAGCAGCTTGGCCAGGGTCACCCTCATCTCCTTCTCTGTCAAGGTCAACCATTCATTTATCTTAGGATTGGCAGCAATAGAAACAGGAGTGGCAAACACAACCTACAAGGAGAAAATGTTGATAGTGCAAAAGCAACTATTCACTCAACCCTGAAGTCATAAAGAAAACCTTTCATGCTCAATATTATTAATATTAGATGTTTCCATTTCTTTTCTGTTCCTCCAACATCAACTAGCATCTAATTTAATCAAATTTTCAATCAAAATTGATTTTTGATATGCTTTAATTGGGTTTCCATCTTAATGACACTAATACACACCTCTTCTCCTTCCTTTGATAGGAGCCCTGTGACCTGGGAGTTGTCTTCGTTTAACGTGATGGTGGCCACACCAGCAAACATCTTCTTGAAGTGTTTCTGTAGACGAGCAACATTTTTACTGTTACCAATGATCTCCAGCAAATCTTCATCTCCAACAAAGTAGAATCTGCGAAATGTTAGCAATAAAAGACATCTTAATAGAGTTGTACTTCAGAAAATTTATATTCCTCTCATGTACATGTATATGCTACAAACATGTTCATGTACCATATTTTGAAATTTAGACATGCTACTTTTACATACAAACATTTCTGTAAGAGGTCTCTGAAATCAAGGCAATAACATGTAGCTCTAGATTATTATTTTTCTGTACCTTGGGAATGAAGCTCTTTCTCTCTCCAAATACTCTCCGAGTGCTTTCTGGATTTTGCCCAGGAGATCTGAGAGTCGCTCCAGCTGTTTCTGAACATTAGGGATGTTCACTACATCCATCACTAACGGGGAGCGTGTCACCTTCTTCATCAGAGCCAGAAACTCAGTGCTTACTCTATAAAACAAAGGTAAAATCATTATACTAGATTATCATGTACTTATTTCACATACATGTACATGTATGTACAAATTAATTCATCAGTCTGGTGTATGTAAAGAGATGATTAGAGTTGATTTATTGACACGTCGGAAATCTCACCCCTGGAATCGTGAAGTTTCCACTGGAAGCAGAGCCTTGATATCAGCACTGCCAGTAAATATACCCTCCAGGTACACCCATCTTCTCTGGACATCAATCCAAACATCAAACAAGGCATTGATCCTGTTCAGTTTGTCTTCCCAGGCTAAAGCATCTTCCTCAAATTGCTGTCAGAAAGTCATTGTTTGCAATATACATCTCGTAAGCAATACTTCAATAGTATTCAATAGAACTAACAGTTTCCTAATATATATTTAAAAGTTAATACAGCTGAACTTAGGAATTCCCAATCAATTTCTCAAAACTATGCATCAAAGTGTGTAGAAGTGCAAGCCACTTTTTCTTTATGTATCTAATCTCAAATCCTTGGGTTCTTTGAGACAATGAGGTTTGACTGTTTTTATTTCTGAACATAACTTTAAATCAGAACACATTTTCAAAATTTACACAGAGATTAACTTTAAAAAGTTTCAAGGTTATTGCTTTGTGTGATTAATACCTTGTAGTATGGTGACAACTTCATGGCTGACACACTGTTGATGTGTTCCTTGACTTTTGTGAAGAGATCGTCCCAGCCTCGGATTAGTCGACACTTGTTCTGGTAATTAATCAGCTCCAGCTCATAGCTTCTCCAGACCTCACTGACCTGTTCGAGAGACCAACAAAAGTTAGCAAGCAGATCAACATTAAAACTAAGATAAATTTCATGGGTTCTTCATATAAATGAACATGCATTGTGACAACAAACCTGCTTCAAGAATTCCTCCAGAGCCATTTCTCCTTGAGCAATAAGAATAATGTCTCTGACGATGTGTTCATGTCTAATGAGGTCAATATCCCATACATGACCGAGGGTAAGGTCTGACAACACCCAGCGTACATTTAGCTTCTTGGTTAGCTGTTTCCAGTGTCTCTCTTTCAGGGCCTCTGACTTCAGTTCCACAATCAGGACATTCACCTGTGAAGTGAGATATACAGGTAAAAACTGAAGGATGTCTTCCTATCAATAAAAGCCATAAGTATGATGGGTACAAACTTACCTTTGCATACCCTTGTAGGGTTCTTTTGACATAGTCGTATGAAGCATATGTTCTTAGTCTGGATGGTAGTTCCTTTAGTTGGTTGAGTAATCCATCCAAAGACTGTCTTATCTATGAAAGTGTGAACAATGAAAATTTAATGACATTTTTAATGGATTAATGATACAATATCCATTTTAAATTAACTTAATTACATTTTTGTACACTTATTCTTTAAAAGTTCAGATTCTAACCTTTCTGGGTTGTACAGAGAGCCAAGGTTTCTCTTTGAGTTCATCAATTTGTTCCCAGATTTTAGACAGCTCAGCCCATACTCCCTTCAGGTCCTGTAATTCTTCATGGGCCACCTGCATTCTCTCCTCACTGGCACTCAGCTGACCTGAGTACAGACAGATTAGAGATTTAAACTTACATAACAAATTTACTTTAACTTTAAAGTCATTTACTATACATGTAACTCCCTTTTAGTTTGAAAAATAAGATATAAATAAATATTTGTGTATGAACATAACATGAAGTTCACTGTCAACAAGTTTAAAACAGACTTTTCCCAGTAAACAGCTTCCTTACCTGGTTCTGAGAGTTCCAGGGCCTCCTTAGCTTTTGCCACATTTTCTCTCTCCTCCTTCAGGCGATTGAATTTTCCCTCAAATATTGTCAAGGCCTTGACTGCTTCATCTGGTTTGAGTTCACCCTTAACATCAAACAAAAACTAATGACTCAAAATGTCTCTCTGATACAATGAAAACCAAACCACCGAGGAATACATGCAATAAAATCAAAGGCAACCCTATCCAAAGATACTGCAATCCTTACAAAGGAAAAAGAATTATAGACATTGAAGCAAATTTATAAAAGGCCATGAAAAACATTTTAAATTATTTAAAAATAAATCTTACAATAAATTTCCAAGCTATGTTTTAAGTAATAAACAAACAAAAAAAACCATAGCTCACGGCTTATAAATTAACAATTATTCTTCCTCACTGAACAAGTCAAAGCAAACTGAATTTCAGAAATATATACATTATATGGATATATAAAGGAAAGCAGGGTTAGATATATAAGATTCTAAGAGATCTACTTACATCTATCAACTGTTCAGATGCCAGAAAATAACATATACACTTAGTAGTTAAATTTTGAAAATTTACCAAACACACAGGATTGTTAGAATTACAAAATTTCAGATTATATGGTACTTCATACTGTTAAAAGATTTTCATGCTTGAATTTTCCCATGTCAAGACTCCAGGAATAACATACAGATTACAACATATGCAATGGAAAAGTCTCATCTATACAACCTTCTATTGGTTCAAGTCAGATATATAAATACAGTGAATATATAGGAAATGTTTAATTCCACAACCTGAGCAATGAGGTATCTTTGTACAGAGAAGTAACAATGCAGCACTCCATGTTACCGATACTTACAGTGACGGGTTTGTCCTTGTCCCACTCAGACAGTAGCTCCATTGTCTTACTCTCCACCACCTTATCCTCTGACACTATCTTCATCTGTAAACTGGCCACCTGGGTCTGGATAGAGGAGTCCTTCCTCTTCATAATGTCATTAAAGGCCCCCCACTCCCCCTCAATATTGTCACTATAAAGCCAGTTAGTGGGGAACTGGAATCTCTGTCGCTCCAAGATCCTCTGTCCTTCTTTGTACATCTTGAATCAAAAACTCACAGCATAAGAAAATGATGTCTGGGAATGTAAACAATTTAATAATTTATTTCATAGAGTTGTACTGCTCCCTTAAAATCTTAAAAGAAACTTCTAACAATATCATAATTGGCAAACAACAAGTTCTGTATCTACACTGCTTACATTGACTTGCTTTTCCCAGTTCTTCATTCTTCGCTTCAAGGCCTGGACTTGAGTGATTAGGCCTACAGCCTCAGAAGTATTAGCTGTATCAATAGACTGCTGTTCCAGCATCGAAAACCGATGATGGTTAATTTGTGTCCAAATAAAACAAACTAAAAACCAGCATTATTTACATTACATTGACAGGAAATTTCTTTATAATGTTATTAACTTGCCAATCCTTTATTAATTATCAATTCAGTTTTGGAATAATGTGAAATCAGTAATTTTTGTGGGGTTTAATTTCCATGGTTTTCGAGGTATGAAGAGACCCACAAATTCATGTCCACCACGAAATACAATTTTACACATATATTATAAACACAATTCTATCATTAAAAAATTTAAATCTTCCTTTATGAACCAATATATACACAAACTCTTAAGTTGAAAGAGAGTTTTTGCCTAAAGTTGTCCGAAAAATATGTGATTTTACAGATCACATTCTAAGTATTTTAATCCTGCAAATTTGAGCAATGATCATGTGTACATAGAATAACAATTGGCATATGGCTGATACTTACAGTGAATTTGTCTTTTCCCATTTCCAAGAAGGCTTCCAAACTTGCTAAGGACTTCTTTATGCCAGGAATCATATTTCAGACTCACTTTGGATTGCACCTGAATTACAAAGGAATTTAAAAAATTACCCCCTCAATATTGTCACTAAATGTAAGTAGATGGGGATGAAAATGTCTCCAGCATGAAAATTTTTTAATGTTACAATAACACACATTGAAAATGTGTCATGGGAATATTACAATTTAAAAATTTATATATTAAGAATTCTACTGTGTCTTATCTTAATAAAAAAGACAAAATTCAAGTGATACTACAATTAAATTGCATTTAAAAGTTTTCTTAAATATCTAACTCTGGTTGCATATTAGGCCACAGAGGCCCATGGGCTGTACAATAGACTGCTGTTCACTCTGAACACTAAATAAAATAACAAAAATGGCTTTATTTACAACATTCAAATACAAAAGTTATTAACTGACAAATCATGGATTTGCTATTTTTAAAAATGATTTTTAAAGAATTTTCCTATATATATTTGAAAAACTTTGATCACCACAGAATACCTTGGATATTGCTGAATGGAATTCTGTCATTTCATTTCCAAGAAGGCTTCCAAATTTGCTGAGGACCTCCTTATGCCAGGAATCATATTTCAAACTCACTTTGGATTGCACCTGAATTATGGCTTTGAAATTATGTTGTAGAAGAAGATGTTTAAAGATATTTCATGAAAAACTCTCATTAAAATAATTTTATGTCAGCCATTGATATAGGTTATGATTGCAATACACATTAAATGTCTCAAAAATATAAGAATACTACTGTGATCTTACTAAGAAAGACAAACATGAAAGAGATAATACAATTAAAATGCATTTTAAAAAGTTTTCTTAAATATCTAACTCATGAAGTACTCTGTATATTGAAGAAAAATTACAGCTTTGATACCTTTCCAAACTGCACAATAATAGGTCCTATTTCCTTCTGAGTTTCAGAGGTGTCAAATGTTTTTCTAGAAGACCTAACCAAAAGAAAATCATGGTATGTTAGTTCACTGTTACAGTAATGATCAGATCTTGTATTGCAATAAAAAAGTTTGTTAACTGCTTTGTCTTACTTGATTTCTTCCAGAGTATTCATCCATAACTTGATCTTTAGTCCCAAGCGGCTGTACAACACATCTGGGTTCAAATCCCAAAGAGACTGGTATCTCAGCCAAACCTACAATAAATAGTACATGTATACATGTAATTGAATTTTAACATATTAAAATGCTTCACCATTAATATCCAGTTTTTAACCTTACACCCCGTATCTGACCTACCTTGACATATTTGTCAAACTCCTTCATGACGGCCTGTATAGCTGAGTAGGCATCCTCCAGCACGATCTGACCCCCGGGGAGTTTAGTCAACACATTCCTGTAGGTGCTCTCTGATTCTGACTCCACGTCCAATCCAACCTACAATTTATAACAATTCATTTAGAAGTTTAAGTCCATGAGAATACATTTCATTCAAATTACACTTACATGCTACTTTCTTACACAAGTTTTGATTCAAAGTTGCAAGTCCATGCAAATTTTTTTGGAAAAATATCAATGTCTGGAAAATTCTGACAACATTTACATTAGGCATATACCTGAACATAATTGACCAATGGGTGGGCATTTTACCTGTAATCTGTTATATCTAGTGGGTGGTAACTTTTTCCTTGATATCGGGAGTGTTGTAGTTACTTTTTTGCCTAATACCTGAAATGCCTATTGGGCAATTTTACCTGAAATCTGGAGTGTCTAATGTGTGGCTATTTTTACCAGATATCTGGAGTGTCTAATGTGTGGCTATTTTTACCTGATATCTGGAGTGTCAAATGTATGGCTATTTTTACCTGATATCTGGAGTGTCTAATGTGTGGCTATTTTTACCTGATATCTGGAGTGTCTAATGTGTGGCTATTTTTACCTGATATCTGGAGTGTCTAATGTGTGTTAATTTTTACCTGATATCTGGAGTGCCTGATACGTGGCAGACTTGTGATGACTGCCTCCCAGCCAAACAGTTCCTGCATGATGTTGACCCTGGACTCCTCCACTGGTGGATTAACGTAGATAAGCTGGTTGGTGATTCTCAACTCGTGCACCATGGGCTGTAATTCAAGAAGATCTTCAACATAAACATCAACTCTTTCGTCAAAACTTGGCTTATGGTATTGTTAACTTAATAAATCATAGGATGAAATGTCACCATCAAATTAAGTACTGTATCTAAAAACTTCTGTAAAATGCAACTTTTACTTTATGGAAAAATGTAAATGAAGCGCATAGTAAATTATATTCTTCATGTCAGCCTTCATTCAGTTTATTTACCTTGATATGTGGATCTCCTCCAGGCTTGTTGGCCTGTTTCTGTGGTTCATCTGTGTCCATTGTATTGTCTGTGGAGGACTGGTCCTGACCCAACAATACCTGTGTCCAGGCCTTCAAACCGGCCTCTAGACGCCCTGCCAATGCTGCCTCCACCTGTCATCCAAATACAATAAAGTTAATCAATCAGTCCAGCAAAGGCAGCAATATCCAACCAATTTACAACTAATCAGATCAAAGTTATCAGAATACTATAAAACAAGACCAATGTTCCAGAAGAATACCAGTAATAGAACTAATTTTTACAAAGTTTTACTTCCTTAGAAATTAGACCTCACCCTTTGGTCGAGCTTGGCCACCCACTGTGGTAGGTTGGAGTAGGAGTGCAGACTAAGGTTGTCCACTGCCTTCTGGATTTTACCCAGGATTTCTGTGAACACTGCATTACTGTAGGCACAGGTCTCTAAAGCCTTCACTTCCAACTCAATCTCCTCTTCAATGGCCACTAAATCATCCACCTGTTAAAGAAAAGATACATTTTAAATGATGACAACTGATGATTCTTGAAACTAATGAAAAATATTTGTTTTTTCAAACATTTGAAGAAAACTGCACCTTTTCTTGGAAGCCGTTTTCTGTGTCAGCCAATCTTAGAACGTATGGCTCCAACTTTCAAAATTTGCATATACCTGATCATAATTGAAATACATAATGCATTGTAATTAATTCATACGTGTATGCTGTATTATCATGCACCTGACATACGGTATTTGGAGTGTTAATAGGCACTTTTTTCCTATAATAAATTTCTGTGAGAAAGGGAATTTTATTGTACATCACAATGGGATTTTGTGTGTTTTTCTTTCTGGTGAAACACGGCTATCTGATGTATGGCAATTTTACCTGATATATGCAATTTCTGATGTTTATGGCAATTTTAAACTTATCTGGAAAGTTATGTGTGGCAATTTTTGTTAAAAATTTCACTTTCTAATGTGTGGATATTTTTACATGAAAAAGCAAGTTAAAAGTGTGTGACTTTTTGCCTGATCATCTGGAGTAGTCCGCCATTACCGATGTTATTTTTGAGACGTTCACTCCCTATGTCACAGTTCCTGCATGATAGTGCACATGCACCTTATCTGCCAGACAAGTAGTAATAAGTCATTTTTTAATGATTCAATAAAATAAAAATTTACCATAGGTTTTAAATTCAATGAAAATCTTCAACATAAACACCCCTCTTTCTTCAAAAAAGGAAGCCAATGTTGTTACACAATAAATGGTCAAAGGATAATTAACTATCAAATTAATTAATGTATCTAAAAACTTCTGTAAAGCAATGTTTTTACAGTTAGAGGAACAATGCAAATAAAGAATTCTGTTAAATTCTTTTCTTTGTTAAAATTGGGGGTCATTTACCTTGATATGTATCATTCACTATGTTGAGCATGTGTTGATTACTGTGTCCATTGTACAATTAAACACTTGTTAAATGTAATTTTACCTGTGTCATCTTATACTTATCGGCCTCTTTTTTAAATGCTGCCTCCAGTTGACAAATAAATATGAATTTAATCTAAAACTGTCCAGCAAAGGTTATCATTATCCATCCAATTTACAACTAATCAGATCAAAGTTATCAGAAGAGAAAAACAAGACCAATGTTCCAATAAATACTTTGATGATTCAATTTCGTGTACTGTTAAAGAATTGTAACATAATTTTCAGCATGATTACCTAGAACCAAAATTGAATATGATTACTGTTAAAACTTTCAACAATATCTCATGCTTTGTTGAAATAAAATTATTTCATCTAACAATGCATTACTGTACGCACAGGTTCAAAATCACTTAACTATGCCTGTTAAATGGCAACATTATCTTGTGCTTTGTTGAAATAAATAAATACATTTTAAATGATGACATGATGATTCTTGAATAAGAAAAATATTTTTTTTTAAAACATTGTGTTCAGAAAATTTTTGCACCTTTTCTTGGAAGCCGTTTTCTGTGTCAGCCAATCTTAGAACGTATGGCTCCAACTTGTAAGATTCCCACACCAGACCAACGCCCTGAAATACATAATGCATTGTAATTAATTCATACGTGTATGCTGTATTATCATGCACCTGATATAACTGTAATTGTCTCTATAATATGTTCTTACCTCTGCAATGAGATTCTGCACTTCCTTCCTCAACCCAGCCACTAACAACACAATGGTGATTCTTGCATCAATCTGAAATTTGATTATTTATTATGAAACAGTTAAAACAAATTTAAGATCAAATCATGATGGTATTAAAAGTAGAAATATGAAAGCACTTTTAAAATGACCTTCCCACCTTTTCAAGGGTTCTCTGGTAGGTTTTCACACTTTCAATCAGAGAAATGGCAAATGGATACAGCTGGTTTGCCTGATGAGCTTTGTTGACTATAGCTAAGGGAACTCGGAATCCTAGCCACCTCAGATTTCTCACCTACAACCAGAATACAACTTAAAATCTTACAAGAGGCCCATGGGTCTTATAGGTTACCTGAGCATTATGCAACAACTTTCAAGTGATTGAATTTGATTCATGTTTTAATCCAGATGCTATGGCATTCACAATTTTGAAAGAGGCACCATTGATCATCATAACAATACACTTAGTAGTTGCTTAGTTCGTTTACTTAATACCCATAGGCAGTGAGGGTAGGGGAACAAAAAATGCATTTCAAGTAATCAGTAATATTCAGCATAATCAGTAATGCCCCAATCACACATGAACCCCCGACCCTTAGGCCTAGATCCACACATTGCACAATTTTTGAAAAGGCATCCTTGCTTTTCAAAAATATTTGATAAATACCAAGGAGCAGATTTCAAACAATTCATCCAGTTTCAGTATATAAGTACAGCCCCCCCCCCCCCTCCTTTATGGTACCCCTGACCCTGGGGCCTTGAAATTCACAATTCTGGAAGATTAGGACCCTTGCTCATCATAACTATATAGGTAGTTCATCTGCTTAATACCAAGGAGCAGAGAAGAAAACTTTCAAAGATTTAATGTATTTTCACTATATAATCAATAGAGCCCTGCCCTATCACTAGAACCCCTGATCCTAGGGTCATAAAATTCACAATTTTGGAAAAGGTATTCTTGCTCATCATAACTATGTAATTAGTTTATTTCATTCCTAGGAGCAAAAAAGAATTTTTTTCAAAGAATTCATGAATCAATAGAGCCCTGCCCTAACACCAGAACCCCTGACCCTGGGGCCATAAAATTCAAAATTTTGGTAGAGGCACTCTTGCTCATCAATTTAATACCCAGGAGCAGAGAAAAAGATTTTCAAAGAATTAATGTACTGTAAACGTACTTCATGCCTTATTTTTAATATATAATCAATAGAGCCCTGCCCTAACACCAGAACCCCTGACCCTGGGGCCATAAAATTCACAATTTTGGTAGAGGCACTCTTGCTCATCATAACTATGCACTTATTTAGTTTATTTAATACCCAGGAGCAGAGAAGAAGATTTTCAAAGAATTCATGAAATTTCACTATATAATCTATAGAGCCCCACCCTTACACCAGAACCCCTGACCCTGGGGCCATAAAATTCACAATTTTGGTAGAGGTTATTAATCTTGCTCATCATAACTATGCACTTAGTTAGTTTATTTAATACCCAGGAGCAGAGAAGAAGATTTTCAAAGAATTCATGTATTTTCACTATTATAATCTATAGAGCCCCACCCTAACACCAGAACCCCTAACCCTGGGCCATAAAATTCAAAATTTTGGTAGAGGCACTCTTGTTCATCATAACTATGTACTTAGTAGGTTTATTTAATACCCAGTAGCAGAGAAGAAGATTTTCAAAGAAATAATGCATTTTCACTATATACTTATTTAGCCCCGCCCTAGCACTAGAACCCATGACCCCGGGGCCATGAATTTCACAATTTTGGTAGAGGACTCAATGCTGATTACAATCATGCAAACAATTTGACTGCTTGATGTCCAGGAGTAAAGAAGAAGATTTTTAAAGATTGCATTAATTTTAGTGGTTTTTGCCCCACCCCCCAGGCCCCAGGGGGGCAGGGACCATGAAATTCACAATTTTTGTTCCCCTTTACCCATAGATGCTATATGCCAAATTTGGTTGAAATTGGTTCAGTGGTTTCAGAGAAGAAGCTGAAAATGTTCAAATGTTAACGCTCGACGAACGACAACGGACGAAAAGTGATAGCAATAGGTCACCTGAGTTTACTCAGGTGACCTAAAAATCACAAGTGATATCAGAACAGTCTTATCACCTATATTCTCTTGATTTATCCTATACCCACCTCCTTTGACAAAGCTATAACTTCAGGCTGGAAATTGACACACAGCTTCAGAACATTTCCTTTACCCATGACTTTGGACTTGAAGCTCTGAACACTAAATATTCTTCCTGTTACTACCAACTGTCTTCCTTGAACCTGAAAACATTCTCAATGATTATCACATTTTAAAATTCATATGGAATTAAATGACAGAAAATGACATGTTAGACACTGTTATCATACCCTTCTTTGCCATTCTTCAAACAATTCCTGTGTGTTGAGTTTCAGTCTGAAGCTCTCTCCATCATTCTTTAGTTGTTGTCCCTCCACATGGTTTTCCCAGCCTTTTCCAAGGACCACCTCGACATGGCTCAACAATGCATTCAGCTGGTGCTCAATCTATTGTAAATTAAAGCAACAGTATATAAAAGGTCAGCATACAGTGGCTTAACTAGATTTAATGTTTTCTACACATTACAAAATTTCATATGCAAGAGGATTCGTTCTTGAAAAATCAGTGTAGTTTTGGATCAAAATGATTCCGCCTACCTGTCTTGACCAAACAATTCTTCCGGAAACGTGTGGCAAGTCTCTAACTTTACTCATCTTACAGGCAGTGCTGTGAATGTACTGAACCTAAAAAAGCAAAGAATCTGAATCATTAGATCTATTAGACACACACTAACATATGCATTGTATCCCTCTTGTTATCTTCATAATCTAATACCACAAAAATATGAAATGAAAACTTTTGCTCTGCTAATGATAATTTACTTTGAATTTTTCATGAAGTGCCTCAATGTCATCTTTAACTCTCTGAATGAGCTGGGTCTGGTACTCTCTGATTGCTCCACGAATGTGAGGTCTGACAAACAGTGCATTGAAGCGGGAGAAAATACGGAACATTTCATTGGCATTCTTTGCTGTTCCTAACTGGTCCCTTAGCTTTGCAGTGATCCTTGTCTCAACTCGATCTATTCTCTCATCATACCTGTGTAAAGGAATCATCATGTAAGTTTTGTATATGTGATCAAATGTAAATATATTATTGGCATCATTACTTTCAGAAGACTACGGATTAACAGCTATCACAAGGCTGTACCTTTTAATGGCTGCTTCCCAGGCATCTGAACCTTCTTTGGACACATCCAAACCATCAACTTCCTTCACATTCTCATAAGCCAAGTTAACCTCCTAAATTTATCAAGAAAAAAAATCAAATCTTAAACAACACAAATTCATAAACCATAGCACTTTAGCATTACAATACAGTAAGAAAAATAAAGCCCTTGTGAAGGCACCTTCAGGTTTTTCTGTGTATAACACTGTAAAGAATCCAATAAAAACATTCTGCTCAAAAACAAAAGATGGGATGATCAAGAATAAAAACAGAGAGGAGAGTTGTTGGCTGTGTAGTTAATAGTAAATCAAATACAGCAAAACTCTTTTAGTACGAACATGGATATTGCGAATTTATGGCTACAGCGAAGTCATCTTGGATCCCCAGCTATATAAATTTAATAAATTTCATATACGGTTATAATTTAATTTCATTTGTATCAAGCAATTCCATTGGCTGAATCATTCATTCGTCATTGTCTCTGAATCATTCAGAGGAACATATAATATTTTGTATAAAATAACTTGCCTACGTCACAATGAGTTACGTCAAAAACGTACATGTATTACTCCGCTTGACATTACTTTTAAAATAATTCTCAATTTGAAGCCTTTTTCCAGAGGAAATATTGTCTCATTGTCTACTCTGAAATTAAATTATAAGGATGAAGCTAATTTCAACTTATGTTATCCGATATAACAAAACAGAGTTTACACTTTCTATAAACCGCTTCACGGTTTATAAAGCATATCAAGTTATGTTATATCATATATTGAAATAAGCTTCATTCCTTAAATAACGAATTATGGATATAGCGAAGTAATTTCATAGGTCCCAGTGACTTCGTTATAACTGAGTTTTGCTGTATCTATTTTCTTGTCTGTAATTGCCAGTGCTCACTTTCATCTGTTTCACACCATAGACCAAACAAAACAATAGTACTTCTCTCAGTAGAGTTTAAGAATTACCAGAGCCCTGCCTAGTTCAGAACATTTTAGCCTTGGATATGGAACATGTACCTCAATGGCATTAGCATCAGCTACTTCATCCACGAGAGGTTTGACGACCTTGGCATCAGCTTCTTCTTGACCTGGAGTTCCGGCCTGGGCTGGTTTTGTTGTTGTTGTTGGACGCAGCACTCGCACAATGACCTGTCTTAACTGTTCATGCTGACGTCGAAATCTGTAAAGGTTGATCTATACTGATCATACTTGTTTTTTAAGTGTTCATTCATGAGTAAAAATTAACTAATATCATAAAAAGATAATTGCACATTATAAGTATGCGTGCCAAAAATCTTTCAGTTAATTTTAATCCCATCTTTCCCCCAAGAGTAAAATTTTTACAACATACTTTTTCATCTGATCTAGTCGAGCTTGGAGGCGTTTGTGGGCTGGATTTACCCTCCATACCATTCTAAGATGCTCTTCTCTCTTCTTTTTCACCAAGTCTCTCAACAGACCCTGGAGTTTTTCATACTCATCATCCCAAGTCCCAAACACCTCAAAGCAGGCTGTCATCACTTTCTCAAATTCATCGTATGGGATGTGCATTAAACGACGAGTTCCCAGAACCTGAAACAGGAAGACGTTTTTAATCAAAGTAAATACAAAATGTTGAAAAAATGGTTTCAGTTTGCTTGAAAGTGCCGTAAAGTGATTGCATAAATCTAATTGTATACTCCAATGTATGCATGTATATGTTTCTATTACAGAGAACAGATATGCCAACTTGTCAAAATCTATGTGTACCTTAAGTAATTGTGAGCTAAGATCTCTTGAAATAGCCTCTACAAGCCGTAGACATCTTTGGATTGGGTACTTTGTTGGTCGAATTTTACGCAAATGGATAAAGATGGCAGACAGTGCGACCCGGATCCTGTCAAGCTCTGTTGCAGACAGGAGATCATTGAGAGGGAAATCCTTCATCAGCTGGTTGTAGTCATTCACTGTTGCCATTGCTTGCTTCAATCCTGTTAAAAATTTTTTAACATATTATATTAGATAGTGAGTGACTTTCATCAGGGTTATTGTTTAATTCATATGCATTTACTATACACGAGAGACGAAAATAACAACTTCCGGGTCAGAGAGTTTCTACTCTATTTTCATAAGCTGTCACTGATTGATTCATTGATTTTAGTCTCATAATATTTTCTAAATATTACTGCGTTATTCATTTAGGTTCAAACCTGTATCAGTGTCAAAACTGACAGTTGCATGGAAGCGTTTGCCATGTTTAAGAATATCCAATGTTAGAACAATCTCTGGACTCTCTCGTTTCTCCTGAATTCTTAGAAGTGCTCTCTCCAAATTAAGCCAGAAACTGATCTCCTGAAGAGCTGTGCCTGAGGCAGGATCCCTGTCTAGTTTTGTCACCTAAATAATAACAAGTTACTCCTTTACTATTCTTTTTTACTTTGGTACAATAATTACCAAAGCGTGCTTTGGAAATATCTGAATAGATTATTTACATGTATATTTTTAAACACAGTTGATTTCAATAGAATCAACAAATGTTAAAGAAGTAAACAAACTTCTACAAAATGCTCCCTCAATAATATGATAAGAGTGACATGTATATTACTGCTGTTACAGTCTTACCTTTTGAATTTCCCTGATCCATCTGTTGACACCACTCTGTAATGCATTCAAAAACTGTGCATCTTCCACTTTGTCCCCAAAGTCCTCTACTTTCGGTTTCCTTCCCTCCTCAGCACATTTCTTAATCACCGCTGACACGACTGGGTGAATGGGGAGATTGATTTCTGGGATGTCTATATTCTGTTGAAGATGTAACAACCCCATCTCCAGCTCTGATATCTTCTTTTCTACAGTTGGGGCCATTTTATCTCCATCTCTGTAAAGCCAAATTGAGAGTATACAAAAGTGCCATTGGTATAATTTATACATTTTATTCATACTCTCTTAGTGGAAGTTGCTTTGTATTTATTAATATGTCTTTAGTATGCTATGACTGATTTGATTTTTCTTCTTCTTCTATGGACAATGGTTTATGAAATTTAAACATAAACAGCAAAAAATACTTTTACAAATTCATATATAAAGAATTTCCTATAGATCTTTAATATGAACATTTTTCTTCACTATATTTATCCATACCTCTCTGCTTTTCCAGTTTCCTTTATGTACGACTTGAAGAATGGAGAGACAGCATTACTAACATAGGCATGGAGTGTTTCATAGGGAGAGCCTTCACTAAAGTTCATGACTCTGATCTGTGAGGGAAAACTTTTCTCTGCCTCCACCACCTGTCCTCTCTTAATAAGTACCAGACTATAAAAGAAAATAAAATGTATTTCATCCGTGCATTTATATCACCAGGAACACCAGTCTTTACCTAAATATTATCAGAGAAATACTCTATAAAAAAAAATTGAAAAAAAAATCTACCTATCAAAAATAATAAAATGTGTTCTTCATGTGAAGGTAACAGAGCACTATTTGTTATAACTGTATAAGTATATTTCTGTTTGGATATTCTAATACCTGGACACTTTGGAGCTGGAGTAGTGGACATCCACAGAGAATGTGTAAACAGCGGGGGCCTCTCCATCTCCCTCGCCCACCTCCTCAGATTCATCTAAATAAAATAAAATTTCAATCATAAAATCAAAATGACTTTTACAATGCAAAATGCACACCACTCTTCAACCTTGATGCCACTGTGTTTAATCACATCAAAATTTATAAAATTGGGAAAGGATGGGTGTGACTGGGGGGAAGGGATCAACACACCCATATGACATTTAATCTAGCTACCAAGGAAATTCCATTTTGATAGGGGGACTCATTCTCAATTGAGACTGAGAAAAGTGACAATTAGTACCAAGAGATATAAGAAAATATCCAATTTGTTCAGTGTTAAAAAAACTTCAACTATACTAATTTGCACAATTTACCAAAAAATACAAAAATTTTAAACAATTTGGAAATTAATACATGGAACTTTCTCATTTGATATGAGATGTACCACTTTGAAGTTGCAACTTAAAAGGTGTAATGCTCTGATTCAAATAATCCTATTAACCAATGCTATTATACCCCCAGCCTCCACCTCCCAAAAATTAGAAAAAACTTTCAGGCCTAGAAAAAAAATATGTTTGTTTCCGCTTTCAGGCTGAACAAGAATAGATATGGGTTACCCCATATCCAAAGATATTCGACTTTTAGATTTAATATGTTTAACAGTGTTTATAATGACGCTAATAAAAAAAAACTGCACTGTCTAATTATGGAACTGTTGTAAATTTCGTGAGTCCATAGCATTACGGTCACCCAGTCTCCTAACAAACAGTACACATAGGCCTACATGTATCTGTGTCCGCAAGACCAACATTAGCCTTGGTCTACACACGTGCGATGGAGCTGTCAAACGCATCCAGCGAGCTCGGAGAAACACGTTTTGTTTTGCCGAGAAGTTACGATGGCAGACAAAACTTTTCTTTTCTTAATTAGATCATATGAATACGAATTCTGATTAATAAAAATTATACAATCCCTGTTGAACTATATATAGTTTGTTCTAACATTTGCATCTGCAACAACTTGTGTTTAAAATGGCCGGGTTAGGAAAATCATATATTTCTATGGACCGGGTCGGAAAATTCTAAACTGAAAACCTTTTTTGTTTTGAAAATTACTGAAATATACTAATGTATTCGTCGCAGAAATTACTTACATTATTCAAGTTCTATATAAAATGGTATGCTGAACTTCAACACGAACCCGAATCTCCAACCCAGTTCTCGTTTTGCCACACATACCCTACAGTTTACAAAGTGTACACACGAGCAGAATCCGGCCAGGGATTGAAAATTCCGTCATTTAATAATACACACACACACAGAATGATTAATTTTTTCTTTAAGAAGAAATTGTATGATAATTAACGGACTATAAACATGAACTTAATACAGTTGTTGATATGGTATCATCAATTCATCGGTGAAAAGATATGAATCGAAGAATGACCTAAATATTCATGTAAAAAAAAAAGGCTGAGGAGGGAGCGAGCGTAGGAATATTGATATTTTTTATTTGCATTTCGGGGGGAAAGTGACTTTCTAATAATATTTTGACGTTATTTTTGATTTCTTTAGCGGATGACATACACAACTTTACTCTTATCATCAACAATAATGTTGTATCTACTTATCATGATGGAACTATTTTGGTCGGACCAATTTGTGTGAGCCGCCGCTGAATACAGTAATATATCTTGCATTAATAGTATGCACTGATCGAATATATTAAAAAATATAGGGTAGGTAGGTAGGCAATTTTTTTTTTTTTTTTTGCTTCTTTAATCAAAACATGTATAGAAGAAATAATAACAAATAGATGACAAACGAAATGGTGTTTTCAAGCATTTCTTTGACTTAAACTCATAACAAAAAGGTTAAAAGCTTGCAAAGTTGGAGACTCTAATTCCCTGAGTGAAATCTTGCACTTCCTGGGACAAAAGCATTAAAAAAAATTTTAGGGTCGGCACTATAAATTGTGTGGTTTCTATTGAAATTATTTTAAGAAAATAAAAATCAAACATATTTTTTTTCTATGGAATAATTACTCATAGAGAAGTGGATATTGCAGTCAATGTAATATGCAACTGATAAGAATCTTCAAACGTTTTTCTTGCTTCTTGCTGCTTTGCTTATAAACTTAGTGCAGACAGGAAATAATACCAGTTCATGATACCCCTCCCACGCATCAGAATTGTTCTGATTATTGCCTGACCTTTCCGTCATTCAACCTCTTTCCATGGCACCTACCATTTCATTTAAAATAATTGATTTTTTCTTTCGCTTTTAAAAAATTATTTCCTTTTGACTTATCCTAGTCAGCTGACAGATATGGTCTGTCATTGATTATGATAATAAGGCCGTCGGCCAATGTATGAGTCATAACAAACTCTGAACTGTCAAAATTCAAATTAGATATATTTTTTTAATTAAATTTGGCGACCTTTTATAAAGGTAATATATCATGTATATCAAATGTAATAAGAAATGGAATCATTGCGGGCGGTTGATCTGTGCTCCATGAAATTTTTTGATAAATTGTGTACTTTATACATATATACTCTTCTCAAAAATGGTAGTCTTCAGTTGAGGTGGAGCAGAATCCTTGTATATAATTTTTGCCTCCATCAAGGCGCAACATGGTGAATGCCAATTTTTTGATACGGTCACACTAATGATAATATGACAAAATTTTGGCCAAAAAATGATTACTTCATAAATCGGCTTTTACGCCAAAATTGAACAGGCGCAGCCATCAGGTGACTGTATCTTTTGTGCGCTGTTGCGCCGTTCTTGCATTTGCCATCCCTTCCTTCAGCAGAAAGTAAAAAATAGTTTTCTTTTTCCTTTTATTAATTCTGAAAATGGGCTGCATAAACATAAAAACAAAAGTAAACAAGTTTTATTTCATTTCCTTAACAAAATATATAGATCACCTCCCAAGTCCCGAAACGTGTTAACCCAAGTCCCGAAACGTGTTGTCATCATCCGGGCTTTTAATGTATGATTGAAGAGTTCCTCAAAAGGGAGCTAATAAAGATTGATAAAAAAAAAAAGTGTGCAAAATAAAAAAGGAAAATAAATGAATAAATGACTGAATGAATGAATGAATGAATGAATAAATGAATGAATGAATTTTTAAAAAAATGATCATAATGATATCTCTGATAAATTAAATATAAAATAAAAAAAAAATAAAAATAAATAGATGAATAATTGAATGAATGAATGAATGAATAAATAAATAAATAAATAAATAAATAAATAAATAAATAAATAAATAAATAAATAAGATAAAATATTTTTTTTTAATCAATCATAATAATATCTCTGAAAAATTACTACAGTGTAAAATTAAAAAAAATGAATGAATGAATGAATAAATAAATAAATAAATAAATAAATAAATAAATAAATAAATAAATAAATAAATAAATAAATAAATAAAAATAAAATTTATTTTTTTAAAAATCGATCATAATGATATCTCTGATAAATTACTAGAGCTTTGAAAATTATTAATATTCGGGGGCCATACAGTTTTAGGTTTTCCCCCAGTCCGTCTATCTGTCTGTTTGTCCGCAAAAAGTTTAGCCTTCCTCATAACTTTTGAGTGGCTAGGGTTATGACTTTCATATTTCAGAGGTATGTTACCTTTCTTGGGTACCATCAAATTTGACCGCTTGACCATAGGGTTTGGCCCACTTTTACAAACACACACACCCTCCCTTCTTCCCCCACACACATCCTTACCCTCCCTTACACACTTTTCACACACACACACAATTTGACATTGGTTATAATTTTTGCACGGTCTTTGTTAAAGCTTACATACTTCATATGTGTATTTATTGTGACAAGACCTTTCAGCTGGTATGGATATTTTTGACCTTATAAACTTTGACTTTTTATAAAAACCTTTTCTTTTCTTTTGACCATTCATATTTCAGTTTCAAGATCTTTCTTTGTGTACCACCAAATTTGACCTTTTGACCTTGAAGTTTCACTCACAAATTATCACACTTTAACTTTGGACATAACTTTTGAACAGTTAGTAACTATAGAGCTTTCATATTTCACATATATGTACGTATTACGTAGTCGTATTCATTGTGACATGACCTTTCAGTGGTTATAACTATTTTTGACCTTGGAGTTTCACTCTCTTTTACAACAAATTATGATACTTTAACAATTGATACTAGAGTTTTCTTATGTCACATATATATACGTATTCATATTGTGACAAAACCTTTCAGTGGGTATAATTATTTTTGACCTTATGGCCTTGATCTTAGTGTTTGAGCCATTTTTTTTAACTTCAACCTCGGCCATAACCTTCGAAAAGTTAGAAATAGGGATTTGATATTTCACAGGTGTATTTTTTGTGACAAGACCTTTCTTTTGTACCACCAAACCAAATTTGAGCTCTTGACTTTGACCTTTGAGTTTGACTTGCAAGAAACTTTCACCCTCGCCATAAGCTGCCGTATGTGGGCATCAGTACTAGTGTTTCACAAACACATCTTGATTTTTATTCCTAATAAATAATTCTCTAAACATATAATATGAGCAATATCAACATGCAATGCACCAACCGGCAAAACTTGTCTTGCGATAAATGTCACTAATAATTTGGCCCAATGGCTGACTAGAATTGCAGATGCTCATAAATACGTCATCACCAGTATCGACTTCTACAACGGAAAATCCTGTAGAAACTGCGTCACTTCCGTTGTTCCACAAGTATGTTTGTCCGAACACTACGTCATTAACAACAAGAGAGAAGCAGGCATGGTTGTCGATGTTGTCCATGGCGATACTCCAACTAAACGCATATGTCCCTTTCAGTGGAACTTTGAAGACACCAGTGTAAACATCAAAGGCTTTCATGACATTGGTTATTACTGTCTCGAATAAGATTCTTTCTCCTTTTGCAAGATTTCGCTGATCTCGCGATTTTACAGCATAAAAAGAAGGAATAGTAATCTGTACACCTACAAAGAGAGTATATATATAAATGTAAAAATTAAACAAAATAAATTTTCGTATGTCTGAATTGACAAAACCGGTAAGAGATACCAGTTGATGAGGTCTCTTCCAGCCTTTTCATCACAGTCGACAAGTGGTCCTCCAAGAAACTAATCCTTTTTGATTGGTCGTCTATTATGGTCTGCTGCCTTTCTATTAGTTTCATCATGTTGTCCATTTTGCAGTCCAGTGTGTTACATGTGTCATCTAAAAGAAAAGTATAGGAGGGAAGTATAGAGAGAGATAAAAGAAACAGCAGTGCCATAATTTACAGTTCTTCCTAGAATGAAGAGATAACGTCAAAAATTAATCCAATGACCTACTTAGACATGAGTAGATATTATTCCTGCCTGTTAATGTACATTATTACGGCAGTTTTTATTATTTATTATTTCCCTTTAATCAAAGGTTTGGGGCTGATAGTTTTGGCCCTATCTGTTTGTCCGCTTAAATTATAACTTTCTCCATAACTTTTGACTGGTTGGAGCGATGTTTTTTATATTTCACAATTCTAACTATTCCATTTTACAAGACCTAGCTTTCTTTGGAGTAGGTACACATATTTTTACCTCTTGTCCATGATGGAGTTTGTAAAACACCAAAGCACTGAAAGTTATGGACAATGTTAAAGATTTGGCGGACAAACAGACAGACCGACGGACAGGGAAAATTTATGTACCCCGAATCTTCGATTACGGGGTCAAAAAATAACACCATATCTAATACTAGTATTACATTTTATTCGGAATGAGGACATTTTGATACAATTTTCAGTTAACCTTGGACTTTCAGTAAGTATTGGCATTCTCGATCGCGACGTTACATAATTACCGTCTGAAATTTACACAGCTTTCATTCACTGTTGAAATATACATGGGATTGTTGAAATATACACGGAACAGAAATTCGGCGAATGTCAACAAGTGTAGAAATTAACCAATGCAGCGTCTCGTACGACAAAGAGGTGGGGCTTAAGTCGTCTCATTATTGTCAATTACAACATCTTAAAGTTCCTGATCAGATTTTATTAATTAATTTCTTAACCAATGAGAATCTATTCACCATTTGACAGACGCTTATTACATGTACGAAGCGCCGAGAATGCCACGCCTTACTGAAAGCTAGTCCAAGGTTAACTGAGAATTGTACTATGTACATGTATATAAGCCCTGTGCTCTTTACCTTATAGAGTTTGACACACCCTTGCAAAGTTTAACGTACGATATAGACACTTGATCGGTTTGCTAGAGCTTTCAGAAAATTAACATAAACTGTCAAAGTGGACATCAATGGATTTCAAACACATCTTGTTCTCTCTAAAGTCTGCAAGATTTTTAAAACAGATCATCATCTCTATCTTTAAATCTAAAATTGATTTTTTTTCTCAGTATGACGGATACTATTGCAGACACTAGACATACCATGTAGACCAACATTTTGTTGAATAAAACTTGATATACCGATTAATAATAGTTATTTACATCTGCAAATATTTTTCTTAGATGAACCAATTGAAAAGAAAATATGCTCAATTCTGTATAAACTTAGTTGGTACGTGATCAAATCTACTGAGAAGCCCTTTTTCTAAATATTTGTATGTTAAAACAATTATTTATTCATTCATTCATTTAATTATTTATCTATTTATTTATTTGATCAATTAGTTTTGACTTAACCTCATTTTATTATTTTTTTTTTTAATTTCAACAACAAACAAAACAGGGACGCACTTGCTGGTACAGGAGGAGTTGTCGTTCTTTAAATGCTCTCCTATGTTGGAAAACAGAAATATCATTGTTGACAACGAAAACTATCTATCCAATTTATCCATCAAAATTTCTCTTTTCCAACACTTTGTGAATAAAATGTGATATATTCAGGACTTGGTCTATTCCAGTGAAAATGTCTACACAGGTAGAAAATACTGGCGTTAATCACGCCGTTGAAAGGCTGCTAGAACTCGGTAAGTCCACGTCATGTTGAATTGTTAATCCACGGTTTGATTGTAGTTAAACTTTTGGTTATTACATGTATGTATCTTCACAACACTTCACAACTTGTTCCTGTTATGTAATTTTATGAAGTACTGTGTCTAATCTTTTCAACGAAGAGTGGAAAATTCAAATACAGTCAAACTTCATTAACTCAAACCTCACGTGCTCACAGGGCTGCGAAAATAATTCGAGATATCTGGGGATTCAAGATATTAAGGGTAAAGTAGTTAAATGGTTGGGACTTCCATGATATCAATTTGTCATATCCATAGCATTTGAGATGTCGGAATACGAGGTGCCAAAGATTAACTGTAGGACAATATGATGACAAACATTTTCACACTTATCTATAATTAGTTAGTGTTTACTTTCATTTTACTTTTATTTTGCAGCTGACCGAATGAGAGATGTTGATTTCGGATTTAACGACAAAGATATTAACAACATAGATAAGATTATAGAATCCATTCATGAATTGGTATGTGGAAGAACTAGAAAAGTTCAAAACGAAACCTCAAGGTATCAAAATGTTTTGGGTTTTTTTTGTCATATAATTATAAATGTGTAACTGAGTATTTTATTTGTATACCAGTATACTATAATAAAAAATATTTAGGTCTAGCATGGTCTTGGATCAGTTTACCCTTTCTACATGTTTGCATGAGTCTGTTTGCCCAAAAATGGCTCAGAATTATGAATAATAATTTATCCCATTTGCCCTTCATCCCTAAATGTAAATACATGTGTATTATATGTTAACATTTTTAAAATAATTTCTAAATTATTACAGAAATGCCAGCTTATACAATTTTGCCATACCGCTTAAGGTTTGAACATCTAAAATATTCGAGTATTTTCATAGGTGTCTGCATTCAGTTTTCACTATCACAGTACAAAAGTCAAGTTCCTTACACATGTTACAGTATTGTTTATATTGTCGTCTTCATTGTCTGTTTCTGTTTGATGTAGGTTATGAAGGCCTAATGTTTTTCTGTTAAATTCACATTTGTTTGAAAATTTTTCATAGGATGAAGCTAGAAGAAAAATGCATGAAAGGCTAGAAACTAAGACCATACATGCAAGTATTTTACGTCACAAACTGCAATTCCTACCAGCTCAGATTCGTGATGAAATTAAAGCTGCTGTTTCATCAGCGAGACAGTCAAATGCTTCAGCACAGAATGAAATGCAAGAAAAATTAGAATTGATACAAAAAAATATGTCAGATCTGGAAGATCAGCAGCATGTGTTGGACAAAGAAAATGCAAAACTGCAGTGAGTATATATTAAAGACAGACAGATACACACTGTAATATGAAGTTGTATAATTCACTATTTACATGATTTAGTAAAACTACTAAGGATGAATATATTGAGATATTAACAATATCAATCTGTGTGATGACAATACATGTATCTTAATTTACAGGTGTGTAAAATTAGAAATATCTATATGGAAAAACAAAAATTCAGGCATTTTTTGTTCTTTTCTGTGTTTTGTTTTAAACTCAGTTTTAAATAATATGAAATGAATTTTTCTAAATATAGATAATGATATGAAATGTGTTATACTGTAAATCACTTTTTATGTGCGAGAACTTTTTTCGCGTAAGTACGCGAGACGGTATGCTCGCGAAAATTTCATTCTCGCATATAAAAGAATTCCTTAAGATTATATGACCAGAATTCGTAAAAATTTCGTCTCGCTAATAAAGAGTCAATGGCTATCTCGCGAAAATAAGGTGTCGCGAAAATTAAGTGATCTACAGTAAAACTCACCACTTTTGATGAATAAATTTGTTTTACAACAGATATACAGCTTCTTATTTCAGAAGAAATATACTATTTATTTCACTATGAAATAAAATTTCATAACCATGCAGTTCATGAGTTGAATACATGTATTGTAGTATGGCAAAAATATTGCTATACTTAACAAATTTAATATAGAAGTATTGTTGCAGCCCTAAAACTATTGTTTGAAAAAAAATACACAACAGCATTTTTCTCTCTAGTCCTGAAAGAGAACTGATTCGACAAAAACATGAAGAGATTATTTCACAGTTGAATGAGAGGATGGCAGAGAAAGCTAAGTATGTCTCTAAAAGAGTCCATTTGACTGTAATAAATAATAAATGTTACAACGAAACATGACTTGTCAATAATCATATTCCATATTAGATTTCTTATGTATGATATCAGTACAGAGATGTCTACTACTTTCATTCCACTAATAAATTACAGTTACTGTATTTCCCTGTTGAAAATTTTATAAACATAATATTTGATCTCCTTTTTTTAACAGCATGCAGATTATTCTGAATGAAACAAGAGATAAAGTTCGACAGACCAACCAAAGTGTGAGTTTATATTAAAGTAAAAAATCAAAGGCCTGATGGCCTGAGAGGCGCATCGCAGTGAGGGTATAAAACTTTTTCTTCTTAGAAAAATTCAACGTAAATGTTAAGGGAATGAAATAAACCAGTTATAAGGATAAAAAAAAATTAAGTAAGATTTCTTTGAGGTTCGAACAATTGAGCCATGGCATTTTTAGCCAGTCGATCAGGAGGGTGAAAAAAAAATAGTCTGTTATATCAATTATGATTAATTGATATTTAATTAATTCATTATTGATTTTAATCATATTTTAATTTTTTTTTAATTTTATTCTTTGACTATTAGCATAGTAGGAATCGGAGATGAAATAATGAATGACATTATAGAAATAACTGTGAAGTTATGATTATTGAATAATTCTACATAATTTCATATCTGAATTATTTCAGTTTCTTTCATTATGTGCACTTTTATAAATATCAAAACTTTGTTTTTAACTTCTTTTTCTCAATCAAAATGGCACAATAGTTATAAACATGAAATGTTCATAAAAATAATACAGGACTAAATAAAAACAATCCGGCTTGGTACACGGTTTATTATGAACCCCTCAATTGCGGCGATAATGATGACAATATTTTCGATATGATTTTAGCTATGAAACCTTAGCGGTTAGGATTGAACTTTTAAAAAGTCTATGTTTATAAGGTATTAGAAACACTATAAATTGAAAATTCACAGTAATTGCAGTATTTATTAGTCAATCACCACATTTAACTGACATTTCACCAATATCCGATCATATCGCTGTTTGTGACCTCGTGGAAATATTTTCCCGATAGGTGGCGCTTGTGCAAGAATTTATTCAGCTGTACATATTACTATTCGTTTACTCGATTAAAAAAATAATAACATCCCCTTTATTTAAAAAAAAAAAAACAACGATTCTGTTTCTATGTCTCAATTGCTAGTGATACATTTTTCAAAAATTATGTTAGTGATGCTTCCTGATAGGAATACAAATAATTGCACCTTACAAAACCGAATAATTTATAGTACGAGCTGTTCTTATGCAAATAGATCTTTCTCCGCGCAGTGCACGTGCAGATAAGCTCCTTCGTTTGTTGATGTTTTCTCTCTTTGTTTTTAATTGTTTGTTTTTCTTAACCTTTATTGATTCAAAGTAAAAACAACATTTATGTGTGTGATTTTATGTTATTTGCTGTTTAAAATTAGATTATGGATATCGCCAACTTGTCAATATACATTGGCACTATTTTCAATAGCGTGTTAAGAATCAATATTATTGACTCCTTTGCCGCCGCTGTGAACAAGAAAGAAATGCTAGGTGATCGCAATGAGGCTGCATCGAAAACGATGCGCCTCAAAAAAAAAGAAAACTATAAAGGCAAAACTACAGATCTAAAAATTAACACAATATATGTAAATATGCCCATAAAGCCGTACATAGACAAATAATACTGAATTTATGTTACATTACTTTCGAAAACTTTATGGTTTTGAATAATTATCATTTAGTAAGCATGTCAAGAGCACATTACAGTTACATTGTACAAACTGATTTAATTAAGGTCTTCCGTTTCAGACGGAAGACCTTATAGAGATTCTACTGTTTTTTCTTTTTATTATTATTATTATTATTATTTTTTTGCCTTTTTGTTTTGACGATTTCTCAGAGATGACTGGACGGATTCTCATGACATTTTCAGGGATGATGGAGAGTAAAAATATCTTTCAGATGCAGTTTTCAGTTTTTCAAAAGTCACTTCCGGTCGTCAGATATCTCCAATTTCCGCTTTTCTCAAAAAAGTTTTGTCCGAGTCATATCTCAGAAACGGTAAGAGATTAAGACACCAAACTTATGTGAGTAATAGATCTTGATAAGTAGGCAAAACCAATCGGGGTAAGGTTGTCTGCCGTCACTTCCGGTCGTCACAGGAAGTGATCAAAGAAATCGAAAATTTCAACTTTTCTTGTTTGAAACCTTTTTTGCATCACATTATAGCATCTTGTTCGTAGTTTCGAAATATATCAGTCCCACCGGAAACTTAAACGACAACTTTCGGTTATAAGAGAAAAACTGCATATTTTCAGTATTTTTCTCTCCCATAAATATTTTTATACGTTAGGTATTTGAAATGATTTTTGGATATCTTATTCAGACTGCAGATGTCTACAGTAACGTCAAATATCTTTGTAAAATTCACTTCCGGTCGCGTGATTTTCTGTCCTCAAAATGAGAAGTTATCATAGCTAGATCTCGTAAACGATAAGAGATTAAGGCACCACACTTATATAAGTGGTAGATCTTGATAAGTAAGCAAGTTCAGTTGGGATAGGATCGTCCGCCGTCACTTCCGGTTGTCACAGGAAGTAATCCAAAAATCAAAATTTTTAACTTTTCTTGCGTGAAACATTTTTTTCATCACATTATAACATCTTATTTGTATTTTTGAAATATATCAGTCCCACCGGAAACTAAAACGACAACATCCGGTTATAAGAGAAAAACTACATAATTTGTGTATTTTTCTTTCCCATAAATATTTTTTATACATAAAGTATATGTAGTGATTTTTAGATATGTTATATAGACTGCTTATATCTACAGTAACCTCAAATATCTTTGTAAAATTCACTTCCGGTCGCGTGATTTTCTGTCCTCAATATGAGAAGTTATCACAAAGAGATCTTGGAAACGGTAAGATTTTAGAACATGTAATTCAGACTGCAAATGTCTAGAGTAACTAGAAATATCTGTTAAAAATTGATTTCCGGTCTCATGATTTCCTATCCTCCAACTGAGTAGTTAACATAGCCAGATCTTGGTTATGGTAACACATCAAGAAACTTAACTTATATGAATAATAAACCTTGAAGAGTGAACAACAGATATAGGGATAAATGTCTCCGCCGTCACTTCCGGTCGTTACAGGATGTGATTTGAAAAATCGAAAAATTCCAACGTTTTTCTTTCCAATTTTTTTTTTTCATTACTTTATTGCATCTATTTAGTAGTTTTGAAATATGTCAGCTCCACCAAAAATAAATAAAAACAACGAAAACTTACAATTATAAGAAATAAAACAACACCAAAGGTAAAAAAGTCAAGGTAATTGGAAAAGTATTTAAATTGCTTATATATGCCACATAACTTTGACCTTTGAGTTTGATGTTTGACTTTGACCTTTGACCTTGACCCTTACCCAAGAGTTATTTTTTATGCTTAGCTTGATACAGCTTCAAGTGTTAAAGTCGAGTTTTAAAGGTTTGTGAATGACCTTGACCTTTGACCTCGATAAATGACCTTGACCTTTGACCCCATTTACCCAAATGTCACAATCAAGCTTGAGTCCGTGGGAATGTTTACATCTCTCACTTTAACAAATGCTTATATACCCCCCCCCTTTTTTTGTAAATCAATAGGAACCAAGAAAAATTTTCTACAGTTCTAACGATGAAATTTAAGGATTGCAGTACAAGACACATCAAAGAAAGCGTCCTGAGTGTTTAACAGTGAGTCTCTGAAGTATATAATGAAATTCTAATGAGTATCGGCAACAACTATATTTTTTTTTGTCTGAATTTTAGGTGCTGATGAGCATGAAAATTAATTAAAGCTTGCATTGTGTATTTCTTCACTTTTTGTCAATATTATTCAATTCTCCTGCTCAAATACAAAATTTTAATACCAAGTATTCTTGATCTCCTTTGTATGTAGAGTTTATTTCAATTTTATTTACATTGAATATTAATTGAATGAATCTAGGAAATAGCGATTTTTCCCTACCAAATCAATTTCTAGTCAATTTAGATAGCTTAGATAAATTGCAGTTACCTCGCTTTGAACGGCGTGATGTAGAGAAAATGTCCATGACTCACAACTGCATGAGACAGTTTTGACCTATGACCTTGAGTAGGTCAAGGTCATTGGAAAACTAGAGAAATTGTCGATTTAAGCTTAAAATCCAAATGACCTTGACCTTTGACCTTGATATTTGACCTTGACCTTTGACCCCTTACTCGAAAAGTAATAAAGAAATATTCATTACCTTTATCTAGATTCAGCTTCAAGTGTTAATCTCAAGTTTATCTCTCTCTCTCTCTCTCTCTTTTGGATGACCTTGACCTTGATAAATGACCCCACTATTGATCCAAAGGTCACAATGAAGTTTAATGTCGTTGAGGTATTTGCAACTCTTACTTTAACAAATGCTTATATCCCCCCCCCCCCCTATTATTAAAAAAAAAATCAACAGCAGTATAGAGAAAATGTCTACAAGTCAAATGACACAATAAATCGACATAAAATATTTGAGTAAAAGCAAAAAAGACCTTAAAGAAAGTGTCCTGAGAGTTTTAAGGCTCAGTCTCTAAAATATAATGAAATTATAGGGAAAATCGGCAAAATCTGCATTTTTTTTTCTGTCTTAAATTTTGTATTGCTGAGCATAAAAATTAATTAAAGCCCGTATTGGCTATTTTTGCAATTTTTGTTAATATCATTCGATTCTCCTGGTCTATTACGACATTTTAATAACAAGTACTCTTGCTTTCTTTAGTGTATGGAATTTATTTCAATTTTATTTGGATTTAATATTAATAGAATGAATCTTGATTTCATTTGAAATTTGATTTTTTTTTCTAGAATAACACAATCCCAAGAAATAGCGACTTTCAGCATTGTAAAAAGAAATACACGTTTCTTCCCTGTGTTTCCCATCTAGAATTACATGTTTGGAATTTTATTTATGCTACTTACATTGAATTCCATGCCTATTTCGGCCAGGAGTGTTAAAACCCGAACCCGATTCTCTGTTTTCCTTTTCCATAATTACAAACTGCCTTGCATCTCTTGCTCATGTTTCTCACATGCTCTTAAATAATTTATCGCCATCCATTTCAAACATAAAACAACTCAAATCGGATATTTTCAAACATCTCTTTAATACATGTTTAATGCACATATGATGCAGGTACACATGGGACATTTCACAACGTTTTCACTTACGCTTCCGTCTTGATGCGCAGATCAAATGCATGTTATTCATATTATTAGGTATATCGTAATTTTAATCAGACCCTACCCCATACATTTAACTCGAAAACAATCTCATTCAAGCTCATATATACACCTAGGAGCGTGTTACAATGTTTTGAACGTGCTCTCTTTGCGTGATCAATGAAATCATGGTTGTCCCCGAGTCGACTCGTATAATCCATCTGTTTAAGTATATTTATACCAACTACACAGCCCGTCTAAAATCCTAGTAGAGAAATAAGAATTTTCCTGTTTTATTTATTTTCTTGCTTTTTTCTACTTCTTTCAGCCAAAATGATATTGAAATGCTTAAAAGGGTAGAAAGGCCGATAATTGTTCACTGAACAATTAGTCTATTAGTTTATTATATGTCTGTCTTTTTTAAAATAGAAAAAAACATCCTGCATACAGATAAATAGAGGAGACCGGAAGACCTTCTTTGTTGCTGTAGCAACAAGAGTTTCTAGTTCTTAATATTCTATTAATTAGTGAAAAGTGAGTATTTAGAAATTGAGCAGAAGTCAATATATTGTTTTCTTGGATTACAGATTGTGGACCTTGAGGATGGAATCCTTCAATTAAAGGAAGACTTGATTCAGGAGAGGACTGAGGCCAGACAGGAGAAAAAGAAACTCAAAAGAGCAGTGGTAGGAATTTAAGGAAGTTTTTATTTCAAACTCAGGAGATTCGTGATTTATTACACATTTATCTTCACTGACTCAATAAGTTAAGAAAATTTTGATCCAAATATGTAATTTTCTTAAAGTTGCACTTATCTAAACACAAAGAATATGTATATTTTAGATGTAAATATATGTATATGTTTTAAATGTTTGACAACCAAATTTTACGTTTGTTTTGTATATTTATAAGAAATTTTAATGATGACAATATTTTTTATTTTTGTAGACGGACACATCAGACATGACTAAGGAACAGAAACAGATAAATGTCGATAAGAAAAAGTACGTTGTTTCTTTCTAATTTTCATTTTTTATTTCTATAGATAGATAGGTGGAAAATATTTATAAAAAATCTTAAATTAATACTGCCATCAAAACCATGTTTTTTTTTAAAACAAAAGACCTCAAAACCAAGGCAAAAAATCTGTAATTGAATATGAATAAGAGAACTAACAGAACACTGTAATTTGATGTAAGCTTTGCATCCCAAAAGTACATAAGAGTTTCTATAAGCAATTTCTCAGCACATACATGTCAATGAAAAATGAAGAAAAAAATCCCAGAAATAATTCGATTAAAAACCAGATTTTAACAAAAAATCTCATTTAAAAAAATGAAAACTTTAAAACTTTTCAGTGCAGTAATGCATAAATACTGTAGAAGCGGATATTATGGAAGATAAAATTTCATCATTTTACATCTAAAATGGTTTCATTGGGACTTAATTTCAGTGTTTCAAAAATAACCAGATTAGATATAAAAACTTGTAATTGTAAACAACAAGTTAAACAAAAATTAATTCCCAACAAATATTTTTATACCCCCCGCAAACGAAGTTTGGGGGGGTATATAGGAATCACCTTGTCCGTCTGTCCGTCTGTCTGTGCAAACGTGTCCGGTCCATATCTTTCTTATGGAGGGACATCATCTTGACCGAAAAATTTCATTTCAGGTAGAATTCACTTGTGGAATATACCACTTCGTCTACTCATGACCTCTTGACGGCGACTGCAGTATCCAAGTACACAAAGATTGCCCATGACCTAAGGGTGTGTCATGACCTTGACCCAAGGTCAATTGGGGAAGTTCAAGGTCACTGGAAGAAAAATTTCATAACTCGTGTCTGGTCCATATCTTTTTTATGGATAAACTTGGTAGGTTTTCATTTCACACAAAGATTGCCCATGATCCAAGGGTGTGTCATGACCTTGACTCTAGGTCATTTGGGGAACTTCAAGGTCACTGGAAGAAAAATTTCATAATTCATGTGTGATACATATCTTTATTATGGAAAAACTTACTTCTGAAATACCCAGCGGGGGGTATTTTGTCCCATTTGGACAGTTCAGTTTGCATTTACAGTCAGGAATAACTTTTATCTCAGTAGAGATAAAACAGTATCAGAGACTTCTGATTCAAAATTACATGAGCATAATTTTATAAAAATATATTTAAATTGATCTTTTTTTTCAGGGAATTAGATGTAATTCATGAGAAAATGATGGAGAGTGATGGCAAACTTGATGCATTGAGGACAGTATGTATACTGTAAAATCACTTATTTTTGTGAGGTTGAACATGATGAATTTTTTATGAATTGAGAAAAAAATTCTTGTTTGAGAGCATAATTTCTCATAGAAAATGGTGATTTCACTTATAAAATTATGTCTATAGTTACTGACATCATTAAAAGTATTTCTATAGTTTTATTCTATATGATACCGATACTAGTATTTGAAAACTGTTTCAAATTTTCAGAGTTTACGGAGATATGAAACTTCTAAAGCAAAGCTGGAAGGTCAAGAAAGACAGCTTAATGCACAGTTATCCAAGCAACTCAAACTCAACGAAGAACTTAGAAGGAAAGGGTGAGTAACTAAAGAATGAAAAAAGAAATTAATGAATATTGTAATTAAAGTTATTCAAAAATAATATGTGTATAATCTTTTTTTTTAATGTTAAAGCTTGTTATCATGATTACATTTATGGCAAAAAATCTTTATTTACATTCATGATTTCAGAACTGCCATTATCAATGAAGACATGAAATTGCAGAAAGAATTTGAAGACAGTGAAAAACAGTTATTAAAGAAACTTAAAAGGGTATGGATGACCAAAAAAAAAATTTCAAGATGAACTAATTCCTGTTAATTTTTTCAGTGGTAACACTAACTTTAGTGAACATGTAGCCCTGTTAATAGTTCAGTAACTGATAGAAAATAAATATTTTTGTACCAATAGCTGGAGACTGAAACAGAAAAAGAAAATGACAAGAATGCTGAACTGGAGGGAAGAAAGCTAGAGCTGAGAATCGGTGAGTCATGCATTTTAGACTTAGATATTTTCAGTGAAAGTATAATGAAAGACTTCACGCTCTTTCATTATCAAAACAAGTCAGTTACATTTATTGGTTTGGCTGGGAGAAGAAAGGGAAACTTAATTACTTGTAAAAAAAAAATTGAACACATGTATATATGCCATTGGTTATATTTAATAAGATCTGGAAGAGAAGCAGAGAGTGCGAGAAGATGATGCCTTCAGAGTGAGGGAATATGATGAAGAGTAAGTACTTATTTATCAATGCTTACAGATACAGGTAATGGAAATGTAAATGAAAAAAATCCCTATTATATGAATTTTCACCACATGGTTGATAATTTGATCATAAATAAAAGTCAGGATAATCTAGCAGCATAGCTTTCATTTTGTGAAGTCAGGATAGTCTAGAATGATTGCTTAGGAAAATATGGGAATATTTCATCAAGGCAATTGCACAATATACAGTGTATTGTTAATAAATCACTAAATTTGGCATGCGATATGTGTGACCCCATTTTCTCAGTTTTAAATTTCAAGTAAATTTGAGTAAGAGTATATGTATTTGAATTCTTTATTCAATTCAATCAGATTTATTGATAGAATATGTCTACAAAATTGTATTAAAATGAGACATTAATTTTTTGAAAAAGTTATAAAGTAAAAAAATCTGTGTATAAATGCTACTTCTGTGTAGAGTAGAGTAGAAAATGTATGTAATGGGATTGACAAAAAGGACCTCACTGAAGTCTAGTGTAATTTTTGTTGAAATAAAATGTACCAGAAGTTTGTGTAAAATGCAATAATTAGAACTTCCATTAAAGGCTTCAGGCAGAGAAGAGGGCCTTGGCTTTGAAGGCAGAGGAAATGGGACGAATGCAGTCAGAAAACGTAGAAATGGCAGATCAGATTGAGTCCCTTGCAGAATCTCACAAGTATGTACATGTAATTTAATTAATATCAAACAATTTTTACACTACCAGTACTCAGAGTTATTATTTAATAAAATTCACAGATAGATGACAACTTAAATGTCGATTCAGCCGTGACATATTGTCATAAATCCAAAGCTATTTTTCTGGATGCAGATTTATCAGCATTCTAATTCTTATTTCAGAGCTGTGCTGGCACAATTAAATAAACAGATTGAAGGGTTTCGAGAGCAATTGTCAAAGGAAAGGAAAGAAAGGTAGATATATTAGTAGACTTTTTCCTGTTCACAAAATATTTTATAAATGAATAATTAAGAATGCTTGAATTTGATTCAGTGAAGTATATAAGAAAAGTTAAAAGTTCTGACATGAAAATCACTATATATGCCTATTGGTACCTGAGGGAACTCATGATATTTATTCTGTGAAGTTTCTGCTAGAACTTGTTTGTTTTTAGTTCAGCTAAAATGTAAGTGGGCAGATGTACTGCATGTATTCATTATTATGATCTGTAAAAGTGTGTCATTTCTCAACATTTTCCAAAACATTTTTTTATCTTAATTTGGTTTAACCAAACTTTTTTCCTACTTTATTTTATGGAAACATTTGATTCAGTTTAACATAATTATGTAAATCTTACCTAATACCTGTGAATATATAAGCAAATTTTTAACTAAATATAAAGTTTCTGAACATATACCAAAGTTATAAATATCTTATGATACGGGATCATTAGTTCTGAAGAAAACTCGAGAGCAAGTTCAAACATGAGTCGCCCTACGGACTCAGACTCCCAGAGTATGATTGAGTTCAATCCCCGGCCACCGAGTCAGAGACATAGCTTGTTCAAGAAGAAGGCGCCCATGTCAGCTAGCTCCACGGCCTCATCTGAGACCCCCACCGACAGACAGTCATCCCCACCTGAGACCCCAGACCCTGAGGGGTACTGAGTGATCATGCCGTGGCTTTATAACCAAAATTTACAGTTGAATAAATGAAATGATTAACATGTTTAATTGTTTTTTGAAAATTTATGATAAACCAGCCAGCATGTTCAACTTACCTGGTACCTGTGAAGCATATGTACTTATTTTGTTCTGCAATGCATGGAGATTTGGAGAAAGAAATGTATTACAATGCTAATGAAAAATGGCAGATGTGTGTTCAGATGTACTTTTATACAGTAAAACTTGGTTATAAAGAATTGATTTTAAAGAAATTCTGGTTATGAGGAATACATGAAGATAACAAATTCCCTATAAGGTTTTCACAATGTTTCTTATGCAGATAAACAGAATCTTGCTTATTAAGAAGCGAAATTTGAGATACCAAGAATTTCCTTACAACCAAGTTTTACTGTACATATCAATTATTTTAAAAAGTACAAAATATTTGTGTTTAATGCTTTTTAAAGTGCCTATTACAATAACCTGGCTTTATTAATGCTTTTATATGTATTTAACAAAACTGCTGGAACGACTTTCTGTAATTAAGCTGTGTTTCATTAGATGTGAATGGTGTGTCATTTTTTGAGAATGCTTAAATTTGTCAATAGAAAGGCTTTACTCATTCAATTTCATTATTAGACAGACAAAACATAAAGAAATGCATATTGTAATTAGAAAGCTTTAACTGTCTAAATTAGTTAATTTATAGTTTTATGATATATTCTGCTTTATACGAGAAATTTTTTAGAAGAATATATTTGTATTGGTTTTGGTGAAATAGAGCACTAGAGAATATATACCGGTAGCTTGGTTTTTCATGCTGTTAAATCTAACTTTGATATTTCAGGTTAGAAGTTCAGGAAAGAAAGAATTCTGTGCAGAAAGATGTTGAAGACTACAAACTTGAAACCCAGAGATTTTTGAATGAAATGAATCAGAAAATTCGAGAGGGAAAAGCCGAACACATGCAGCTCACCAATGAGGTTCTCTGTTTATCGAAAATCTGTAGTTAACAAGGGTTCATGCTAAGTTAAATTTTTTGATTTTGTAAAATTCAGATTTTGGGCATGTTTAGCATTTGATGTGTTTTGATTAGTGATAGAAGTCATTATAACCTCCCTCCCATTACACACACACACAGAGTTAGGAAGGGGGATATAAAGGAATTACCTTATCCATCTGTCCATGCAGTCTTGTCCTGGCAATAGTTTTGTATTAAAGAATCTTTGAAAGCTTGAACTTGGGACAGAAATGATCATCCTGAATAAAGGTGTCTTGACCTTGACTCAAGACCATTCTGCCCATTCAAGGTCACTGACAACTTAAAGCATAAAATTCTTTTACTAATATGGAATTACTGGAAGCTACTTGGTACAGATATTGCTTATGCCTCAAGAGGTTCTGACCTTGACCAAAGGTCACTCTGGAAAATTCAAGATCGCTTTTCTGGAAATTAACTTGGTAATGGAAAGTTATTGGATGCTCATACTTGGTACACTATTTCTTTATGACTTTATAATATGTCCTGACCTTGACACAAGTCTTTCTGGCTTGTTCAAGGTCAATTGGAGGAAAGTTATACAAAATTCTTATCTAAAACTCGTTTAGTACGAACACGGATATAGTGAATTCATGGATAAAGCAAAGTTTTTCTGGGTCCCCGGCACAATTCTTAAAAAAATCTTTGTAAAATTTTACGGTTATAACGAACTCTGATATAACGAATATACGGATATAGCGAACTGATTTTGAGTCCCTCTGAGGTTAAATATAATGAAATTTACATATTTTATAACGAACTTTCAAAGATTATAAAAAAAATGATAAATTTAACTTACTTCATTTCCTTTTAGCATTTGCATATAAAACTCAATTCATAAGAAAACCTTAGTTATTGATATGTTTTCTTATATTTGCTTCACTAACATAGTTGGTAGTAATACTTTAAAGAAAACATGCATAGTGCGAATTCGCTATAATGGTTATACGAATTCATTATACAGATATAACGAATTACGGATATAGTGAATTAAATTCACAAGTCCCCAGGACTTCGCTATAACCGAGTTTTACTGTACTTGATTCAAAGATTGCTCATAACCTGAGGGGCTTTCATGACCCTGACCTCAGATAATTTGGCAAGTTCAAGGTTACTGGTGAAAAGATGGCAAGTGAATATAAATGTTTTTATGTGCCCAGATCGATAGATCCAGGGCGTTTGTTGTTTTTGTCCTGTCTGTTTGTCTGTTTATCTGTTTGTCTGTTTGTCTGTTTGTCGTCAACTTTAACCTTCGCCATAACTTTTGAACCATAAGAGATAGAGACTTTATATTTGGTATGCATACTCCACTAATAAACTCCTTTCAAATGACATCAAGGTCAGTGACCTTGTGACCTTGACTGTGACCTATATACTAAAAATAGCTTTTTCCACTGTTTGTCATAACTTTCGAACCTTAGGAGATAGTGACTTCATATTTGGTATACATACTCCACTAATAAAGTCCTTTCAAATGACGTTAAGGTCAATGATCTTGTGACCTTGACTGTGACCTATATGCTAAAAATAGCTTTTTCCACTTTTTGCCATAACTTTTGAACCATAGGAGATAAGGAATTCATATTTGGTATGCATACTCCACCAATGAAGTTCTTTCAAACGACACCAAGGTCAATGACCTTGTGACCTTGACTGTGACCAGTATGCTAAAAATAGATTTTTCGAACTTTGTTGCCGCCAGGCGCATAGTGTTTCACAAACACATCTTGATTTTGAATATTTTCAGGGGACATCACTCCAGAAAGAACTGAAAGAAGAAGAGGAGGTAATCAAGGAATTAGACACAAACCTCAAACAAGCTCAGACCAGATACACAAAGATGTACGAAACGATGCAGGAGAAAGTGAACAAGACAGAGGTATCCATTGTTATCCTTATATCATATATATTACTTTGGCAAAACAAAACAATGTTTTTCCCTAAAATATACCATTGTTTATTTTATCACAAAAAATTACCTTAGAAATAGAAGGGAAATAAAATTGGATTTTTGCCTTTCAGAATGAAATCAACACCATGGAGACACAGATAGAAGAAAAGAAAAAGTTGATAGAGGAGAGAACACCATTGTTTGAGGAACTAGAGAGAGTGTTTGAAGAGAGAACTAATGCTTATAATGCAACCAAAAGAAACATAGCTAGTATGTGATACTATGGTCATTCAACAAGGCAGTTCTTAGCTGCAAGAATCAGTTCATTTTCTCTCAGGGGAATTTCACATATTCAGCAACTGTTGGTATTGCCCCCAAACCAGGTTTTCATAATATTTCAGGAACTGTATGTCTTAATTTTGTTCAATTATATATTCTATAAAATTTAATCTAACTTTTCTACTACCGGTATGTTTAATGATTCAATTTAACTGTTGATCAGAAAACCATATACTAAGATCCACTAAATCAAACCTTCTTCCATAAAATTACTCTTGACAACACTGTAGATACATGTGCCTATTAAAATGCTTACCAATCTGGACTTAATATGTAGTTGAACCATTCCCATCAGTTGCTGAGTAAGAAATCTTCTGTTGTTGACTCAGAGGGTTTAATCCACAGTGTTTGACTTAACACCAGGGCTATTTTGAACAAGTGTGTAGAACAATTTATATGCAATTGTCTTAATAGTTCTGGGATTATTGTAGTGTTTGCTAGACTCCAAAGAACAAAGAATTGTGTGTTACTCACAGAAAATTTAATAACACACTTGAAGACTGTAGAAGAAATACCCATAATGTTAGAAAGACTTAATTATGTTGACTGCTCAGTTATAACTTGGATTTTAGAAAATTAGCTTATAGGGTTAATATAGTGATGTGCAGGAAAATCTGCATTGGAGCTAGTTTTAATATCAAATTAATCTAAGAAAATTATCCTTTTTATGCATGTAAGTATTGGCATTTTTGTGTGTACCTTACCACTTTGTAGTGTGTTTGTGGACAATGCTTAATTAATCCATTTGCTGGCAATATAGAGACAATGCCTCACTCTCTGAGTCCAGAGTTGACAGTGTTGAGTTCTGTGACAGGCTGACAACACTGTGGAATGTCCATAGTACACCTATCAGATATGTTATTGTCAGGGGCTGACAGTAGTGATGCTGAGCTCATGCAGCACTAATAAGATCTGGAGGTGTGGGCAATATGATGGCAGGCATTGGCTTTGTGAGTAAGTGTGTGAGTAAATATTTTTATTTGATACATTTTACATTTTTACTGAAATATTCTAGTCATGAGGCAGAAGAAATCTGGTCTTGAAGAAAGCATCAGGAAAACAAAGGATGAGAAGGCAAAAATGGACATTCCAAAGGTGAGTACAACTAGCATTCAGTGAGTTTTATTGAACATCACTTTGCTGATGTCAGTGTAAACTCAATAATCAGGTTTTGTATGAAATTAGAAATTCAGATAATGATATTGAAGGGATAAATTTTTATTCTTATCACCACCATGAATATGGCCAGGGCATACAGTTTGTCCTGTCTATCTTCTGTCCTTCCATCCCTCTGTCCTTCTGTCACTCTAAGTGTTTTGCTCAGTTTCAAAGAAACTTTAATTCAAGCTATTTTTATCAAACCCCATTAAAATGCTGATACATATTAATGAGAAATTTATTAGTATAACTTGTGACATGCAGTTATGATCCCTTTTAAAGGAAACACACATTAACCTTTTTTCTTACAGCAAAGTTCAGTCTGTGTAAGATGGGGATAAAAAAGTTAATCTTTTTCAAAAATTGTTTTATATAGAAACAAGTAAAGGAAGATCTGAAACGTAAAAGAGAAGAGACGATGTTCCAGCTGAAGCGACAAGGAGACGATCGTCAGAAGGTAGAGCAGGAAATCTACGTGGCGGGTTGTAAACTACGAACCATCATGGAGGAAAATCAGAAACTAGAGGAAGTCAGTTGGATTTATTTTAATTTTTCATTTAATATCAGCTAGATCATACATATATGGAAATCATTCTTGTGTATGTTATATACTCTTTGTCTAACAAATTCTGACAACAATCAGTTTCATATTAATTCAATTTGTATAAAGGGTTGTCAAAAACTGGCAGAAGAGATAGAGGAACTGAGAAAACAGATGGAAGAGAATGCAGGGTTAAAGGTCAAGCTGGATGATGAACTGGAGGAAGTGAAAGGTAGCTTATGTACCAGGCTATATTAAAATCTTATCATTGTAATGTGTGCTACATTCATTCATTTTGATGTACTGTGCATGTGTCTTCAAAGCTCTTTTATTTTAATCTTTCAGCTGGGCTCATCAGAAGCTGGCAGAATGATGAAGAACTCAATAATGTATGTATATGTGATAAATGTGAAATGTTAATTGCGTTGTCATGTTTACAATGTGCGATATTTCTTGTCTCATACTTTGTTGTGACATGTCGAGGAAATTCGAACTGGTATTGATGCATGATTACTGTATAAATGCATATTATATTTATTAATTTCGATGTTAATCATATTCATTTTTACATACTTAATTACCTCTATTCATATGATTACGTCTATTATTGTGGAAAACTACAACTTGTATCCAAAACTGTGAAGAAAGATGTTTTGACTTTACCGGGAAATCACATGTTTTCATACTGCAATCCCGATCCCGATCGAACATGATTTGTATAAAGAATTTCGTATTTATTCTGTACTTTGACTCGAGTACTGTTTTCTTGTAGTAATGTTATGTATTTAAAATAAATATTATCGTATTTTTATTACCGTTTTAATGATACAAGTTGTGTATTGTAAATATGTAGGTATTGCTATGACCTAGTTACCTAGATACGTTTGTATAACATACGGGTTCTTGTGCTATATAGAGGTACGGCAGCCGTTAAGGGTGACAATCTATTATTGTTGAAAGGTATTTTTTATTAGTTTTTAAGTACTTAAATGATATTGTAATATTATAGAAAGGATTTTTAACGAATGTTATAGTGAATAGGGATTTTTATTACATTGTTCAATATTTTTTAAAGGAAAATATCTAAATTTAAACCTGAAAATATTATATTTCATATTTTATGTTCTAAATAAATAGTTCATATTAATTGATATAATATTTGTGTCTTTTCTAACGTTTTTGAATTTAAATACACATAACAAATTCAGCAAACGCAATAATTGGTGGCAGCGGTTAAAAATTGAAAATTTAAATAATTTTTTGTATTTATTTTATTGTTTTTTGAAAAAAAAGTATTGTTTGAAAAAATTCACTTAGGAAAATGATGTTAAGAAATAGAAAATTAGGTTCTCTTAGTTTTAAAGTGGGGGAAAATAGGGATGTAGAGTTTGTGAATCAAGGTGTTCAATCATCTTCTGTGGTGGAAAATGTGTGTTCCCCAGTGCACAGCCCAAGGAGGATTCCAAGCATGATGGGCATTGACAATGAAGAATGCAGGAATGAAAATCAAGGTGAGGTAGAGAGTCTGAGACGCAAAGTAGGAGAATTGGAGGAAGCATTGAAGATAGCCAGCAGTAAACAGTCAAGTCAGAATGGTTTGTATCCCAATCTAGGTCGTTACACTCATCCTCCAGGCTATAGTGGATATTCTCAAGGACACAGTGGTTATGCCCAAAATGCTACATATCCATCAAGTGTAATCCAGCCAAACCAGGGAAATTATCAAATGCGATGGACCCCTCAAACCACAAATAATCGTCCAGGTTGGAGTACTTATCCTCAGCCTAGCTGGCCTATTCCCAATGAAAGTGGAAGTACAAACTCCAACATGAGTGGATGCGAGGAACCAAAACCAAGACTCCCAATATTTAATGGGAAGGGAGACTGGAAGTCTTTCCTGCTTCAGTTTGAGATGCTGGCAGACAGATATAAATGGACAATTGAGAGGAGGAGGGAAGAAATCATCTTCTGCTTAAAGGACGAAGCTCTAACCTTCGTAACACAACTTTCTCATGAAGTCCGATCAGAATGGTTGTATCTAATAGAATCGATGAACAGGAGATTTGGTGACCATACACTACCGGAAACGCATAGAAGAGAACTTCAGCAAATCAGGAAGACGGCTGGTGAATCCTTCCAAGAGTACTCTACTCGGATTGAAGCTAAGATGAGCAAAGCATACCCTGGAATGCAAAATACTGAAATTTATAAAAGTTTAAGCATCGAGCACATGCTAAATGGAATCAACGATCAATCTATTGCATATGATGTCTTAACTAAACGTCCACAAACCTTACAGGAGGCTGTAAATCTGCTCTCTTGGCATTTCTCATGCAAAAATGGTATTAGAGCTAAACAACATCTCAGACAAATAGCTGTGGAGGAAGAATATAATACTCCAGAAGTCAAAAGAGTTGGCAATAAACCGTTCATCACAGAGGACAGGCTGTGCCAATTTGGACGGGAATTAACAGAATCCATCACCAGCACCATGCGTGATATACAAAAAGACATGAAGAACTATGTTGACCAAAAAACAACAAACAGTTTATCCAAACAACCCTTTGTATGTTATGGCTGTGGTGAGGAAGGGCACACCAGGAAAACATGTCCCTTGACAAAGGATAAAAAAGAATTCAAGTCAACCACGAAGAAGGTGAACAATTATCAGACACAGACGAAGGGTGGATCTAACCAAGCGAGGTCATTTCCTCACCCTACATGTACAGAAGAAAATAAAAAATCTTTAAACTAGAAGGGGCTGAGGTTGTCGGCCAAACATCAGCCCTACTAGGAAAAGTGGAAATGAGTAAAATGCAGAAAAATCCCATTATCAATCAAAAGGAGAAGGAATCCACGGTGATCAAAGCAAATCCACAAACCACGAAGGAAGGAAGTTTTGAACAGGTGAAGGAACCTTGTATACTTAATACTGCACCAGAGGAAAGTGAGGTTGTCATTGATAGGGTACATGCTGTAACTATCCGAGCTCCCGTTACCATTGAGGGCTTTAGGATGAATGCTGTGGTAGACACTGGAGCAGAGGTGACAGTGATTAGTGAGAGAAGGTTTCAGGAAATTCCTGTTGAGAAACGTCCGCAGTTGCGACAAGCTCCAAGAAGCTTAGTGGTAGCAGAGGCGGGTAGGAAAATGAGGACAAGTGGAATAACGGAAGTCAAAATGGAAATAGGAGAGGAAAACTATGCATGGGAAATGTATGTGGCTCCAATAGCAGATGACCTTTTACTTGGTTGCGACTTCCTAGATCAACATGATGTAACCATTAATACGCGACGTGGTTTGGAAATTGAAGGCAAGTGGGTGGAATGTTACGTGGATCGCAAACAGGATCAAGTTTCAAGGTTACATGTTGATGAGACCATCACCATACCCCCTTCTTCTGAGGCATTGGTAATTGGAAAAAGTGAAAATCCTGAGTTGATTGACACCTGTTTTTCTGCAATAGAACCAGTGTTTGAAGATTCACAAGAAGTAATTGTGGCCCGCTGTCTAGTCAACCCTTTCAGGTCAAAGATTCCAGTGAGAGTTGTTAACACCTCCAAATTTCCTATAAAACTGAAGAAAAACCAACTTTTAGGAGAATTACATCCAGTTCAAGAATGTACCGAGATCCTAGATTCTTGTGGATACCCCTTAACGCCTGACATGGTGAAGCATAAGTGCAATAAATTGCATGAGCTGACAGTGGATGGCAATAGTGAACACCCAAGAATTCCAACTGACTGGAATGATACGGGAAATACACAGGTACTACGGTTGCTGTGGAGCAAGGCCGATGTTCCTCAGCTGCCCGAGTATTTGAAAGACTTGTATGAAAAAAGTTGTGGGAAAATTCATTGCCGTGAAGACAAGATCAAACTGGCACAGATACTGTTAACTAACAAGGATGCTTTCGCTCAAAACAAAACAGATGTTGGTACCTGTTCTGTCATTACTCATAAGATAGATACGGCAGGATCAGCTCCCATCAGACAACCACTTAGAAGGACTCCTCAAGGATTTGAGGCAGAGGAAGAAACCTATTTAAAAGAACAGCTACGTAATGGAATTATTAAACCTTCCAAATCTGCTTGGGCCTCACCAGTGGTATTAGTTCGCAAAAAAGATGGAACAGTCCGCTGGTGCATTGACTACAGAAAACTCAATGACTGCACCCGTAAAGATGCCTATCCTCTACCACGTATTGACATGTGTCTAGATTGTCTAGCAGGTGCCTCAATCTTTTCTACAATGGACCTACAAAGTGGATATTGGCAGATTGTCCTGGAGGAAAAAGACAGAGAAAAATCAGCTTTTATCACGAAATACGGACTCTTTGAATATACAAAGATGCCTTTTGGTCTATGTTCAGCACCAAGTACTTTCCAAAGATGCATGGAATTAATCTTCAGAGGAATGCAGTGGAAACACCTATTGATATATCTGGATGACATCATTATCTTTAGCCAGAATATGGAAGATCATTTTAAACAGTTGAATGAGGTTCTTCAAAGACTCCAAGCTGCAGGTCTTAAACTAAAACCTTCGAAGTGCGAACTTTTCCAGTCAGAAGTACTATACCTAGGACATATTGTCGGGAAAGAGGGCATTAAACCAAACCCCAAGATTACGGAATCCATTAAAAATTGGAAGATTCCACAAAATGTGAAACAAATACAACAGTTTCTTGGACTCTGCAATTATTACCGACAGTTCATATACAAATTCAGTGATATAGCAGCACCACTCAGCAGCTTGACACAGAAGGACAAGAAATTCATTTGGTCGCCAGAATGTGAAGAAGCCTTCCATACTCTGAAAGCAGCATTATGTGATGCTCCAGTATTATCATACCCATCTTCTACGGAAACTTTTGTATTAGACACAGATGCTTCGGATAATGGGATTGGAGCAGTACTGTCGCAAATGAAAGAAGGCAAAGAAAAAGTTATAGCATATGCCTCAAAGAAACTCGATAAACATCAAAAACGCTATAATGTAACACGACGAGAGTTACTAGCAGTGGTTACCTTCATCAACCAGTTTCGACATTATTTACTTGGAAGGAAGTTTCTCCTGAGAACTGACCATAGTTCTTTGAGATGGATTTTCAACTTTAAGGACCCCCAAGGACAATTAGCTCGCTGGTTGGAGGTTTTATCACAGTATCACTTTAAAATAGAACATCGAGAAGGCAAGAAACACCTGAATGCAGATTCGTTGTCTCGACTTCCAGAAAAATGCTCTCATGATGACACAGAACCACAGTGTATGGAATGTGAAAACTCGAATGAACAATGGCAGGACTTCAAGGAAAACATTGATAATGTGACTGACCTCAGCAAAAATGGAAATTCTCTCAGTACAAGAGTTATCAATCTGAACCAAACGTGTAACTGGATGCAGCAGTTTACACCAACAGAAATGATAGACTTTCAGAAACAAGATTCAGATCTAAAGATTCTTCATCAGTGGTTAGAACAAAAGAAACTACCATCTCGGGATGAAGTATCTCAATTTAGCCCAGCTGTTCGGAACTTTTGGCTGAACTGGAGATCTATTACTGCGCAGGAAGGAATTCTTTACAGAAAATTAGTTGTTACAGATCAAAGAGAGGTTCAACAACTCTTAGTTCCAAGAGTGCTAAGGCAAAGTATCCTTCAAATGTGCCATGATGACCTATTCTCCGCCCACCAAGGTGTAAATAAAACAATTCAGAAAGTACAGAACTATTTCTACTGGTACAGGATGGGAGAGGACATAAAAAGCCATGTCAGACAATGTCCAGCTTGCAGTAGATGGAAGAAACTCAACAAGACCCCAAGGGCAAAATTATGCGATTATCGCGTTGGCTATCCCTTCGATAGGATAGGCATAGATGTGATAGGACCTTTACCCAGATCGAAAAAACAGAACAAATTCATACTCGTTATAGGAGACCACTTCACAAGATGGATGGAAGCTTACCCTATTCCAAACCAAAATGCAGAAACCATACTTGCCAACCTCCAGCATGTAAAAATCTGGTCATGACCAGATTTGGAAAGTAAAAAATCTGGTCATAACGCGTAACAACATTCACGACATATTTACCATGATTGAATTTTATACATATATATACAGTTGTGTGCCAAAAGTGAAGATAATTTTATTTTTTCTTTATATATTTCATTGAAAACAATATTTTGTAAAATCGCTGGTATGACAACATTTCTTGACAGATTTTATCAAAAATTTCTTCATAAATCAAGAAATTGTTGTAGTTAAAAACAACAATAGTTTTTATCTGATAAGCATTAATAATTTAAAAATATTGTAATTTTAAGTGTGACATGAATTTTGAAGTCATATATTCACAATGAATTATACAGTCCAACATTGATCTTGAATTTTAGAATTGGTGTTTAGTGATGAACTATATTTTACTACATATTAAACATGTAATGATCTTTTAAAGAAAGATAACTACACATTTTCTGGTTTTAGTACAGAAATAAATACTTAAATTGGTCAAAAATTGACCATTTACCTATGATTTTACAAAATGTTGTTTTCAATGAAATATATAGAGAAAAAATAAAATTATCTTCACTTTTGGCATGCCACTGTATATACAAAGTATTTGTGTATTGAGAATTCTTTTATTGAAAAAGGATTTAATTTACTATGACAAAAAATTCATCCATAATTTGATTTAAATTTACATGTTAAAAATGAAAATTGAAGGTTTCATGTATCAGTATTGACCTGAAGTAAGTGTGCATTTTTTTTTAAAGCCTTTTCAGTTTCTGCTAAATTTGAAAGTATACCAATTTCAGTTTTGAAGTTATTTTTCCTCTCTCTTAATTAATTAACTACTGCAATATGTTTTAAATGTGAAGTTAGGCCTACACTGTTATCGGTCACTTTATTTTATCTAGAATGAAAGTTTTTTTTTTTCCCAAGATTCCTTGATATGTACAAAAATATCGTTTCTCTTTTTCTTGGTTCAATCAGAGACGTGTTTGGTTCAATTTGTTCCTGTTGGCCCTGATAACGATCTAGTTCTATCGGAAGCCATTTTAATTGACTTCAAACATTGATTTGTCAAAACAACACCCAGTTAATTGTTTACACCTGCACTGATAATTAATCCATCGGCATTGTTTACGTGGATCTAAGCTTGGGTTGTAACTGGAAGTTAAAAGTGCAACCTAATTTACGAACCAAATCCGGAAAATCGGGAGATTTTCGGGTTGATCGGCAAAAATCGGGTGATAAGCATGACCCGCCGGGTCATAAAAAATAATCGGGTTACGGGTTGAAAAATCGGGTGTGACCCGACGAAATCGGGTGAGTTGGCAACTATGGCAGAAACTGTTGCCTCAAAATTAGTACATGAATTTATTGTACGCTATGGAACTCCATTGGAAATCCATACGGATCAAGGATCTAATTTTGAGAGTGATCTGTTTAAAGAAGTCTGTTCCCTTCTCCAAATCAAAAAGACTAGATCAACCCCATACAGACCCAGTTCTAATGGCCTGATTGAAAGGTTCAATCAAACTTTAGGGAAGATGATAAAAAGCTTTATCGAAACTAACATTCATGAATGGGATAAATATCTCAGCATTCTGATGGCAGCATACAGAAGCACACCTCATCCAAGTACTGGATATTCCCCAAACATGCTAATGTTTGGTAGGGAGGTCAATACTCCGATCAGTATCCTATATCCCTTGCCTAATGACCATGACAAAAACACCGCCGACCAGTATGCTGAAAACCTGAGAGAGAAGATGGAGCAACTTTATCATGTAGCCCGGAAAAATTTACAAAGTCAAGCAGAGAGGCAAAAGAGAGACTATGACACTCGCATCAGTGAGAATACCATGCCCGTTGGAAGCCTTGTGTATAAATTGAAACCAAATCACAAGAAATTTGAATCCCCATGGGCCGGCCCCTATCTGATAACGGAAAAATTTGGTCCAGTGGTCTACAAAATAAGAAATAAACATAAAACAGAGGTCATACATCATGACAGACTTAAGCCGTTTGTGTGCGCTGAAACACCCAGCTGGGTTGAAAAGGTAAAAGATGAAATGAAGTAAATAAGCTACATATCCACTATGACTATGTGTGAGGATTTTTTTTTATATTGTAGTTTATGATGTTTGTACACTACGAATGTAGATTTTTAAAAAAAAAAAAAAATACTTTTCTATCCTACAATGAGCTAGAGTCTAGCTGTCACATAACATGAGATAGATTTTTTATATATGTTTTTGTTCACATTTCGAGGACGAAATGTAGTCCAAGTGGGGGAAAGTGTGATAAATGTGAAATGTTAATTGCGTTGTCACGTTTACAATGTGCGATATTTCTTGTCTCATACTTTGTTGTGACATGTCGAGGAAATTCGAACTGGTATTGATGCATGATTACTGTATAAATGCATATTATATTTATTAATTTCGATGTTAATCATATTCATTTTTACATACTTAATTACCTCTATTCATATGATTACGTCTATTATTGTGGAAAACTACAACTTGTATCCAAAACTGTGAAGAAAGATGTTTTGACTTTACCGGGAAATCACATGTTTTCAAACTGCAATCCCGATCCCGATCGAACATGATTTGTATAAAGAATTTCGTATTTATTCTGTACTTTGACTCGAGTACTGTTTTCTTGTAGTAATGTTATGTATTTAAAATAAATATTATCGTATTTTTAGTACCGTTTTAATGATACAAGTTGTGTATTGTAAATATGTAGGTATTGCTATGACCTAGTTACCTAGATACGTTTGTATAACATACGGGTTCTTGTGCTATATAGAGGTACGGCAGCCGTTAAGGGTGACAATCTATTATTGTTGAAAGGTATTTTTTATTAGTTTTTAAGTACTTAAATGATATTGTAATATTATAGAAAGGATTTTTAACGAATGTTATAGTGAATAGGGATTTTTATTACATTGTTCAATATTTTTTAAAGGAAAATATCTAAATTTAAACCTGAAAATATTATATTTCATATTTTATGTTCTAAATAAATAGTTCATATTAATTGATATAATATTTGTGTCTTTTCTAACGTTTTTGAATTTAAATACACATAACAAATTCAGCAAACGCAATAGTATATACTCAGAGGAAGAAAAGTAAAATCATTAAGGATTATTTTTAAGTTTCATATGACCTATTTAGTTTCATCTTTCCATGTGTAATTGAGTACACTATTACTCCTTTCTAGCTTTTCACACACAAAGACCAGATAGTTGTGGACCAGTTTTCTGAACTTCTTCACCAGACAGAGGAAAGAGAGGTTAGAATCAACAAGATAACCAATCGTCTGAACGAGGAACTCATGTATCTGTCCAAGTTCCTGGAAAACCTGGCAACTCGACGTCCACAACGTAAGTCAATCAACGGGAACATTCAAATATCTTTGAATTCTGCTCTTTAATGTAACTCAAATTTTTATTACAGAAACACAAATATAACTACGTTCAATCTTTCTTTGTTTCTTCTGTATATATAGTTATATAGTACATTTTAGATTCCGATATAAGATGTTGTGGGACTGTAAAAATTGTGTAACTCTTCTCTTTGTCTATACTGTTTTTTGTGATTGTCATTAATTCAAACATATAGGGGCAATAATTTCCTTTATGATTTATTAAAATGTATTTATAAAAAAAACATTTACCATGTACCAGGTAGATGAATTGTGTAAGCGATATTAGATGTCAAATTTAAAAGTGTGGGCAAGATTATATAACTAAACATTTTGTTCTAAAAGATATAAACGTTGAATTCCTAAATGAAAATAATCCAAAATTTGTCCAATTAAAGAACCATGTTCCTTTTTAGCTCACCTGAGCCGAAGGCTCAAGTGAGCTTTTCTGATCACATTTTGTCCGGCGTCCGTCTGTCCATCTGTCTGTCTGTAAACTTTTCACATTTTCGACTTCTTCTCAAGAACCACTGGGCCAATTTCAACCAAACTTGCCACAAAGCATCCTTGGGTGAAGGGGATTCAAGTTTGTTCAAATGAAGGGCACGCCCTCATTCAAGGGGAGATAATTGGGAATTAATGAAAATTTGGTGGCATGTTTTAAAAATCTTCTTCTCAAGAACCACTATGCCAGGAAAGATGAAACTTATGGGGTAACATCCTCAGGTAGTGTAGATTCAAGTTTGTTCAAATCATGACCCCCGGTGGTAGGGCGGGGCCAAAATGGCCGACCAAAGTTTTACATAGAAATATATTGGAAAATTCTTCAAAAATCTTCTTCTCAAGAACCACTGTGCCAGGAAAGATGAAACTTATGGGGTAACATCCTCAGGTAGTGTAGATTGAAATTTGTTGAAATCATGACCCCCAGGGGTAGGGCGGGGCCAAAATGGCCGACCAAAGTTTTACATAGAAATATATAGGAAAATTCTTTAAAAATCTTCTTCTCAAGAATGACAAAGCCATAATTCATCAAATTTATATGGAAGCATCCTCAGGTAGTGAAGATTCAAGTTTGTTCAAATCATGACCACCGGGGGTAGGGCGGGGCCAAAATGGCCGACCAAAGTTTTACATAGAAATACATGTATATAGGAAAATTCTTTAAAAATTTTCTTCTCAAGAATGACAGAGCCATAATTCATCAAATTTATATGGAAGCATCCTCAGGTAGTGAAGATTCAAGTTTGTTCAAATCATGACCCCCGGGGGTAGGGCGGGGTCAAAATGGCCGACCAAAGTTTTACATAAAAATATATAGGAAAATTCTTTAAAAATCTTCTTCTCAAGAATGACAGAGCCATAATTCATCAAATTTATATGCAAGCATCCTCAGGTAGTGAAGATTCAAATTTGTTCAAATCATGACCCCCGGGGGTAGGGCGGGGCCAAAATGGCTGACCAAAGTTTTACATAGAAATATATAGGAAAATTCTTTAAAAATCTTCTTCTCAAGAATGACACAGCCATAATTCATCAAATTTATATGGAAGTATCCTCAGGTAGTGAAGATTCAAGTTTGTTCAAATCATGACCCCCGTGGGTGGGGCGGGGCCAAAATGGCCGACCAAAGTTTTACATAGAAATTAATGGGAAAATTCTTTAAAAATCTTCTTCTCAAGAATGACAAAGCCATTATTCATCATATTTATATGGAAGCATCCTCAAGTAGTGTAGATTCAAATTTGTTCAAATTATGACCCCAGGGGGTAGGGCGGGGCCAAAATGGCCGACCAAAGTTTTACATAGAAATATATGGGAAAATTCTTTGAAGAATAGCAAATCCATGATTGATCATGGGATTACTTTTGGATTTTAACTTTTCAATAATAAACCAATTTCTACTTTTTCTAAGCTACAGTACTCAGGTGAGCGATGTGGCCCATGGGCCTCTTGTTCAGGGATTTCACAAAGGGTTTACTACCATATCATCCAGTCAGAAATGTATAAATTTATTATCAAATACTTTATTTCTCGACTAAAATTTTTTTTTGAGTTTGATTTTTTAAATAAAATTAATGTATCATAGCTTTCTCAATTTTATTTTCAATTTTAAGGAATGTATCAGAAAAGTAAGGCTAATATAATTTGCAAACTTTTGAAGATAATGCTAGTAAGAATTTAAAGAAGCAGGTAAAATACATACTTTTAATTCAAAAATTCATATTCTTTATAAAGTTCCTGTATTTTCTATTTATGCTGAAGTACTGTCAAACTGTTGACTTCTTTGAATTCACTGGATGAAAGTCTGGAACTGAATAAAATTAAATAATATTTCAAATTTAGAATAAATTATTTTGGTTTCATGCACTAATAGCTAGTTTTAGCTCACTTTTTGATTATTTTTTTTTTCAAATATGTCTTATAATCATTATGCTAGGTGGTAAAAAAGTTTCAAAGAAAGACAGGTAATGTATGCACTGCATTTCCTCTTGAAAGTTATTTATTTCGTGTTGTGCTTATTATGTTCCCAGATTAAAACTGAATTGATGGGGTACCTTTCAAGAGGAATATGTTGCCAGGGTTAGATATAGAGTCCACCCTTTGCATGTTTTCAGCAATTTTTATGAGAATCTTTGTTTTTGTTCCCAAGATTTTTTTTCTTTTCTTTTTTTTAAGAAAAGAATTTACAAATGCAAGTACCAAATTGAATATTTTGCATGCTATTAAATAAATCAAGAGATTTCAATATTCCTGGAAATGAAAAAAAAAAATGTTAAAGCACTTTAAAAATACATGTTGTGAAATATGAAGCAGTATGAAAAAAAAATGTATTAATTGTTGTGTTGAATTTCAGTGCAAGTTTATTTTTCAGTTACATAAACATACTAAATGCAGGAAAAATTATTTTCAAATTGTGCATGCTCATTTAAATGCATTGTACATTAGGAGTAAAAATCAATCAGTTGGACCCAGTTTTAAAGCAAAACCTACGCAAAATGCATGGTCAAAAAGCTTTTATGATATGTTAAAATACATGTATTATGTCCTTTTTGTTTTACTGAATGAATTTAATATACTGGAGTAGATCAAACAAGATTTAGCACAGAGAATATTATGTGCAAGTCAAGTTATATTTCAGTTATAACATAAATTCAATTAAATGTGAAATATGAATTATATAATGTAGAAATTCAAAGCCTCTTGTTACAATCAGATAAGTGTCACACATATTTTGCCATATTGCACACAACAAAAGAGCTTATATTGTTTTAATTGACACTTGATCACTTGAAGCCAGGATATAGATGCTTAATAGAACCATTGAGGTTCATATTGAAGCAGAATAGTTTTGAAGTGCATGCATGCATAGTTTCAAAGAAATTGTTTTATACTTTAAAGTCCTTCCTCTATGTAATAATTGTAAAAGTGATGTCAGATGGTACAATTGATAAAATTATTATATTATAGTCATATTCAATATGACTACTGAGATTTTTTCCTATAAAGTGTGTGTCATTTTCTTTATAGAGTTGTTTAATGGATTTTTTTTTAAATACAAATTTAGACACACCACCACCAAGCCGAAAATCAGGAAGTCGTGCGTCCAGTAGGCGGACAGAAGATGGGCGTGCCAGCCGAATCAGCCAATCAGCTCTTCACAGTAAACTCCAGGACGTAGATAATACTAGTGCGGCACCAAGTCGGCTTAGTACCAGACCTCCAACTAGAGCCGACACTAAAATGTCTAAGACTGTAACCATTATAGATGAACCTGAAGTACAGGACTTGGAGCGTTGATATTAGCTATAATAGTGTTGCTTTTAACAAGGAAAAGTTTACATGAACTCTGTGATATTTGGATGTTTGATTGATAACATTTTCACACATATATTGTTATTATTTTGAAAGTTTTTCAAAACAATTAAATTTTTCAATAACAAAATGTGTTAGTGAAAACATGCAAACTACATGTAGTGTGACTACTGAAGAGTAGATATTACAAGAACATCTCTCCCGTGCCAATCTAATTGAAATTAGATGTTAGATCCACTTGCATACTTGCTACACTAACATCTAACAACATCGCATAGAGGGTCACGTCAGAGATCAACTCTAGCTCTAGACTTATTCGCTTCAACAATATACAATGATTTTGCAGGCGATGATTTGATTGATTGATTGATAGAATTTGACCTCTGACGTGACCCTCAATGGGATGTTGTTAAACGTTAGTGTAGCGAGTATGCAAGCGGATCTTGCATCTTATTATAATTAGATAGCTCCCGTGCAGTACTAGAGAATTTTTCCAAAATAGTACATACAGTTGAACTTTGGTATCTTAACACTGATATCTCGAATACCATGGATATGTCAAGGTGATTTGGAAGTCCCAACCACTTATTCTTTTACTATTTTTTACCCTCAATATTTCGAATCATAGGATATATTTAAGTTTTTCCTTGATCCCATCAAGTTTGAGATAACAAGATTTGACTATATCTACCAAAATGTTCCTCTTATTAACAATAAGTAATAAAGGGTTTCTCCCAGACAAAAACAGAAGGTTCTACCACAGAGGATGTAGCAGAGGGTTTCTCTTATCACCAGGTTTGTTCCATACAGTGACTGTGTCCACCAGAGTAAGCTAAAGTTTCTACAAAATGAAGTATCAATTTAGAAGTGTTCACACTTCCTTATTTCATCCATAAACTGAATATATGGATATTATTCATTGTTGGTGTTTAAATGCTATCCAATGATCATTTATTCAGTGTTTGCCTTGTATTTGCTCACCTGCATTTGGAATGTTCAGCTAACATGTCAAGTATATTTTCCCTCTGCATTCCATTTGCTCATCATTCAAATGCCGTATTAAAGCACTTCAGAACCATTCTCTTATTACATTGGAGAAATCATAAAATGTAACATACAAATGTTCAGACAGGAACTTTGAGTTTTCAGTGCTTTTACACACAATCAAAATAAAACTATAAAGATACATTTTATTTTCCCCACTTTCTGTAAAATTATTATATATCACCCTATCCTCTGATAGGAAGTAAACTTTATCCCCTATTGTAGAAGCTCCATAAAAAAATGCTTTTTTTTATGTCGTGGGTATTGGCGTGGAATGACGACCCATGTTCCTGCTAGTTATGTAGCATTACCTTTGTTTACATTTTATTGCAGTGACACATATTTTTATTTGTATACTGCACTGACTTTTGCAACAGTTGCAAATGTTTTTGGTATCTAACTTTCCTGCATGAGAAGAAGTACATAGTTATTTTTTGTTGCTACTGAGTGCTGTACAGCATACATCTGTCTACAGTGGTGACAATGATTACACTGAACAGTGACTAAGTTTATATAAGGACCTTCAGTGTGAGACTGATAAAAAATGGTGGACAAATTTTTTAAACGAATCGTGTTCAGCTTTAATGCACAATATATTTACTTGTAAAGTTCAGATTAGATACCCTTAGCTTGCTTAAATGGATCACAATGTGCACTGAAAATATAACATTATTTACTTTTTTCAGACTAGTAACTTTTTATTATCACATTATTTACAAAGACTGCAATAGCACTGTATATCACATTTGTTTTAATTGACAGAATTGGTTTGTTCAGAACATGAATGTATTCATTTGGTAAATCACTGAATGGCCCAGACTGCATCAAACATTAAAATTAAGGTACATATTACGCTACAGATACATTGTATAATGGTCTCGGAATACAAAATAGATCTGACTGTCAAAAATAGAGTATTTTACCACCAGAAAATAACCACAGTAAAGTACATAAAAATAACAAGAGAACATTTCATCTTGAAACAGAGTTGCTACTCTACTAAGGCTTAGAAAAAAATATATCAAAGTTAAATGACTGCATTACAAAATGATTCGAACAATGTACAATGGAATGCTACACATATTTCAACTGAAAATCAAAACTTAAACTTCACCTTGTTGATAAATTTAGAAAATTATATATGTATAAATGCTAAAGAACAATGCATCAAAAGCTACAGGTTTCAACTGTATACATACATGTATTATAAGTTGGCTAATCGTATAAATAAACACAATATCCAAATAAAAAATAAAATGATACTTATTAACCCTTTTATATTTCTCGCGTTTTCTTAACATATTATTTAATCCTTCTCTGTATTCATAACTGATTTCATGCATTAGCAAAAGTTGAGAAGAAAAAATGGTAGACATAAAATATACCATCACACTTACAAACAGTTTATACAAATGGTGTACATCTAATAACTAAATGAGTAAAAATAATGTTGATGCATCATTCACCCTGAAAATGATCAATCTGTGATGTCATCCTCTAGTGAGCGACTGTCATTGGTCAGTCTCAGCTAATTAACTTACAACCCTTGGTATGTTGGCCCATGACTTGTGATTGTAAAATGGCATTTATCACAGATACAAAATTGAATCATGCATCATCCCTCAAAGCATTTATACAGTTAGTTAACAACTGGGTCTGTGCCTGCAATGAAAGTCAAGATATTTACATAAAAATAGTGATAGTAATAGTAATAGTGATTTTATAATACTTGGTAGACATTTTAAAATGTATAAGGTACACTTTTGTAATTTTGATTATACTTTAAGTGTATTCAAAATTTAGCATACTTTTTGAGACATTCAAGAATTACAGTAGAGCATTTATCATGCTGCATATAATAATGCAAATAAATTATAACTGCATTTTTAACCAAAATAAGTTTATAATACTAAAATAAATGTACAAACACAGTCCTAAAGAATGAACAATTTTTTAGCAAGAATGAAAATTATGATCACAGTGAAGGAATACATCACTTACCCTGGCATGTTTCAGTTCTAATTCTACTAAATCTACAAGGTTTTTCTTGAAGTATGCTATTCTTCTTGTTTTAAACTCAGTTAATTCTGCAAATGGAAAGAAATTCAACATACAGAATCTTAATCATGAAAAACTGTTTCTGTAAAATTTTTGAGAATGTTTGCATTTATAACTCATAAAAGAGAGTCCTTGTTGTTGTTGTTTGTTTACTTTTATACCTTTTTTAGCTACTTCTGATATTTTCTCAAATCTCTCGCAAGCAATTTGCTGGGTTCTTTCAGCCTGAAAAGCAAGAACAAAACATAATGTCTGTTGTCAAGCAAAGTCATCTGATGAAAGGCACACAATTTGAATCGAAAATACAGATTTGGGAAAGTTGTCAACTACTGCTCCTTTCCTCCATTAATGAACCATGAGTAATGCATTTATAGCACAAATACAAGTAGTATGATTAAGGTCATTGATCAGAACAGTAACTTATGGTTACATAGGAAAAATGATGAATATTGTGGGTGTTGAAATGTTTTAGGTCAAATGATATATTGTACCTTCTGATTTTTAATGCTGTCATTATTTGAAGAAAATGACTGAAGATCATTTGATATCAGGTTTTAATTATTATTTTCTTTCACACATCTGACAATCCTTCAGAACTAAACAATAGGTAATCAACAGGTTCATAAGATGATTTTTTTTGTACATGTTGAGTTATCCTTAACTCTACAAGATGATATGAAACTCATGTTCATTCAAAAAAAGAGCCTACCTGTGCCACCTCTTTATTTTTAAGGCGAGCTTTCTCCAAGGCTTTGTTGGCGTTTTCGTAATCTGCTAGAGCTCTAGCCCTCCTGTACAGTAAATCTTTAGCTGCAGCCGAATCTCTCATGTAATACCGCAGTGTGTCACTCAACTTCAGGTCTTCATCCGTAGACACCCTACCCTCCAATTTCTGGAAGTTTGAATTACAAAATTATTTTTCTGAATTCCAAGGACACAAGTATTCCACTAGGAGAAGATATATATCAAATGATCATGATCTTTTATTTCACTGGTAAAGACCTACTCTTGTTTTTTCCAGTGCCTCTGCAACTCTTGTAAATATTCTGAAAAGGAAACAAAAATGTTATTGACAAAATTTATGGACAAAGTCTTTCATATATTTTGTCTTGAACATACATCGGTAAAACTCGAATTATTGGATCATTACTTGTGAGTGTACTTAATTTTTAACTTACTTGTCTAACTCAGTGTTTTCAACTGTTGCCAACTGCACAAAACCAGAGGAAATTTGGATATAATTATCTGCTACATCTACAAATAGGCCAAATGCATATGTAAGGAATTAAATACTTAAAAATTTTCAAAATTTAATTGTATCTATGCTATCTGTTGATGTTCCAATTTGTCACAGTATTAGAGAAGTCTATATTCTAACAAAGAAATATTCAAATCTTTAGAGGGAGGAGGATAAAGCTAAGGGTTATAAAATGCACAATGTAATAAATAAGGTACTTTTTTCCCCATTTAAAATCTCTAAACCTGAATAGTTAAACTACTCCTCTACATTAAAACAGACCATTACCTCCATGACACTTAGTCATTCTATCTGCTTTGTGGGTTGCGTCCTTTATTTTGTTGTGGTACTCAACTAGGAAACTTTTTTCAGACTCAAAAAACTCGTCTACATCCTATCAAAATAAGCAATGTTCCTTGAAAGTGTTAAATATATGAAGATTTTTGTTGCTTTAAATTAAAAAAACCAATGTGTTTGAGTGAAATTCAAAAATATTTACCTTTTGGTTTGCCAAAAGTACTTCATCAGCAGTTTTGGTAATGCTTTTGAAAAATCCACCAATCTTTTCTTTCTTGTTTTTGCCTCTCACACTCAACTAAATGAAATCAAAATTAAACATAAGAAATATAAGATAAAGTTATGTGCATCATGTAATTTTAAACTGAGCACAAAATTGAAAATAAAGAGAGATATGAAGAGGAATATAAGAATGTAGAAATGTGCTATAGGATGAACTCACATCTTGGTCAAATGAGAGAAATACTTCAAAGTTGACATCATTTTTGAGCTGGGGATGAGCAGCGATTCTCTGCAAGAACACTTCATGCATTGCTACAGTCTTTTTAAATGTAGCTAAGTACTCCCTATAAAATTAAAACATAAATTGACCAGAGCTATTTACAGTAAACCCTGCTTAAAGCAAAGTGCCATGGATGGACAATTTTGCTTCGTAATAAATGTAATTCATTATATCCAATAAGTTCATAATACAATTCAAATCCAAGGGGAATGAAAATCACTTTGCTATGAGTGTAAATTCATTACAGGCGCGTTTGCTATAAGTCTGTTTACTTTATCTGTAATTCATGAATGGTTGGAAATCATAAGGTGTTCAGTTTTTCTTACGCTTCTAATTCCTGTTTCATTTTTGTGAATTCTTCTTTTGTCATAGTTCCTTCCCCTTCTCCAAGCTTTTGTAATTTTTCTCGTGAAGCCTCAAAGTCAGGTTTTGGTGGTGCTGGTGGTATCTACAAGCAAAAAATAGGGCTGATGAAAATGTAAATAGGTCAAATTGAACAATAATGATAAAACATGTTTTAACACCTTACTGTCAATATAGAGAACAAAATGTCTGAATATAGTCATTTTGGGATTATTTCTTGTCCATACCATTGTAAAAACTAAACCCTACCACATCCCATATCAGTTTAAACAGCAATTATATATGTATTTTAATTAAATGTAATCTGTATTTTAATTAAATGTAATCTACACTAATGAAAACATTTTCATCCTTCCATAATATATTATTTAGACTAAATTAACTTTTATTCGCGTGCGAGAAATTTTTCAAGGAGAACAAGGGGCTTTGTCATTCTGGCTCAGTAGTTCTGGAGAAATATCTCAGATGAACTCTCAATTTTCCATAAAATGTTTTTTCTGTGACAAAGGACTTGACAAGTGTGATTGACACTGGTTTTATGATGCTGGAGTAGAAGTCTGGAGTATAAAAAAACTTAAGTTTACAAATAGCACAAAAGATGAAAATGAGTATATATGTATCAAGAAGCAATATCATCTGGTTTATAAAGATACTTACAATGATGCCAGCATATTCCTCATTTTCAACAAATCTGTCATGTAACCACACAAATTCTTCATGTTGTCTTACAACCGAGAAGTCAGATTCTTTAAATCTGGACTGTGTTGTCTAATAAAACACAAACATATAAATAAGTAAGACAATAAAATAGTCAATTCATTCAGCTTTCTAGCAAAAATTTAACAGGATGTAATAAAATGTTTACCAGTATTTACATAGTATACCAATTTCTATTTACATGTGGTAATTTACCTTTGTGTGTACTGTAAATTTTATTTTATCTCGTTCACTAAGAGCATCTGATATGTCTACAAGCAATGATGTATCTGTTGACAAATCCACACTCTCTGCTCTGTCCTACAATGTAAGAGAAAATCAGTGGTATTTCACACACATTTTACAACTACTTGACTAAAAAAAAAAATTACCCCAGATGCTTGACAAAAGACTTGAGTACTTGACAACTCATATTTTTATCTAAGTAGAGATTCTTCCATCTCTCACTTTTACAATGGATTTTGAAATTGAGACAGTGGTAATTTGCATTAAATGTTACTTACCCTGGTATAAATTTTGATTTTTTCCAAAATTAAGTTTTCTCTATTTTGATCCTACTTTTCCCTTTATTGAATCAGTATATATGTACTATTGGTGAAAACTTAGCTTTGTACCACCATATTAAAGTGCTTGCAGGATCATTATTTATTACAGTTGAACTTTGGTATCTCAAATACCATTGATATATATCGAAATGATTTCTAATTCCCAACTTTTTGTTCTTTTAGTATTTTATCCTGGATATCTCAAATCCTCTGATACCTGGATTCTCTGGAAGTTTATTCTTGGTCCATTGATTTTGAGATAATGAGTGTTGAACACTTAATGGGAACATAACCAACCACATTCATCAGCACAATCTCATCTTGGCTAGCAATATGGCCTAATTTAGGTATAAAGCTTTATAAAGCTATTGAAAATAGTTTGAAAAACTATTCCAGCAGTTTTTTAAAATTCCTTTTTATAAGGCAGTATTGAAGACTGAATGTCACAAATATTTGTCAATTTATATTACAACAGATTATTTTAAAAGCAAATCCAATCAATTCTAATGGGAGAGGAGAAAAATGCAGTGGACTAGACTGGGATTCGAACCTGGACCCCTAAATATCTGGTCAGGTGCTCTACCGACTGAGCTATCAGACCACTGCAATTGAACTGGCTGACCACCACATTCCTCCCTCCTTAAAGGTATTTGACCCTCTAAGACCCCAACCCAGACTCATTCCTGGCAGGTCTCTCACATGACATTCCAGGGCATGGCATGGCACCAAATGTAACGGGAGAGGAGAAAATGCAGTGGACCAGACCGGGATTGGAACCTGGCCCCCTGAAATTCCAGTCAGGTGCTCTACCAAATGAGCTATCTGGCTGACCAGACCCGAATTCAAAACCTGGCCCCCTGAAATTCCGGCCAGGTGATCTACCGACTGAGCTATCTGGCCACCGGTGATCAAACCTGTCTCACCGCCACATACCTCCCTTCTTAAAGGTCTTTGCTTCCTCTAAGACCCCAACTCAGGCTCATTCCTGGCAGGTGTATTACCTGTCACCTTTAGGGCCAAGACCAGGATTCGAACCCAGGCCTCCTGAATCTCTGGTCAGGTGCTCTACTGACTGAGCTATCAAACCCGGCGATCAAACCCAGCTGATCGCCACACAATCAATCTTGGTTATTAACCATCACCTTCTAAACTAGAATTGTGTGTCCCTTATTACAAATGTATTACAGAAGAATGTGTTTGGTCACATATAAATGGCTTTATACTGCCTTAACTCTTTTGTTGTAATGCTATTTTGGAAACAAACACAACCTATGAAACATTTATTTGAGCACTGTTTATCTAAAAAATGTTATAATTAAATGTTTAGCGACGTTAATTTTCTCTATATACACCCAAAACATTTATCATGCTAAAATCTCTATCTATAATTTAAAAGTGAACGTATCAAAATTCAGTGACAACGAGTTGACGAGGGGGAGTGACACTTCACTGTTGCGCATGTTAACTTACTTTGTCTTCCCCTTCGCCCGCCAAAAGGTCGGGGCTATCATCTATTCCGTCCTAAAAAATAAAGCAGGAACATTTAGAAAACTGACAAACAAAAATAATCACAAGAATAATAATTTCAGGAAGCATACGCCACGAAAAGTTGTGGACACCCACCATCATGGCTGCAATTTTATCACGTGACTCAAATATTTTGTACATCGAACCCGATACATAAAATAAACACTGACGTCACCCAAATAGGACTAAAAACTACGTCATATGCAATTGGAATATCGCATTTTTTTCGTAGAAAAAAATGAAGTTGGTGGTGTTTCTATTATTAATAATTTTCAATTGTGAGGAGAGTCATTCTGGTGAGGTATTTGTATTTAATCTATCACTATTATACAAACTGTTAGGTCCACAAAGGTCATGAGGAAAAGCATTATTGGCGATTGGACCTATAACATTACGCCGGGGATGCAGGTCTGGTAATTTTCTTTTTTAAATAGATCTATTATAATCAGACACAGTTCCTCAGACCTGGACCCTTCGGAGGGCTCATTGCGGCCCATACCATCTGCCTACCATCCCCCCCCTCCCCCAATAATGTCCATACGCCTGATCGTAATATAGAAGTTTTCATCTGGAACTGGAAGCAAGGCACAGCATAACTATTAGGCTAATATTTACTTGACAAGAGTTCTGAGTACCCAACTCCTGGACTCTCATTGTATTATTATTGCATTTTGTTATGTATTTTATATTATATGTGCATTCGAAATGGATTTGTTATGGATAGAAAATCAAGGGTTCATTTCATGCTCTTTCTTGGGATTTCAACTTCTCTTGCTTTAAAATTATCAAAGTCGTTTCTATTTCAGCTGTGCTCGTTCAGAAGGCACGTGTAAAATCATTAATCAAAGACGGGATTCCAAATCTTCGATCATGCATTCAGACCTGTATTCGGACGAAATCCATAGACTGTCAGTACTTGAAGTACAACATTACTACTCGACAATGTTTGATGTCTGAGAGTAAATATGCAGAGCTGGCAGGCTGGGTATCAGTCAAACCAGAACACATAGGAAATGAGAAAGTCGCCCGCCTATTCGTGCAAAGAACACATGCAAATAGTACGTAAATATTATTATGAATATTATACATATGAATATACTTCGTTAGTACTAAAAAAATTGTAGGGGCGGTATACATGGTAGGGGCTGGCTTTAGTCAGACTGTATACATGGTGGCATATTTATGACACCTTCCCCCGTAAGCAAATTCTTGTTCTATAAATTATTTTGGCATGCAAGATATATCAACAATTTAACACACAACATAACAATGCAAGAAAAAATGTAGTCAATGGTGAATTTTGGAGAAAAAATATTTTACACGCACATGTTATCATATACAGTTTAAGTATATAACAAGATTCCAGTTCCCCAAGGCCAGGACACGAGGCGCAGCCGATATACAGATATATACCCCCATACAATCACAATGACTATATACTCAGTACATGTATATAAATGTATATTTTTTTCATGAATATTTCTTTCACTAACAAATGTTTTCGTTGTACGTCTTATAGACTCTGGGACAACCTCTGATGCTAGCTATGCTGCCGTCCTAGTTCAAATGATAAAAATTCTTCAATTAGAGGCGAAAAGTCTTGAGCTTCAGGTAACATCATCAAGGCAAATACATTATTGTAGTTAAAGCCAAATATCAATATAAATTCTCAACCAATTTATGTTTAGAAACTTTTTTTCTCTTCAGAAATTACTGTCTGCGACGGAAAACCTTATAACACTAAGGGTCGGCCAGCACATTTTATCACCCACCCTCATTTCTTTAGCCAAAAGAAAAATCCAGGTTCTCAACCAGAAACTCATGCGCCATCAGCAACAAGTGATAATGTCATCGATGAAGCTTTTAAAATCAGAATCCATCTCGACGAATAAGAAAAACAATACTGCATTTGGGGAAAATTTTAATCGTCTTGTAGAAACTTTGCGCCTTGACCAGAAGAATATAATGCGGGATATCTTGTATAATCTTCTCAAAACCTTACAGTTTTACCAGAAGTTACACAACTACAACCTCTTTGTAGGTATTTTAAATATCTATTGCCGAAAAAGATATTAAGATATGAATTTACCACATACTTTTATAAACTTAATGATATTATCTCTTGATAAAAGATTACAAAAACAAATAAAATCAAACAAATTATTTTGAAAACTATAAAAATAAATGAATGTTTCTTCCACTTTATCTGGAGTTTGGAATATCGTCTTGGAATTTCATTTTGAATCTTGATTAGTACTTTTTATTGATAAGAAGCATATGTTTAATTGATTCAAAATTTTCTCTTTTGAAGATCCGTGGAATTCAGACACAAACCCAAAGAACTGTTCAACGTTGAAACTGTGTGTAAAGAATTCCCTTCTCCAAGTACTCTTTTTTCGGATAAGCAACTTGGAGAAGCGAAATATTGACGTCTTTACTTTTTTGTCTCTGAACTTATACTGTACTGTTTTCTATTTGCTTACTGATGACAATAAAATTACATTATATTTGAATCATTACAAATATCAATGTTCATACATACACTTGGTACATGTATATACATGTCAACTCTGTAAGGTGTCTTCTAGCTATTCCCACTTTTTAAAAATCTCAAATCCACCTATTTCCACATGCAAATAACAATATATGTTTAGATTTACCTGTATTGTGTACATTTTAAGACAGAAAATAATGAATACATCTATGAGAAAATGTGATTTATTTCGGATTTTTGAAATAATAAAAAGATCTTACAAGAAAAAGCAACTGAATACCTAAATTTAAGAACATAGTTAATTATTTGTTTACACAAAATTCCACCTACTCCCACATAAAATCTTACCTTTTTCCACATATGTTTCAAAAAGAGGGAATAGGTAGAATGAACCCTCTGTAAGGCCACCATTAAAAATTGTTTGTTTGGAATTGCCGCCTGGAGGTTTCAGACACAGGAGGGAGGGAGGGAAATTATTTTTTTTTTTCAAAATTGAAGATACCAGGTAATTTTTTTTTTTATAAAATCTCAGTAAACACATTTTCTGACTTTTTAAAAAGTATCTACCATCAACAGAGAAACTTAATTTTGCATAGATCTGACACTACATTGAACAGTGTTTTGTATTGCGCATGTGATAACGGGCAATAAAAAAAATCTTTCTACTTTTTGTCAATAAATTTTTTTTTTCAGGAGGGGGCATTTCAAACAAACAATAATTTTATTTTGGCTTAACCCGAGTTATATGATTTTGATAGATTTACATGAAGTTACTGTATTCAAATTGACTTTTCAATATATGATACAAAAACACTGAAAACACCGTCATCGGTAAAGAAAAAAGACAGGTCAGTTTTCCATCTACAGACACGTACATTTGGGGTTTTTATCCAGTTCTCGGATGATTCTATATACACTGGTGAAATTTCTGGTTTCTCAGACACATCAATACGAGTCTTCTAGAGGTATCTTACTTGATAAGCGTAGATAGGACTAAACCAGGGTGCTTTGCTTTCAGAGTTGACTGATGGACACCAAAATTCGTAGATGGAATATTTATATTTTTTACGAAAGGTGTAATGTGAGTGGTATTATAGATTATATGTATAATATGGGTTGAACTCAGCATTCAGAGGTACATCTATGTGTGTGGATGGAGCTTCAGCATTCTGGGACGTACATCAATGCATACATGGATGGATCTCCACTGGCGGATTTAGAGCCCGCTTTTCATTTTGGTGTGGAATACTGCATTCATTATAATGAATATATTATTAGTCAAAAATATGTTAAAATATCATTAAACTTGAACTTCCCCCCCCCCCCCGCCCCTGTTTTGCAAGAATTCTGGATAGGCCACTGAGCTCAGGTGCAGAAATTTTTCAAAGGGGAGGGGATGAAGAGGAAACGAGTTTAATAACGTACATTTTACATAAACAAGTATTGAAGTATGGTTTTTAAAAATGGAAGGTAAAAATATGTGTAAGATTGGAAAAGGATCTGAAAGTTTTGGGAAAAGAAAGGAAAATAAATCTCCGAACCCGAAAATCCTATTTTGTAGGGATGTCAAAATTGTCAATAATTGATATTCGAATATTCGATAAGAGTATTCGAATATATTCGAATATTCGATAAAATAAGTACATTTTGTATTATTAAATATATATCTTCACTCTCCTGTCAAGCAGTGTAGGTTTTATGCCATTATTGTAGAATAAAAACTTGTGTAGAGTTTGGAAAATGCTCTACAATTATATATATATTTTAAAATTATTGAATAGTATACATCCAAAATGTAATTTTTTTTTTTTTAGAAAATTAAAAAGAGAATTAATAAGATTTAGTATGTTCCAGCTTAATTGATCATCTTACTAAAGTCTACACTGATAACTCCTACAAATTTATACCATTTAGAACAATTATCTAACGATGAAATATTACAAGCAGTAATTTTTTGCTAATTATAATTTCCTGATAAAGATTTTTAATGATATTTACATAAACAAGAAGTCCGTGTGTTTACTGTAAAACTGGGTCCTTACAACAATACAAGCTGATTGTTAGTACTGGAAATTATTATACTACTAATTAAGTGAACAAATAAATAAATTACTCTAATAGATACACTCTTCACACCTTTAAGGTAATCCAAGAGGAGTGTTTTTTTTTTATTTTGTAAAAATTTGATTCAATTTCTAATAAAACTTGCCAGGTTTTTCTCTCTTTTTAATGCTTGTATACCTAAAAACGAATATTCGAATCACAAATTTATTCGAATATCAACTCATCGAATGAATATTCGAATATTCGTTGACATCCCTACTATTTTGTAAAGGGGATGGGGTTTCATTTTGTTTTCACAACCGAATTTCTTTATATATTACAACATTAGCCTTTCACTGAACCTTGTCCATAGTAAAAACACCACAAAAACCTAGGACTTTCTTCTTTCTCTCTCATTTTTGCAAATCCAAAGGGAGGGGGGTTTGCAACCCCCGTAATCCCCCTCCCCCTCTCTTGATCCGCTACTGGAGCTCTTACGTGGTGATGCACATGTAAAAATGTAATCTTTATGATTCACATGTAGCCTACATTAACTTTCATTTGTGGATAGAGCTCAAGGTGTAATCACAGGTAAGCCTATATTTACGAGTATATTTACCTACGATTTTTAACTTAGCTAATGTGGCTATATGCAGGTTGTAACAAGTGGTGTTCGATCGACATTCGCCAGTACCCCACATGAACATGTGCTGGTGGAGTAACTGGAGTTATGTACAGTCATGTTCACTGTACAATTAATAAACTTGCGTGGGTGAAGCTATATACTGACTCACAGATGTACAATTATGTATGTTCTTTGGCTTTTGGTGCAGGTTTCAGTATTGGGACTTTTTCGATCGACTTTCGCCGGTACCATATTCTGAGCTTGCGCTGAGCAGTAGGTCTATGGTTTTACAACATACTATACAATAACGTGTGGAGCTAATTTATTCACATGTACATTTAAGAAATAAATATCATTTTTAGAGTATTAAATCATTGTAAGTATGGTCACGTGATCAAACTTTCGCCCGAAGAGCGTTATAATATTTTTAAAACCGACTTCATGTCATACCCAATGAGACTCCAAAAATGATATTTTATTTCTTATATTTATATTTGACGTTTTTAGTCGTGTTACAAAGAAATATAGGCATTATTTAGACTCTTCTTTGGAAATGCAACATAACGTATCTACGACGTCATGTGACGTCACAATCGGAACTTTCCAAATGGCTCATGTAGTTTGCTTTTAAGGTAAGTCACTCCTCAGCTTTTTAGAAAAGTTCACGCAGAAGCTTTTACTTCAAAACTACTTATTTAAATTCAATTTTTATAACATATTTAAATTCAACAATGTAAATTTTTTAACATTCAATGAAAAAACTGCTCAAAAATCTACAAAGAAGCAAGATTTATGAGGGACTATTTCTTTTGGTGGAAGGATATTTAGCAGAAAATTCTGCAAATCTGCACATTTATAAAATTTAATGTAATGGAATTTTAGCCTCACATACTTTTACTCGGAGAATATTTTCCGTTTTGATATTGCTAAATATATTTAATATAGGTCTTAATTTATAGTTTTAGACTAAGTTTTACACTTTCCCTCAACAAACTTTTCCAAAAAATGAAAATATATTGAACAAGTCAAGGTCAAATTTACACCATTTTTAGCCTGAAAAACACATATTTTGACAAATATTTCAAAATTAACATCACTGACCTCACCTTTTTCTTTCATTATTTTAAACTACTCGATACTTGAGACTGATCAGCACTCAAGTCGTAAAAAGTTTGATATAAGAAATTTTTTTATAGCCTATTAAGTTTTTTAATACCCCAAATATGTTATTTTTTAGTGCAAAACGGTCACACAATAATTTACGCGCATTAATTTGTAAGATTTGTTTAATGATAAAGATTATTCAAACTTGTTTACGTAAAATAAGATTATATTTATTGCCATGCTTACATCTAATCAAATATTATAAGGGTTAAAGAAATTAACCAAAGAGATGAAATTTAAGTGCAAAAAGGTCAACTTAAATGTACCGTAGATCAGTAGGATGCACACTGACCTCCTATTTTCTTTGCGATTTTGAGTTACACTTTATGAGTACTTATCCAAAATATACTTCTCAAAAAATCCTTGATATAACAAATTTCAGGAGTGACTTACCTTAATACTCAAGAAAGTCTGATCATGTGACCAACTGCATGTCATTGAAAATTGAATTTCAATTTTATCAGCATTGTCATATAAGGAAAGACATCAGCAAATGTAATATGAACATTAAGACGTACAACATGTGTGAAATAAGTCAGACCTGTAGAACGCACGTGGGAGGGGTTTTTTTTCCGAGGATAGTCTTTTGATACCCCCTTTCTGTAGACTGTACGGGAAAGAGGTGGGTTATTGAAAATATACCGATAAGTTCAGGTAAGGTGCACTCTACCACTCTCCTAAAATACTTTTTTTTAATCGGGCCTGCATTCAGTGCACTTAGGTGTCGCTCTGTATGCACAGGTAGGTATGGCCTATGGTGGGGATCTGCAAATTTTACTGTAAAATATGAAAGATTGTGGTACTTTGCAGTCACATCTTCTCTAACAATATTGAGAGGACCAAAACGTACACAAGTTAACGTGTGTAACAGATATTTTCTTTTTCGCACAAGAAAGGACACCAATTGCAAAAAGTGAAAAACATCCTTTTTGTCATAAACATGTTTTAATTGTATGACGTCACAAAATATACATAAAACGTCACTGAGACGGAGGAAATGGCAGACGCCAAAACAAATTAGAATGTTAAAGTCAGTGCTTTTGTGCTCACTGTTTTTGTTGTGCCTACAGAAAGAAAATACAGGTAAATTATGCCGATAAGAGTTAATACCTACATCAGAAATGATTTTTTGGCGGGTTGCTTTAAGTTGAGGGTGAAAAAGGAAAATGAGTTGGGTTTGTTAGACCTACAGACACAGTACAGTTGGCATATTGTATAAAAAATGACGGTTAGATTGTTAAAGATGGTGCTGTTTTGCATATTTGATTCCAGTGAAATTACAGAACTGTAGCGTTATGGTTTTATGTATGTCTTTGACCACATATAAAACCATAACGGAACAGTTCTCAATAACCACGGTTTTTCCTCTTAACGAGTACGTGAATACAGCATGGGACCATTGGGTATCAAATAGGGTATTGCATTATTTCATATGGTTTCAAAATGATGTTCCCTTGCCCTCTCCCGACCCAGGGTAAAATTATTTTGTCGGTAGGTACAGATGTGTGCCAAAAGTGAGGATAATTTTTTGTTTTCTCTGTATATTTCACTGAAAACAACAATTCGTAAAATTCGTAAAATCACTATCAAAATATTAAATGGTCATTTTTGTCCAATTTCATTATTTATTCCATTACTTAAAGCAGAAAAATTGTAGACAGTAGTTATCTTTTGTTTTTTTTTTAGAGATGATGATCATTACTGCAAGTAAAAGATAATTCATCACTAAACATCAGTTTTAAAATTCAAGAGCAATGTTGACTGCATAAATCATTGTAAGTATGTGACTTTATTTTTCCCGTCACACTTAAAAAATATTTTTTTTAAATATCATTAGGCGTTACTATCAGTTAAAAACTGCTGTTTTTATCAACTACAACATTTTCTTGCATTATCAAGAAATTTTCAGTAAAATCTGTGAAGAACTGAACATTGTCATACAAGTGATTTTACAAAATGTTGGTTTCAATGAAAGATATAAAGAAAAAATAAAATTATCTTCACATTTAGTACACATCTGCAGGTGGGATTTCCCCCCCCCCCCCAAAAAAAAAATTTCAACATATTTGATGACGGTATAAGAGTAAAACGGTAAAAGAGTTAAAAGAAAAAAAAATCGTGACCTGGAATGGTTTTAGTCAGTCAGACAGTCGGGAAAAGGGTAACCAAACATTTTGTTAAAGATGGCCAAATATAGCAAATTTTTTGTCAACCTCGGAATGACTTTCATCAATAAATTAACAACAGAGCTGTTTGTAAGATGAACAATTGGGAAAGAAATTAAACATGTTTATATACCTGTTTCTGTTTCCAATTTCTATTTTCATCCTTCTTGTCAAGATTACTCATAGTTATATTAGACTCCCATGTGCCTCCACAAAAAACCATCCTTTAAAATGTACCGTTTATGGCTGTAAGTGAGTCATAATTGCATTTTTACATTATATATTTCTTCGAAAAACCAATTTAAAAAACTTGTGAGATCAATTTTAGCTCAATTTCCATGACATTTTCACTGAAACTTTGTTCAAATTTTCTTGTCCTAAAATGTTTAACAAAATGATACACAAATCATTAAGAATACATTATAAAATTATCAAGAAAAAAATCAAATCTCTAATTACTATGATTTCTAAACAAATTAGAGTCTAAAAATTTTTATTTTGCACTTTACAGGTGATATTACCGCTGTGCCTACAGATAAAATAAAATTATTTTGAAATAATGTGAAGAAACTGCAAAGAATTGTGCATTCTATGGTGTTTTAGTCATAAAAAACAAGCTACAAACAACACTGCAATAATATTATTTAAAAAATGCTTTTTTCAATGAAATGTATAGTAGGAAAATAAATTTATGACTCACTAATGGCCAGGTACTGTTTCTGGAAAATGAGCTATGACGTTTAAGATTTTAAAATTTGACATAATATTTATGAGATAATATACTAATAATATTTAAATACATTGTACCAATATTCAAGAAGAGACTTGGTGATATTTTATTTTGCAGCAAAATCTCACAAAGTATATGACAGATACCGGCCAAGTATCTACTCTTTGTATTGTTCTGACTTTTTTTTATTTTAAAGGCCGCCATAAAAGACAAGCTACTCCTTCGTCGGTGGTCAGTTTACCAGGAGATATAAAAATCATCCGCAGGAGCAATGTTCCAAATCATGGTGCTTGTGCAAAATTATGCACGGAAGAAAAATTGATAAAATGTCAATATTTTAAATACCAGGAGGGAAAGAAAATGTGTTATTTATCTGATCGAGACCAGCCCAATATTGCTGTAGATGAAACACCGCAAAATGTTTCTACTTCTACGACAATAGGACCCAATGTCGAGATACAACAGAAACATAAATTAACAGATATTGTGAAACTTTTGTCCAAAATTAAGAACGCTTCTCAAAAGCCAACACCAAGAACTGCTGGGGCTGGGGCAAATCAAGTTTTGACCAAAAAATTAACCAAGGATAAGGGTAATTATATATCCATATAAGAAATTCTTTTCTGAAATACAATACTTAATTAAACTGATACATATTGGTTTTGATACTAGCATTTCTCATCATTTCATTTAACTAGATCAGAAAAAAGTGAAACATACACTGGAAAATATGAGGAAAATACAGAGAAATTTAGAAAGCACTCAGGTGAGAAAATTCCACATACTCGTATTCGTGTACATTTTGTATGTTTTTTTTTTTTTGGGGGGGGGGGGGGGGGTTAGGATTGGGATCAAATTCAACGCACAAGCCTGTAAAATATTCTTTTAAACATCATTTGTTTATAGATCATTTTTAATGATATGTCATTGTGGGAGATAAATTTGATTTTAATTATTTTCAGACTTTACGTGATAAAATCCAACTCATTAGTACAAGTATGTTGGGAAACTTAACAAAGATAAAGGAAATGCAAATACGATCATTACTGCATTTTAACAAAAGAATGCGTAATATTCAAGAAGACTTGCTTCAGACCACGAAAGAAATTGACAAAATAAAAATGTCAATGGGTGAATTGAAACAAAAGACTTCTGATAAAAAGGTTCAGGAAAACATAGATTTCTTACAGAAAAGTCAGGAGAAGTTTGATTCTACATTGAAAAAATTAGAGGAAAGGAGTGCTAAACTCCACAACGACATGGAATTATTCCATCAGTTAACAGCTATAATTGCCAAAAAGGTGGATGCCATGAAAAACAAGGTATTCATGACTGTGTTTGTTAACAAAAAATAATTAAAATAATTAATAAATTAGTTCTGATATTAAGTTTTTTTAAATACCAAAAAAAAGAGTTATAGTTTTGATATTTAGTTGTAATAAAGAAAAGAATAGAAAATGTTTTTATTTTCTTAGCCAAAGAATGATCCAAACATGCAACGGTTTCAAGAAGTAGCTGTCAAGTGTTTGGAAGAATTATCTCATCACGGGAGGGAAATTCAGAAACGAATGAGAAACCTTGAACAAAACATCAAACTTGTAGCTCATGCCCTTGTCATGTCACAGGCTGATGAAACCAAGAGTAGAACCATGATAGAAAATATCAATAAAGAACTGGTAGACCTGAGAAAGGCAGTGCAGGCAAGCTATATATGGCACGTAAGTAGATTCCTTCATGATCTCCATGTACTTTAGATTCACATGCAAAGAACTTTTACTTCTGTTATACGAAAAATAGTCTTACTAAAATTTTTTTGTTTTATGCACGTATATTTACTATAAAAATGTATTTTCTTTTTACCGAATTGCATGTATATCTATCGCTGAATCATCAATGCTGTCTGATTTCTGTGAAATTTTACTTCCTTTAATGAATGATATGGAAATAACGAACCGTATTCAAACTCAAAAAGTCCACAAAAACAATGCAAAACAGGGGCAGAGCAAACACGGACCTCCAAAACATCAGAGGTGGGATCAGGAGCCATGGAGGAGTGAACATCCCCTGCTGACAAGTCACACCCGCCGTGTGCTCCTTGTCATGATCAGGAAACAACGAAAAAATCCGTTGTCAGTCAGTGTATAAATTACAATAAGTATGAAAAACATTGTTCAGCATTTGACTCAATGATAAATTGTATTTGCCCACAAGGTCATTGTGTTGATTTGAAACGAGACTGCTGATTGTTTCATCAACTTGTTTGTCGATAATTTACCTCATTTTAATTTCTTAATTTGGCTTTAAGTTTGAATAGGTATTAAATTGTGATTAGACTTTGTGCTATATTTGTAGAATTCAATTGCCACTTTTCAATTATGCTGAATCATATAAACAACTAATTTTTTTTTTATCAAAGAATGTGAAACAACTTAGTGGCTTCTACACAAAAGAGAAACACCCCGGCGCCCTGGAAAACATCGGTCTTCTACTTAAAAATATTAAGACATACATCCTACAACTCAATACAGTCAATATTCAAAGATTACAGAGAATGAACAGAAAGATGAATAAATTTCTTTCAAAGGTATTTCTCAGAACTATTTAATTTCAAAGTACTAGTATTCTGCTGAAAAATTCTTTAAATTATGTCAGTCAATATATTGCACTTTTTCAGACTTTACAAGCAATTTCCAAAATGGAGAAGAGAAGGAAAAAAGTTGTGCGTAAACGAATTGGAAAAATGAAACATGTTTTGATAGATTCCCTGAAGGCTTTGGCACAGTGGACTCAACATGAGGAAAAGGAGGTTAAAAGTCTGAACGAGAAAATGGACGACCTGAGACTAAAAGTAAAAATATATATATACATATATTTAAAAGGAGAGAACTTCCTCATAGTAAAGAACTAAAAACAAGGCAATATTATTTGTAATTAAATGCTCAAACTTCATTGTATCTAATTGTATGTATTTTAGACTTCAAGATTTGCAGGTGGTAGCAAATATGCAGACAAGAATAACCAACAACTGAAAATGAAGCTGAATAAAATAAAGAAAACTGAGGAAAAAATGATTAGTACATTGGCAAATCTAGAAAAGTCAACGAAGGAAAATTCTGCTAAATTACAGGAAAATTTAAAGGATACAATGAAAAAGGTAACTTTATATTTTGCATTAAGTGATTTTAAAGTAATTTTGCAGTTTAAAAATAGCAGCTTTGTCAAAAGAACAAATGTATGATATTTTTAATCATAAACATAAAAAAAGGAATATTATTTTATAAATTTTAATATTTTGTCCAGTTGTCTCCCCCTCTCTCTCCTAGATATTAAATTTTAATAAAATGATAATCTCCCCATTAAAAGTAGTGTTGTAAAATCTCTCTCTCCTAGATATTAAATTTTAATAAAATGATAATTTAATCAGTAAATAATGCCAAATAATGCCTCATTAAAAGTGTCGCCGATCTGGGCCTTTAAACGACGATTTTTCGATAGTCGGCGACTATCGTAACAACACTAATTAAAAGCATAACATTCTTTTCCATTTTTCTAAACAGACACTGAAGAAGCAGGATAAGAGGATGAAGGAATTGAATGGAAAAAAGTTACGAACTGCCTTGACTGCTGCTGATAAAGTAAATAGGAAAATGGAGATATTTAGACAAAAGGAAGACAAAAAAATGAGAGAAGCAAAATCAAAGATGGACAAAAAAGTAAAAGTGGTATGGAAATCAAGAAAAAAGTCACACTTGTAATGAATTCTTTTCTAATGTTATTTATGAAGTGTCTTTCATAAAAAGATTGTGTTGAAATGTCCCTGTAGATAAAATTATGAATTTTCTTTGAGATACTCTTATAAAATTTATACAAAAACTATATTTATATGGATGACTATCTCATTGCAAGGCCAAAATTTTACAAAATATTTGTTAAAAGACATCGTACAGTACTCTTTGAAGGAAGCAAATATATTCATATTAAAATAATCTGACTTTATAACATTGATACACATTGATGAATATAAGAATATTGCAGAATGGTCTAATGATACAAATTCATAAAGTGTTAAATACATATTGCACTTTTTCTTTTAACATTTTAATAGCTAAAATATTATTTTAAACATGTATGCATTTTCTTCTGTGTTCTTATGTTTATTGCATAATTAATTATTATGCAATAGCTAATGTTATCATTTCATTTCTGTTTTAATACAGCTTATCTGAATGTACATACTATTGTTTGTAATTAATAAAAGAGAAAGAAAATGAAATTGTTGTTATACTGTGATGTTCATATAGAGCTCAAGCAAGACCATTTTCTCTAGGCAATGAAGAAAGTATATGATAAAGTTGTCCATGATAAGAGGTTAACAGGCACAAAGAAAGAGTTACGGAAACAGAAAAAGCGGATTCAAAATGCGTTACAACAACTGAAGACCATTGGAGTATCACAGTTTTCAAAGTTAAACAAAAAAATTCAAGCCATTATAAATGAGGTCTGTTACACTTCTGTGAATACGATTGTAAATAAACACACTGTGTATTAGTTGGCATTTATCGTAATATTAAAAACCATATGTGTTTATTACATTTTGTTTCAGAAAAGTGGGAATGTTGATGAAAAGATGGCCAGAAAAATGCGCAGAATTAAAGAAGTGGTTAGAAAAACTTTAGATTCTGTAATGATTAGAAAGGACAAGGACCACAAACAGCTATCAGCAATCCGGAGAAAATTCGGCAAATTCTTAGAAGAGGCAAGATTAACTGTTAAAAAATTATTACATGTAGATCCTCTCTCTAGTGATATTTCACGAAGATTGTAAGATAAAATAGATATCAATAGATATCACTTTTTACACGCTAAGAATTATGAAAAAAGTGCTACTGAGTAAATGTAAAAAAAAAAAACCCACCCTTTCACAGTCTTTAAAACATTTAAATTGTTTATTTTTACCTCTTTATTTGCAATATGTATGCTCTTTATATCTCTCTTGTGTAAGAAAATAAATTCATTCTCTTTCAAAAATTCTGTATTAAGCTATAGGTGGGAAGGATATTTGCTAATTGTAGGTGAAAGACATAGAGAAGGAGAGGCAGAAGGAGACAACAAGACTTGCAAAGACAGGGGAAAAGAAGGTATTCATTTCCCCATAATAGTAAATAAGTACATACTCTATACAGGGTTATTTTCGCCCTTTCATATTTACAAACAATTTTGCCCCATTTATAATTCTCCCTGTCATGTTTTTGTTGAAGAAAATTGTTTTCTTTGAATTAGCCTTGTCTTTAATTTGCCCACCTATGAGATGGGTAGATGAAGCACAATTAAATTGGGGAAGGGGGGATATTTCCCTGTATACTGCATACATGTATAATTGCAAAAAAATATGCCCATAAAGTTTTTTTTTTCAGCGTTATTTATGTACACTTTTTAAATTTAAAGAGAAACAAAAAGATGAATACAATATTGAAAGAAGCTGTGAAGAAAGCGCAGAAAATGCAACAAAAGTTAACCAAACAGAACAAGAAGGAAATGAACAAGATCAAAAAAGAGGTATCAGAAAAGAATCACTAAGTTAATTCTGTTATATTAATATTATTATAAGAAGTAATAATTTATTTTCCTTTTAAATATCTATTACAGACAATGAAAAAACAGTTTTTAGAGATTTCTCCAAAACAAAGTATTGCAGATGCGAGAAAAGAACTGCAACAGGAAAAGAAACAGATTCAGAAAGCTTTAGCAAAACTTAAGACAATTGGCAAAGCACAATTTTCAACGTTAAATAATACAGTTCAGACTATTATAAATGCGGTAAGAAACATTTTCCCTCCAAAAAATGTGTAACAAAAAAGTGTACCATATAGTTCTTTAACCAGAGAAATATATTTTAAAGACATAAATATTGATGCTTTTTCTCATTTGTATCAGAAAGATGAACGTGTTGATGCCAATTTAGATAGGAAAATGTCTAGAATCAAAGATGCAGCAAGAAAAACATTAGAATCTGTAAAAAATACGAAAACCAAAGACCATAAGGAGGTGGCTAAGATAAGGAATAAAATAATCGAATTTCTGACTGAGGTAAGAAAGGTATAGTCATCACATTGAATATAATTTTAATCAGTTTTTCTTGTCAATAACAAATAAAAATCTTGTTGTGAATATATTTACTGCAGAAATTTTCAGTTATAATGTACATAGTTCTTGCATAATTTATTCCTGGTTATTTACTCCTTGTTCATTACTTAGAAATCTCCAGGAAAATTACCTTTTATATCTTTAGGTGAAGGACATTGAAAAGAAAAGACAGAAAGCAAACATTAATATTGTGAGGATGGGAGAAAAGAAGGTTTTAAATGCATACTAATTAAAAAGTGTATTGTTTTATTTCAAACGATTTGAAATAACTTACAGACAAATTTTGTTATAAATATTTAGAGACTTCAGAAAGTTAATAAAGTATTAGCAGCAACTGCTAGGAAAGTTGAAAAAATGCAACAGAAGATTGCAGAGAGGGATCAAAAGCAATTGGACAATCTGAAAAAAGAGGTACCCATAGTAGTAAATCATATTTAGATATTTCATTTTTATGTGCGCTGATAGCTATATAGAATTCCATTATTCAGTGTGCAATTACACAGTTTAAGAAAACATCAAAACTTCTTATCAAGAACATTTGATTATGATTAATATGTAAGGTATTTGTCAAAACATTTTAATGAATGAAGGTATAAATTTTAAAGTTTTAAAATTTAGGTAAACTGTATTACAATTATAGCCATGAAACATATTAATTAGCATCGATTCCTTTGAAAAACTTTTTCTGGCTTTTTAATTTTTTTAAAATGTAAGAAACTGTATCTTTTGTAAATATTTGTGTTTATAATATAATTATCTGGCCGTGTTTCTAATAAAGGGCCATTTCAAAATACTGACTATTTTCCATGGATTTACGCACTATTTAGTTACACTACCTAACTAAAGTTGCTGTAAAAATATTTACCTTAACTATATATTTAATCTATATTAGCTCTCCTTTATTTAGAAACAATTAAAATAAAATTTGGGGATATTTATCTTTATAAAAAAGGAACATGTAAAAAAAATTGCTACAAATTTTTAAAATTGATATTTTAAGTTATTGTGTGTATGTTATCAACAAATAAACTTAATCCGCATTTTCATGGGAAAGGTATCATTGCCTTTTCCTGTCGCTATAGTCGTTTTCAAACCTAAAGTTGAAATAAAATTGTACTACATGGTGAATAAAAATGTAAAATGATTGGGGTTTTTTTTCAATCAAAACATAATACTTTTTAAAAATCCCCAGTATAATGTTTTAGATGCGCATTCAAGATATATGCAAGAATAGTGAAATATATTATGGCGAAATTTGATGTCATTTTACGACAGTAAAGGCTACATGTACTATGGGACTCTGAAGCAACTTAACAGTGTGTGAAAACGTATTTACAGATGAAGGTCTAATTTCCTTCTGTTCTAAATTTTGTTAAAAAAAATCATTTTATCATCAAATTAACTCTTTTTAATAGAATACATATATGGTATTAAGCAAAAGGCTAATCTTTTCCAAAATTAAATTCATCTCTTCATATTACGAAGAAAATGTGGCACTATAATAGAAATCGCAGTAGTTTATTATCACAACATGAATACTATTGAGAATTCTTATGTATCTTCTAAAAAGATATTAAGTGTCATGAAACATATGGAGATAACGAACAGTATTCAAGATCAAAAGTCTATAAAATAATATAAAACAGGAGCAAAGCAAACACGGACCTCCAAAACAACAGAGGTGGGATCAGGTGCCATACATATCAAATTCATATCGGAAAACATAACGAAGCTGTATTCAGAAGTTATCCCTCAGAAGGACATAAGACCTCAAGTAGTCTGGGCCACAATAAATGCTATCATGCATTCTTTTTAGTCAGAAAAGATCAAAGACAAGACAGTTAAAGCCATTGTTCAAAAGACCAGAGAAAAGGCGGTAGGCAATATGTTTGAAGATGTCTCAACCTCACACTTTTAAAGTTTAAAATTAAATCAAGAATTTTATTATATTCAAACAAGTGAATTATTATCGATATTAAATAAAAATGTTTAGATTGTAATATTTTTAATGCCACCACAATCGAAGATTCGAGGGTGTATAGCTTTTGCCCTGTCCGTCCGTCTGTTTGCCTGTTTATCTGTTTTTCTGGGAAAAAAAACTTTAACCGTGACTATAATTTTGAGTGGATGGGGCTGTAACTTTCATATTCACAGGTGTCTTCCTTGCGACAAGACCTTTGATAAGGCACCACCAAATTTTACCTCTTGACCTTGGAGTTTGACCTTCTTAAACCCAAAATTTTCGAACTTTAAACTTCGGCATAACTTTTGAATAGTTTGTGCTAGGTCTTTCATACTTCACATGTTTATTCATTGTGTCAAGATCTTTCAAACGAGTTTAAAAATATTTGACCTTTTGACCCTAACATTAGAATTTGACCCACTTTTAAAAAACTTTAACCTTGGCCATGACTTTTGAACAGTTACTCCTAGGGCATATTTTACTGGTGTATTCCTTGTTACAAAACCTTTCTTTGGATACCAACGAATTTTACCTTATGGCCTTAACCCTCTCTATAAGCTGCCATACGGGAGCATCAAGCGGTATACAGGGGAACAAACCATCAGTATTTCATAAACACATCTTGTTTTTCAAGTCAGACAGACATAGAAGTGTAAGGCAGTACTATTATAAAAGCATAAAAAATGGTTTATGTGACTTGCATTTTATATCAAGGAATTCGGGTAAATGATTATATAACAGAAATATGATAGAAGGAATGAATAAATTAAGTCAAAGTTGAATAATTGGTCATTCTCTGATAAGCCTTCTTTATAATCGTACTTATAAAATATCAATATGAAGATACTTTAATAACATCAATGTCAGATTTTTAAGACAAACATATGGTCATAAGAGACAGTAAATTTATTATATCAACATAAAAGCTTTGTCATTAATTTAAATTCTTCAGAAAATGTCAAAAATTGTGTTTATTTATATTACTTTTTTGTTGAATTTTAATCAGAAGAACAAAGCATTGAAAGAAAAAAGTAAGAGACTGAAGAAGAAGCTTAAAATTTTGGGAAAAAAGACGGAACACAAAAATGAAGTTTTACAACAAAAGGAAAAGGAAGCAAATATAAAAGTAAAACATCTTCCGAAGTAAAAATTAATACAATTCATATATTTACTTTTCTTATCAAAATGAATGATAAATCAAATAATAACCTTGCTTCAAATGTAACAGTTAATCAATGCATTTCATCTTGAAATGAAAATTGAAGTTCAACTTCATCATCATACAAATAAACTGAGCACTTTTAAGTGCAAATTAAATTTTATTCAATTTAATTCAATTTTTTACTTTGTAAAATTTTTATCGCTTTTATTTGTTTGAATATTTCAGTTGCAGAAAACAAAAGACCAGCTCTCAAAACTTTCTGCACAAAAAATTCAGACAGTTAAGGTACGATTTCGATGCAGTGCAGACCAAGTTAATTTTAATTTATATGCATATGTCATATATTGTATTTAAGAAATTACAGTCAATAGAATGTGAGAGAATATTTGATATAATTTTTTGTGACCTTTGCTGAATCTGATGTAGGAAAATCAAAGAAAAATAAAGGAGGAAGCAAAGTTGAAAACAAAAATAGACAAATTGAAAAAGAAGACTGAAAAGATCGCAGAAGAATCGCAAAGGAAAAATGAATTACTTGACAAAAAGGTAATCTCACAAAAAATCTGATGTTTCATTCTGTCGAATTTTTTTCTGACATTTTTCATACCAGTTGTTAGGCCTTTATTTTAATACTAAATTTGACTACGAAAAATTCTGTCTACCTGATCAATATTTGGGATTGTGACAGGTGTGTCTGACTCTCTGTCATCAGGGGATGCCCACTTCTCCTAGACACATGATCCCACCTCAGGAATTCAAGGATTGGAGAACTGCTCACTCATATTGAGGTGTGTCAGTGATAACAAACGTTATCGTTTTTATGGTTTTCGAAGAAGAGTAGGCTCGCCGAGGACCGCCAGAGAAACAAAAAAAAAAAACCATTTAATTTAATCGCCAAAATAAGGCTGAAATATTGCCGACTCCGCGTTAAACAATAATAATCAAACATTAATCATATTGTGACGCTGCCATATGAATTATTTGACATGTACTGATACTGTAGACGTACTTTTTTCCACGGGGGGATAATTCCACGGAATCTCGATTTCCGTTTAATCTTCGGGTAGAAAATTACGCGGATTTCTCCGACTGTCACTATATGCCTTACATTTACTCCCCCTATATTAAGTACGCTTGGACAAATATCCTCGGAAAATTTGTGACCGCGTACATAGCGGAAATTAATACCACGCAGAAAAAGTACTTCTTCAGTACTTGGTACCCAGGGCATTTAGCAGTGAGGGATTTTTTTATGACAACACGTACTTTGACACGTGACCTCGGTTTATAAACATCCACATCCTGCAATGGGATTCGAACCTGCCAAATATAACTCCTTGCTCTGCCTCTATTCTAGAACAAACGCTCTAACCACTACTTTTTAGCTCACCTGAGCCGAAGGCTCAAGTGAGTTTTTCTGATCACATTTTGTCCGTCGTCCGTCCGTCTAGCTGTCTGTCTGTCCGTCTGTAAACTTTTCACATTTTCGACTTCTTCTCAAGAACCACTGGGCCAGTTTTGACCAAACTTGGTACAATGAATCCTTGGGTGAAGGGAAATTTAAATTGTGAAAATGAAGGGCCAAGTCCTCTTCCAAGGGGAGGTAATCAAGAAAAGACAAAATAGGGTGGGGTCATTATAAAATCTTCTTCTCAAGAACCACTGGGCTAGAAAAGCTGAAACTTACGTGGAAGCATCCTGGGGTAGTGTAGATTCTAATTGTTAAAATCATGACCCCCGGGGCTAGGGCGGCGCCACAATGGGGAATCGAAGTTTTAAATAGAAATATATAGGAAAAATCTTTTAAAATCTTCTTCTCAAGAACGGCTGGGCCAGAAAAGCTGAAACTTATGTGGAAGCATTCTTAGGTAGTGTAGATTCTAAATTGTTAAAATCATGACCCCCGGGGATAGGGCGGCGCCTCAAAGGAGAATCGAAGTTTTACATAGAAGTATATAGGAAAAATCTTTTAAAATCTTCTTCTCAAGAACCACTGGACCAGAAAAGCTGAAACTTATGTGGAAGCATCCTGGGGTAGTGTAGATTCTAAATTGATCAAATCATGACCCCCGAGGGTTGGGCGGGGCCACAATGGGGGATCAAAGTTTCACATGGCAATATATAGGAAAAATCTTTGAAAATCTTCTTCTCAAGAACTGCTGGGCCAGAAAAGCTGAAACTTATGTGGAAGCATCCTTGGGTAGTGTAGATTCGAAATTGTTAAAATGATGACCACTGGGGGTTGGGCAGGGCCAAAATAGGGAATCAAAGTTTTACATAGAAATATATAAGAAAAATTTTCTCAAGAACCACTGGGCCAGAAAAACTGAAACTTACGTGGAAGCATCCTGGGGTAGTGTAGATTCTAAATTGTTCTAATCATGACCCCCGGTAGGGCGGGGTCATAATGGGGGATCAAAGTTTCACATGGCAATATACAGGTGACTCTCGATGGCTCGAACTCCGATCTCTCGAAGTGAACCTCAGGTCCCGTTTTTTTTCTCTATATAACTAAGCAAATTTACTCCTGATCTCTCGAACTTCTATCTCTCGAAGTTCTCTATCTCTCGAACCAAAACCTGGGTCCCGTTACATATATTTCATTGAATTTTACTCTCTATCTCTCGAAGTTTTGATAGCGTGTGTATACAAGCCAATCAACCGTAAAATTGACGCAGCCTGAACTTACCTGGAAAACAGTGAAAGCCTGGGGCTTGGCATTGAGGTGTTAATTGGGTGTTTACGTAGATGACACTTCACCTGTGGGTAGTCCGTGTGTTGATATAATTAATTGATTATCATTGGTAAATTATAAACAGTTTTTTTTAAATTCACAACTTATTTTGACTTGAAAACGAGACGACAATTTTTAGAAAACAATTTATAGTCAAATCGATATGTTCCCATACGCTATGAACTTTTATTACAGTCGACATAATTCCAGTATGGCAAATATTGCACAAGAAATTCCTTTCTGAAGTACTAAATACCGATTAAGAAAAATCTTGTGAACATTGGTGAACAGGTGAAGGACCCGATCAAGCCGCGGAATAGTCAAACCGACAATTGCTATACGGATTTCATGTAATCATTAAATAAGAACAAATAAGTATTGAAACTTTAGGAATTCGTTTTATTTAGTCGAAGTACGATCATTGTTGTTGATATCAAGTGAATATTACCTGTAAAATACGATAGAAAACGTGCAAGCAATGACTTTATTTACATATACTTCCGGTATCTATAAAAGTAGAACTTCGATGATCGGAACTGAGAATTCCGGATTTTATTTTCTTTCTATCTCTCGAACCCTTCGATCTCTCGAACTTTTCTTGCGGTCCCTTGAACTTCGAGAGATCGAGAGTCACCTGTATAGGAAAAATCTTTGAAAATCTTCTACTCAAGAACCACTGGGCCAGAAAAGCTGAATTTATGTGGAAGCATCCTTGGGCAGTGTAGATTCTAAATTGTACAAATCATGATCACTGGGGGTTGGGCGGGGCCACAATGGGGAATCAAAGTTTTACATAGAAATATATAGGAAAAATTTTCTCAAGAACCACTGGGCCAGAAAAGCTGAAACTTACGTGGAAGCATCCTGGGGTAGTGTAGATTCTAAATTGTTCTAATCATGACCCCCGGGGGTAGGGCGGGGCCATAATGGGGAATCAAAGTTTTACAATGTTGAATCAAAGCATCCTATGGTAGTGTAGATTTCAAATTGTTTAAATTATGATCAGTAGGGTAGGTAGGGGTCACAATATGTGTTACAAGGGGGAAATCTGGTAAAGAACGGAATGTTCAGAGCTTCTAAGGTGAGCGATGTGGCCCATGGGCCTCTTGTTTAACATGTTTTGACATTTTGTATTTTATCATACTGGTCAATTTTCAGATGAACAAAGTGAAAGACAAACTTAAACTGATTTCGGACATAAAGGATGATCTAGCAAGGGTAAGGAACTTGGAATTAATTCTGTGATTGTTTTATAATCATAAAATCATAAATGTTTAAATAGGTTTTTTGGGGTGGGGGCTGTATAGGAATAAGTTTGACTGTCGTTCTTTCTTCTGTCGTGCCCAGATGCATTGAAAGTTCATACATGACATATAGATTGGCTCTGACCAGAGAATGTGTCATTACCTCAAAATAAGGTTATTTAGTTCACTATAGTGTCAACAGTAAATTAACTATATAACTTGTATAACTAATGGATAACAATTTCATTCTCCACACAAAGATTTCTGATATGATAGTATGTTTTTGGCCTTAGCCTAAAGTTCATTTGTACAAATTCAATGTTATTGACTGACAGTGTACCAATTTTTTACATTCATCAGAATGCTTAAATTATCCAAACTATACCGTGCGAAAAGAGCTTGAATTAAGGTTTAGATGAAAATATAAATTATTTCCTGATAACTGTGCTGTATGTTGCAATAAAATATGAAAAGTTTATTTTCTTGCTATGATTTTATTACCGGTATAACCTGTAGATTTGTTTCGATCTTGTCTTTTAATACATTGAAAGTGAAAGAAGAAATAGTATTTCTAGCTGTAAAAAAAACTGTATGAGAGAAAGTAGGAAGTAAACTTTATTGTGAAAACTGCAGTGGTTTTATTATTTTGTGAAATCTGGTATTTCTAGTTTTTTTTTACTTATTTAAATTGCGAAGATTTTTTAAAATTTCATTTATGACTCATTTATTGGCTTATAGCTAATATGATTCAAACTATTAAGTGTATAACTGAAGAAAAGTATGACAATTAACATATGTAAATTATGAAAAAGTATTTTAGCTGTATTTTCTTAACATCAAAATTGATAGAAAGAAGAAAAGATGAGAGAAGAAGAAGTTAAAGCAAAGAAAAAGATAGTGGAGCTAATCCAGGCTGCTACGAGCCTAAAACAGGTATGGTTAATACCAAGAACATAGCTCAAAGGACCGTTTATTTAGAAATAGCAGTATAAATAATAAATTATGTTAATGTACTTATTTTTTATGTCATTATTGTTTTTTTCTTACGAAGGGAAAAGAGGCAGTAAAATGGAAAAAGAAGAAACATAAAAAAATGGTATTCTTTTTTCTGATAATTTGAGAGAGGTAAAGCAAGTACATCTTTTATGAATGTTGTTAATGCACATTATTCAAAACACATATGTGAGAATTTTTTAATTTTTCCAGAAAATTATTCCAGACCATGGAAAACATAAGCAGCTTCCAGAAGGAGCAGTAAAAGTGCCAATTAGAAAAGTATCGCCCCAAAACGCAGAAATATTCTTATCAGTTGTTCACTTACTAGTATATTGAGATGCATATGCAAATGTTAAATATTCAGCAAAAGTATAGAGTACTTTTGCTGAATTTTAATCATCTGCTCAAGCGTCAATATTTAAAAAATATTAATGTTTATATCTATATCAGAATATATCAGAAGAAGAAACATGACATGCATGTGTACGATAAAACTTTAACACGAAAAAAAAGTTGCAGCTTGATATCTTACAAACATTGTTATGCAATTGAAATTTCACATACATGTAATGGTTAACTGTAATAATTTTATAACTTTATTTAGTTCGTATTATTTTTTTTGTTTTTGTTTCAAATTGAAAAGTTTCCTCACACTCAACCTTCTCTGTATTATTTTATGCCTCCTTTGATGGAGGGTAGACGAACTTTCGTCCTTTCAATACTGGTAATCTGATGGTTATCATGAAATTTGGTATCTTGGTTATACTCATAAAGTAAAAGAAACCTATTGGATTTGAGATCGCAAGGTCAAAGAATAGGAGTTAAACTGCTCTAGATATATGTTTAAAAAATATGGTCCTCTCTGAACTTGAAAAGATATGTCCTCTTGATATCTTGATAAGCCTATGGTTGACAAAACGTTAGAACTGGGTACACTGGTACCATCTAAGAAGTAGCAGACCTCTTTATGTCGAAATTTAAAAAAAATATGAGAATATGAAGTTTGTATATTTTGGTTAAATTAATGATTCATTCATTTATGGCACAAATACATACTTTTCCGTGTCAGTAAAATGCGCTTTTACTTGTAGAAAGTTATTCCAGGCCAAGGGAAAGGAAGAAAACTTACAGCAGGTACTACAACGATGCCAATTCATAAGGTAAAAGAGTTAGAAACAAATCTAGCTTAATTAATGACAATCTGATTGAAATCAGGTACTTGTTGTTTTTTTTTTTAACTATCTAGCGATATCGTAAAAAAGGAGCAATGAGGGTCTGACTTTAATCAGATTGAATCAATGTAAACCTCTGTGTGATTGCTTGAAGATTTTTTTTCTACTTGCAACATTCATTTCTGCTAAAACAAAAAGTGAGCTAACTAAAAGTTTATTTTTATTTTTTTCGTAACACTTCGTTCTTTTGGAATTTATCTTTGTCTGATTAAACAAATCCATTATAATAATAATAAGAGCTTATTAAAAGTAAGTATCCCCATTGGTTCGGTCACCCCCGCCGTGATCAGGTAGCCGGAATTTTGGTACTTATATGCACTATAAAAACAAAGGTTAACAATTGGTATGAAACAAGTCAACCAAAATACACGACCAGTGGTAGATTATATTAGCTAACAAGGTCATTTTGGACAAATTATACTTTATGAATACTGTGTTTTATGCTAAAATACAATAATTGTTTGGCAACGTTTGGTGATAGTAAAAGAGTGTAGATAGCGTGTCATACATAAATATAATGATACTGATTACCTGACTATGTTATTGATCCCTGATTTCTTTTTTAAGCTTCAGTTTATTATGTGTAATTATACGATTGATCTTTTTACGTTATACGAATATACTTCATAGCTGAAAAGGTCTTTGGGTCTACTTTGGGCTTGTAGATCCTAACATGAAGTTTAGTCAATTTTTTTTTTATGCTGACGATTTGCAGGTTAAATTAAGTTAGATAAAGTGCTGATATTTTACATTTCAGTTTTAAGTAATGGCTTGCTGATCAAGTTAGATTATCATATTGACTAATTTATTTTCTTGAAACTGTAGTGTTTCAATGGTCAACGTTTTTGCTGTGATCATGATTCGTATAGTTTACAGGATCTATGAGATTGATCTCTAATCCCTGTCTCTAGTTTTTTCATAGTTATCCTTAAGACTTTAAATTAATTTGTTTATCATTTAAATTCTTTGAATAAAATGTGCTCAAAGTATTCAAATGCAGATGTGCCAGTAGCCATTCTTTTTATTTTTCTTTTAGAAAAAGACAGGAAAGAGGAAAAAACCACACATAGTAAGATGGTATCACACAAATGAATATTATATACAGGGAAATTTTCGCCCCCGTTTAATTTTTGCCCTACTCACAGGTTGGCGAATTCAAAGAACACAATATATTCATTTTTACCAGAATTTAAAACGGTTCAAATTGCTTGCAAGTGTTAAAGGGCAATAATAATCCGGGACAAAAATATGCATACAGTTTTAAATTCTTGAGTTACTTGCGAATTATTCAATTTTAATTTTTATCACTATCAAACAGAAATGCACATAAGAAAACTAAAAAAATGGTGAATAAAAAAAAATATTTTCTTGATAAGCCTATGATATTTTAAACATAATAGTAATTTATTAAAAATTTGTTTCAATTATATTACAATGATTTATATTCGTTTATCAAACTTATTGATTGAACTTCTTCTGTTTGAATTTTAATTTGTCAAAAGAAAGTGCTCCCAGATCGTGGGGTAATCGGGAAACATCCACCTGGAGCCGTGAAAGTCACTTTTCAAAAGGTATAACCTTAACTGTATTGTATTGTCCTCTATGTTTCTTTTTCTTCACCTTTTTCTATGCAGATGCTACAAAGGTATGACATTCTATGGATGTTTTTGAAATAATTATATTTCTGTAATGCAATCTCATGAAAATGTACCCTTACACTTTTTATTATCTGATGTCGCAAGATAGCATATGTACATCTCTGTTCCTCTGTGATAATATTTTTCACCAGGTCAAAATTAGTATAACAGTTTTTAATTATTGCATTAATGAATTTTTTTTTTTAAATGAAAAATAAATCGAATTTAATACAAATTAGTGATATACCAATATGACCAGTAATTAAATTCTGCATGATTTATGCATTTTTCTTCTTTTAGAAATTAGTTGAAAAGCTGAAGAGAATAAATGACAAGTACAGGCATGTTAAAGAAAAATCACTGAAAATGAAGAAAAAGGTATGGAAATAATATACTAGAAAGGAATTTATGAGAAGTGATTAAAAGATGAAATTTAAATCTGTTGCTAACAGTGCTAAAAATTGTATTACTAAATATTTTTTCTTTTAAATTAATAATTGTTAGCTAAAAGAGAAACTACAAAAGGAGAAAGTAATCTCGTCTATACCAACAAAAACAACTAAGGTAAGACACATTTAAACATGTAAAAAAAACCATACAGGTACAACATTTTAACTTCTCAATAAACAAAGTGTATGTTTCTTTATTGAACTTATCCTTTTATATGTAGGGGAAGAAAACTGTAAGGAAGGGTAAGAAGAAACTGGAACGAAAAATAAAGATAATCAGCAAGATTAGCAGAATAACTAGAAAGAAATTAAGAAGAATTCAAGAAAAGGTAAACTTTCATCCATGTTTCAATTTTGTTCTATTGTTATAAAAAGATTGATATAAAATAAAGATTAATGTACTTTGCCCTCTTAGAGGAGAAAATTGCTGGAAGAAATGTACAAGGTAGGTGAAACTTTGAGTTGAGACATTTGGACAACAATTTTTGAATAATATGTACACTTAAACACTTAAATTCAATGAAAATGCATGAGATTTTTATTGTTATAATTTGAATGGTTTTTTCCCGGTATGTCCTTTTCAGTTTCAATTTGTAACACATAAAATAGAATTTAACCATTTATAATAAATACTAGGAATTAAAAAAGTATTTTGGCTTCCTAAATACCTGTAAGCACATTAATCATTTAAAATATAGATATTTTACAGAGATCAAATTATGATTTATTTAAATTCATATTTTTTGAATGATTAAGCACTCGTAAATTTGAATCTAGGTAGAAATAGCATAGCCGCCAAAAGCATAACACTGTACTCAAAACACATCAAATGATTTTCTAGCTCGAGTTTAATTTAAAAAAAAAACATACTACGAACTTTATGCATACAATTTAAACAAAGGGATCTATAAACTATAAAATCATTACAATTTTTAGGATCATGAAGTTATCAAGAATTAATTAACTTTTACGTAGATTAAGCCCAAATGTTCATACCATAGGTTTTACCATATAATAATGGGTGAGATTTTAAGAGCCATTCTCTGTAATGATTTGAAATTTTATATAGGAGCTGTGGCACGCATAGTCTCAGAATTTCTCCAAACTCTCCATGATAAAAGTCATTAATACCCTAAACTGAAATCAGGCAAAAATTGGTTGCTATGCTTTATAGTTACCTTGGCAACATGTCTTAAAGTTCGAAAAATGGCATTTTTTAACATGTTTAGAGCCCCATAGTTAACATTTGCGGCAAAGCAAACAATTGGCAATGACTGTTTCCAAAAGTTGAAGGTCAGATGTCTCAAATGCATGATAAACATGTTTGGTAACTCAACTATTACATATTTTACTATGGTAACAAAGTATTTAAAAGTAAAAAAAATATTCATTGAATTTTATAAAGTCATACACGTAAAAATAAAAAGCAATTATAGGATGAAATGTGACCAAATAATAGAAAAAAGAGCCTTGAAACATATACCAAGAACAAAATATGATATTTCATTTTGGTTGGCAATGGTTGCCAAGGTTTTTATACCACAGAGAGCCTTCAAAATAACACTCTGTATGTTTAAATCTGATCCTATCTTTTAAAAAAGCATATTTCCTCATAACTAATGATCAATTTTTAAAGATGTTGGTGTGCTCCTAGTTTTCCAATTTAAAAAAATTCAGATAAGATTCATTAAATAGAGCGTTGCTATGGAAATAAGCAGAAAATATATGCTTAAAAACCTGAAAAATATTTTCTTTCCTTGGATACGTACCCTTAAATGTAGATTCCCAAAACTTTTATGATTGATATTTATCAACAGCTAACCTGACTTTTTATTTTGACTATCATCCAATCTCTAAGTGGATGCAAGAAGTTGGCACACAGGGTTTAAGGTTGATATAAAGTTCACAAAATCGAACATTTTCCCTTCTTGGTAACCATAGCAACAATGTTGTTTTCTTCATCAAATTTTATCAATATATGATATTCAACTTCAGTTCTAACAGATCAGTACCATTCATGCTGAGTCCTTTAATTTGTTTCTTGATTATATGGCAATTTAAGGATGTACAACACACCTACCCCCAAAAATTCCTGTCGTTTAATTTTCGTTATTTTTGTATATTTAGTACATGACTATATCTACTGCAGGTATGCACATTTTGGACAAAATCGTTCGAGTGGTTTTTGGACAGGAACTTCCAAAAGTTACCCCCCTTTAGTTGTTTACAAGGAGAGAAAAATTTTAATCAATGAACTACTTAAACCTTGATTTTCAAAAAAGCCAGGTTAGATATAAATGTCAAATTTCATTGGCTTATTCCTTTAACCATTTAACACAAAAACATAGTCATCTTTTTGATATAAATATCATCAAAATAAATTTTAAAGACCCTAAACTGAAAAACTATGAATTATCTAAGCCTTGAAAATTGCGTATTTTTCAAATTCAAAATTTTTTTGTGAAAAAACCTGTCGTTTAATTTTGGTAAAAAACTTTCTTTAGGTAGCTGGTAGTAAAAATAATCTTCATAATTTTTTGTATAATTTTTGTACGACCAGTTTTGATTTAATAGCGGAAAATTACCCCCTCCCCCTTTCTCAATAAATCACATTCCTGCGCGTCTTTCAGACCGGGGTCGATCACTTTGTTACATGAATCTACAAATACACATGAAAAAAATTAAATTGGAATACTGCTTTTGCTTCAAAAATACATTAACTTACAAATTTAAAAGTTCTCATATGTAAAGCGTATTTAAATGTAGATTTTTAGGCAATTTTTGAGTACCCCTATCACCCCCACCCCTTACTTTTTTGCGTCGCAGACCATTAGCGTTTGACGAAACGTCGTTTACAGTGCAAATATACTGGTATTTCGTCATTTGAATCCCGGAGGTATGCATTAGTTTTTAAATTCATGAATGCAGAATAAATAAATATTGACTACTCTTTTTATATGTATCAGAAAAAAATTACTGAAGGATTTTAGTGTTTAGTCCATATACTAGTATGTATGCGTTATGCATTCCATATCACATGAAACCTGGATACGAACTCAAAGTTTTGTTGAACTTGAATATGTTGATTTTTAATTTTATTTCTTTAATTTTATGTATTAAAAAAAATTGGTGTATGTTCAACTCTCCTGTGATATAAATGGAATAATTGTAGTTTCTTTCATGTCATTATTTCAAACGAGACAGTATGTGGCCGTGGGGATACATCGACATTTGCATTAGACGTACATACACCCCTCATGATATTGTACGCATTTCTTTCAATGTCGTCGCTTCTAAAGTTAAAATGAAAATTCCGTATTCGTCCACATTAACTTCAAAATATCAAACATTAAACTCTTCATCTATTTCAATTTATATCAAATCGCACTTTGATATTTTTCAAAATCTTATAGGCTACGTTTTGTTTTGATTCGAGGAAATGCGAACCGACATTGTTGACAGAAAGTCAAACGATTTGCTGCAATAGGATATTCATAAATGCAGATAATTTCAGTACAAGTGAACAATTCTTTTCAATTCTATACTTACATTGTGTATATGAGGTCTATAGTATTCAATCCTTGGATTTATCAGGTCTTGCTGTAAATGTATCTGATTCTGTGGAAAACCGTGAATAAAGGGAGGAAAATAAACATCTCCTACATTTTCAGAGTTGTTCCTCTTTGATCAGTAAGGGTCTGAGAACAACATCGATTTTACATTGTAAAAAGTTTTTTTGTTTATTTATTGTTGTTTTATTTAATTAAAGAAGAAAAACAATATTAATATCGTAAATGCACAAATTGTAATGAAGACCATTAATCGGAATGTTATATAGCCAATTGTACATAATGAGAATTTCGGCAATGTACAATAAAATTTTCAGAATAAAAAAAAATGCTGCGCTTTGATCAAAAATGCAATTTATTGTATATGAAATGAAATGAAATAATCATTAAGGGATGGTATTTTATGTCTTGCTTTTTACGGAATTTAATCGGGTTAATTAAAAAAATACTTATTGATTGAGTATGGTACGCACAATCACAGCCAAGCCCCATATCCCAATTTTCTTTCATGATTGATATACATCGGGATCGTTTTACTCTTCGTTTTGACGCTTTATTTTTGACGTTAAATTTGACGTCACGTCAAACGTTCAATTGAAATCGCAAGAGTTATCTCCCCCAGTGTGTTGTACGTCTTTAATTCTTAATGCAGCGAAAAATAATTCACTTTTAAGCACTGGTACTTGTTTCCATGGTAACACTGCAAAGTAGCAATTGCACCCAATTTTTCTTATGGTTTTGGTGATGCAAGGTCCTAGGGATGCATATTTGCCAGTCTTGAATTTTCATGTTTTTCCTCAAGACAGTAGCATTAACCCAATCTTAGTCACTGGTTTTGCATGGTTACACTGTGTTACCATGGCAACCATAAAAGTTGTTTATAGAATAATATTGCTTATACTTATATACTTAAGTTCAAACATTTTCATTGCTTTTCTTAAGTTGTTGATTGAGTTTGAGCATGTAACACCTACCATTAGTGAATACGGAGTGTTTTTCAGCATATTTCAGCATTTTAAATGTATTCCAAACTTACCCTTGGTTACCACTTACTTAGAGATATATTCTAAACAGTTTCTTTACAGTATAAGTGACATCAAGGTGTCATGTTTTTGTGAGAATGGTGTGTTTGCTTTTTCTAGTTTTTATTAAGCCACAATCAAGATTTAAAGTGGCTGAAAATCTCGATTTTTCAAACTTTTCCGGCTGTTGCCATAGCAACCGAGACACTTAGCAACGAAATTGTGTTTGATATTTGTTTCTGGTGCCAAGTACTAAGCATGGGTGAAGTTTCATCAAAATCGGTGACCATGCGTGGCAACGAAGTTTAAGTGGTTACAGAGAATAACTATTAACATTTTGTTGTCAACTCGGATAACTTAATGAAGCTAAAACAGTTTTTTTATCCATTTCACTTTTGGTATATTGATAGAACAAATGAAAACATAATTAACATTTCATTTATTACGGAGGAGGGAACAGGCAAGAAAAATAAGTAAAGTGAGTAAGAGTGAATTATAAGGTTTGCATTGATGCCATCTTGGTAAGGAATATGTTATAATATATCTCAAAGTTCAGATATAATTGCTCAATGTAGACTGAAATGTTCAGTTAAACTATAGCTAAATAATTTTTAGTATTGCTGAAAGGTAACCTTATCTATTCTTTGGTCTGATTTGAACAAAAATTACCAAAACTGCAGATTATGTCAATTCTAAAATTTCAAGACATCAACTTCAACATTTAAAAGAAATGATTGGTTCTGTTATTGACGAACAAATATATGTTCATACACTACCCCTGATTCAAATTTAATTTCTGTAAAACTTGATACAATCGTATATTACATTAGAATATAAATTTCCAAGTTTTATTGTTCACCTTTTCTGGAAATCATTAATGGCTTTGTAAAATATACAATGTAATTATGTTTCTTTTATTATTTCAATTGATACAAATGATATTAGCTTAAAAATTATTCCTATGTACAATCCATACTTTATATGGCATTCTTAAAATATTGCTTAAATATATCAATAATGTATTTGAAATTGTCATATGTTACCCCCCCCCCCCCCCTCGAGCTTTGTGTACCTGTGTAGTGTACCCTGATATATCGATTGATGTCTTTTAATGGTAACACAAAGAGAGAATGTTATTGAACATTTCCAAGTGCTGTTCTTAAAGGTATTTTTGATAATCTTTTTATTAGCATTGTTTAGTTTTAAAATTCAGAGATTGTGGGAAAAACTAATATGCAAATGTTTTATTTGAACCATCTGTAGAGCTATGTATCATTTTGAGCTGTAAGCAAAATTATTTTGTTTCTTTCAGGGCATTGTTTTATACATGTACCTGATTTTGTATTGGGTTTTTTTTCTGCTACAACTTTTTGTATTAATATTTGCTTTAGACTAGGAAATTCAAAGGAAGAAAACTTCCAATAGTACGTATTAATATTATTACAGTTTTCAATTTTGGAGCAAGATTCGTTATTCCATGAATAATGCCTTAATTTATTTTATCAAGGTCACTTAAAAGTGATGGTTAAAAAAATCTGCCTACTTATTTTCTCTCTTAATTATTAATTACATATCAAACAATGTAGTAATTTATCATTTTTATTATTACTATCAAGTTGGCCATAAACATATCCAAGTATTTTTAATTTCAAAGACTAATTTTGATTTTGAATTAATATTTTATTATTCTCTGATTTTGTCGTTAACCAAAGAAAGTGATCCCAGATCGTGGTGTAATCAGGAAACTTCCACCAGGAGCAGTGAAAGTCACTTTTAAAAGGGTATTACACTTGACTATGCTAAATTGTTCTTTTTTTTCATCCAGTTTATTTGACCGAAAAAATCAAAAATTTACGAAAACCTTTGTGATAAATACATTATAGAATTCAATTTGAAGCGAACAAACAAAACAGTGAATAAAATCACCTTAATCAATTTAGTTTTTTGTGTTTTAGAAATTGGTTGAAAAGCTGAAGAGGATAACTAACAAGTACAAACATGTCAAAGAAAAGGCACTGAAAATGAAGGAAAAGGTATTAATGGAAATCATTTTGAGTTAATAAGCAGATAATTAGAAGATAAATCTAATATCTACTACTATAAATGCACATTTTTTTCTTTATAAAATGTTAGCTAAAGGAGAAACTACAGGAGAGAGATGTAATCTCTACCTTACCAACAAAAACCACGAAGGTAAGACACATGTTAAACAGGTTAATTTTATGCTTCTTAAATGAACAATTCAGGTACAATGTTTAACTACTTTTCAATTAAAATACAATGTTTTATAAACAAACACGGAATATGTTTTTTAAATTTTTATATGAAAAATTGTGATGATATGTAGGAAAAGAAAACTGTTAAGAAACTGGAAAGAAAAATAAAGAGAATCAGAACGATTTGCAGAATAACAAGAAAGGAATTAAGAAGAATTCAAGAAAAGGTAAACTTTCATCCATGTTTCAATTTTGTTCTATTTACTGTAGATGTACTTTTTTCCACGGGGTCATAATTCCGCGGAATCTCAATTTCTGTTTAATCCGCATGTAGAAAATTGAGCGGATTTCCTTAACTATCACTATATGCCTTACATTTATATTAAGAACGCTTGGACAAATTTCCATGGAAACTTTGTGACCGCGTACATAGCGTAAATTAATACCACGCGGAAAAAAGTATTTCTACAGTATATAAGAAAATTTATATCAGATAATAATGAATGCACTTTGTTGTTTTAGAGGAGAAAATTGATAGAAGAAATGTACAAGGTAGGTACAGTAAAATTGTGAGAAAATTGATTGAAGAAATGTACAAGGTAGGTAAAATTGTGAGATGAGGACATTTGTGCAACAATTTTTTAAATAACATACCGTTTATTAAATAAATTTTAAAAAAGAAGAACCAGAGTATTCTTAATTTCTTAATTTGAATGCTTTTGAATTTCTTCTGGCTTGTCCTTTTAATTTCTTATTTGTAACAAATTGTTTTTATTTTCCCGAAATAAGATTTGTTAATGATAAGTTTTAACCTGGAATAATGAGTGATGTTTTAAAATCTGTGGTAAACTAGGAGAACACAAATTGACACTAAAACAGTTTTTTCATCAATTTAACTTTTAGGTGTATTGAAAAAGCAAATTTAAATGCATTACAAATATGGCATCTTGCATTTCATTAATTACAGAGGAGAGAACAGGCAAGAAAGATAAGTAAAGTAAGTTAGAGTCGATTATGAGGTTTGCATTGATGTCAGCTTGGTAAGGAATATTTTGAAGTCTCATATTTTGCTCCTATTTACAAAATACTTATGAATTCCTGGATTTAATTTCTATTTACAAAGTTCATATATTAGCTTGATTTTTATAGACTGGAATTTGTTAAGCAGTATGTAAATGATTGTTAGTATTGCTTAAGGTAAATTTTTCTATTGTTTTGTCTGCTTTGAGCAAAAAATTGTCAAAATCGCAGATTATGTCAACTCGAGAATTTCGAGGCATCAACTTAAAAAATTAAAAAGAAATGATTGATTCTGTTATTGAAGATCGAATATAAGTTCATATGCATACTATCTCTGATTAAAATTTTGCTTTTTGTAAAATCGTATATTTCTGTTATTCCATCAGGATATAGATTTCCAAGTTTTATTGTTCAGTTTGTCTGGAAATCCTGAATTGATTTTCGAAATATAGATATATTTATTTATTTATTTAAATATTAGTACATACTTGTATATATAGTGTTTATATATAGTATACTATACATGTACTGGTATGTCTTTAAATGGTTAGGCAAAATGTGTACATGTAATTTTCCATCTTCCAAGTGTTGTCCTAAAATTATTTTTAACACAATCTTTTTCTTTGAATAGATAATTTTTAAAATATAGAGATATTGGATAAAACTTTATATGCTAGTGTTTTTAAAAGTCTTTGTTTGGTATAACCTGTAGAGCTGTGTATAATTTTCAGTTATAAGTAAAGTTTATTTAGTTTTCTTTGGTACAGTATTGTTTTATGCTTGTCAAGGTATTTTTTTATGTTACAAACTTTGAATTAATATTCTCTTTAGACAAGGACAGTCCAAGGAAGAAAACTTCCAATAGTAAGTCACAATATGATAATAGCTTGTATGTAATGTTGGAGAAAGATTTGTCCATGAATAATAACCTTGCTTTATTTTATCAAGGTTTCAGACAAATGTTCACTAAGTCAATTAAAAACGATGATAAAAGAAACCCACCTACTTATTTTCTCTCTTATTCATTTAATATCTACCAATAGAGTTAAGTTGACAAAAAACATTTGTAAGTATTCATAGATTTGAAGAAAAGTAATTTTAATTTGAACTTGAATCACTTTATTTTATTATTCTTTGATTTTGTCTTTAACCAAAGAAAGTGATCCCAGATCGTGGTGTAATCAGGAAACTTCCACCAGGAGCAGTGAAAATCACTTTTCAAAGGGTATTACAATTGATTGTGATAAATTGTTCTTTTCTTTTTCATCCTATTTCTTGCAGTTGATTTTACTGAAAAGATCTTTTATGAAACCCTTTGAGATAAATACATTTCAAGAAAAAACTTATTGATAATCGATGTTGAAAGATGTAAAATGTAAATAACAGCTCATGCATTCATCTGTCTTACATGGCGATGGACTCTGATGAGAAATAAATCAGCATTACATTGTTTAATGTTTAATTAGAATACTGAAATATCTGTACTTATAAAACAATATCAAATGTTCTGAATCCAGAAAATACAGATCAAGCGATCAACAGTGAAATTAAACGAATTTCAAATCCTTGGTATTAAAGGCAACAAGAATAACATTAAATAAAACCAGCTTAATTAATATTGTATTTTGTGATTTAGAAATTAGTTGAAAAGCTGAAGAGGATAACTGACAAGTACAACCAAGTCAAAGAAAAGGCACTGAACATGGAGGAAAAGGTGTTAAAGGAAATCGTAAATGAATAAATAAGCAGATATTAAGAACATAAAACAAATATCTACTACTATAAATGCACACACAAAAATTAATTTATGTTTTCTTTATAAAATATTAGCTAAAAGAGAAGGTACAGGAGAGAAAAGTAATTTCTACCTTACCAACAAAAACGATTAAGGTTAGACACACATCTAAAAACAAATTAACATGCAGTGTTTTATCATGCGAACTAGTACATGTTTCTTTGTGATGAAATACTTTGTGATGTGTAGGAAAAGAAAACTGTAATGAAGGATAAGAAGAAACTGGAAAGAAAAATAAAGAGAATCAAAAAAATTTGCAGAATAACTAGAAAGGAATTAAGAAGAATTCAAGAAAGGGTAAACTTTCATCCATGTCTCAATTTTGTTCTAATTTCGTAAAAAAAAAGATAAATATATAAAATATACCGTTTTGTACCTTGTCGTTTTAGAGGAGAAAATTGCAAGAAGAGATGTACAAGGTTAGTAAAACTGTGAGTCGGGGGAATTTGTGCCATGATTTTATATTCATATATAATTTTCCAGTAAAAGTAAATAATTTAATTCTGGGTGTAACGATGTATTTGATTGGATAAAAAATTATTTTATATCGTATAAAATGGGTTGCCTACGTCACAATGACTTGCGTCAAAAACGTATCAATCCGCCTGACGTTACATTCAAATTTTGTACAAATTGAAGTCAATTTGTTAGAACAGTCATCTTTATTTCTTACATCAAATGAATAAAAATTAAATTGTAAGCAATGAATTTAATAGCTATCCATTTTATACGGTATAAACTGGGTTGGAACAGTTTACGCTTTTTACCGCTTCGCGGTTTATAAAGCGTAAACTGACCCAACCCAGTTTATACCGTATAAAATGGGTAGCCATTAAATTCATTTCTTAAATGTAAGAACATTGGAACCTTGGTGTCCTAATGTGAATGATTTCTTTATGTTTTTACAGTATGTCTCTTTAATTTTCTTATTTGTTACAAATAATAGTAAACAACCATTAACCATTTGTAAAAATAAAAAACAGAAATTTACAAAAGAATAGACCATCTAAATACCTCTAAACTTATTCAACCAAATTATTGATACTACGCACAAATGGGTTTTTCTACAAAAGTTTAGTGAATTACACGAGGTATTTCATATTATTTTATTTATATGTGTGTGTGTTTTTTAAATAAGATCGTGTGATAAGTTGTTTCGAAGTTTTAAATTTTTTTGTGATCAACTAAGTAAACATAATGTGAAACTAAAAGAAATGTGACATCATGCATTCCTTTTATTACAGAGGAGGAAAAAGGCAAGAAAGATAAGTAAAGTAAGTAAGAGTTGATTATGAGGTTTACATAGATGCCAGCTTGGAAATGATTACTGCTACAATACCCCTTTTTCACTTCTATTTACAAAATACCTAGGAAGGCTCATGATTTATTTTTATTTATAAAGTTTATATATAAGCTTGCTTTTTGTGGACTGGAAGTAATGTTAAGCATTGGTTAAATAATTCTTAGAACTGCTTATGGTAATCTTTTCAATTGTTTTGATTGAATTGAGCCAAAAATTGCCAAAATCGCAGATGATGTCAATTCTTGAATTTCGAGGCATCAAACTCAAAAATTAAAAGAAATGATTGATTTTATTATTGGTCATCGAATGTTCATACACTATGCCTGATTCAGCTTTAATTTCTGTATTATAGCTTGATACGATAAAAATTTCCATGTTTTATTGTTCACCTTTTCTAGAAATCATTAATGGGTTTTTGAAATATAGATATATTTGTTTTAACCCCCTTCCCCGCAGTCACGCATTTTAACGCATATACGATTTCCTATTTCTAACGCAAAATCACGCATATACCGTTTCCCCGCAATCACGCATTTTCACGCACTTTAAAAAGTTCATTTAATCGTTAATTTAATGCCAATTTACTTATATTTTATACTTGCAAAAATCTCATGAAAGAAGACAAGTTATTTTATTATTAAGATATAGCGTCATAATATTATTTACGCTAGACTTTAGAGAAACGTGTACCACGCTAGAAGGTGCTTGCGGGGAAATGGTAAATTTCTTTTTCTATGACGTGAACATTTATTGTATGTTGCATAATAGTCAAGTAAGTTGTAAAGAGTTGACATGGATTTAAGCAAGTTTTAAGCTCTACTGGTCAGAGACCAGAAGAGCTTATGCGGTAGTAAATGCGTCCGGCGGCTGTCCGTCCATCTGTCTGTCTGTAAACAATTTTTCAAAATGCTTTGGATACAAGTAGACTAAACTAAGGTACACATAATTTTCTGTATCGGTTTTTGATTTCGGTGAATGGTGTTGCCGTGGTTATTAAACATAGAACTTTCTGTGAAATACTTTGAAAATACTACATCTCCTACAGTTTTGTTCTGATTTCAATATAATTTTGCACAGAAGTAGACTACAATAAGATACACAATTCTATTTATAATATTTTGATTTCGATGAACATTATTGCCATGGTTACTAAAGATAGAAATTTCTGTAAAATACTATCAAAATGCTACCCCAAATGCAGTTTTAGTCTGATTATAATAAAAATAGGCATGCAAGCAGACTACACTAAGAACATAAAGAGACTTTATCAAGGATCATTATTCTATTTATCGCTGTTGTAAAGTTTCAATTCCCAACTGCTACTTTTCTCTTCCTTTGCTATAAGTAAAAACCAATAGAGCTTCAGTCTCGACAGAGACTTCTGGTTATATAAATATTATCAACTTAAAAACAAAGACTCATGTACGATTCATGATTTATTTGTTATTGTTTTTATAAAGAATATTACAGTAAGTTGAAATTGTAAATTATGTTACCTCTGATAAAGCTTTACGTACGTGTGTAGTATACCCCAAAACATGATTCTGATATGTCTTTTAAATGCAAATGCAAACTTTATGGCTTTATGTTATTTTCCATCTTTCAAGTGTTGTCTTATAAGTATTTTTATCTTACTCTCTTTTTAGGTCACCTGAGTAACCGTTTTTGTCCGTTGTTGTGCGTCGTTTGTTGTGCGCCGTGTGTTAATATTTGAACATTTTCAGCTTCTTCTCTGCAACCACTCAACCAATTTCCACCAAATTTTACATAAATGATCTATGGGTGAAGTGGAACTAACATTGTGAATTTCATGGTCCCTGCTACCCTGGGGTGGGCCAAAACCACTAAAATTAGTGCAATCTTTAAAAATCTTATTTACTCTTGGACATCAAGCAGTCAAACTGTTAGGATGAATGTAATGATCATTGAGTCCTCTACCAAAATTGTGAAATTCATGGCCCCAGGGTCAGGGGTTCTAGTGCTAGGGCGGGGCTCTATTGATTACCCGGTATTAGGTCACCTGAGTAAACTCAGGTGACTTATTGCTATCCTTTTTCGTCCGTCGTCGTGCATCGTGTGTCACGTGTTAACATTTGAACATTTTCAGCTTCTTCTCTGAAACCACTGAATCTATTTCAACCAATTTTGGCATACAGGATCTATGGGCGAAGGGGAACAAAAATTGTGAATTTCATGGTCCCTGCCCCCTTAGGGCCTTGGGGGTTGGGCCAAAACCACTAAAATTAGTGCAATCTTTAAAAATCTTTTTCTTTACTCCTGGACATCAAGCAGTCAAACTGTTGGTATGAATGTAATCAACATTGAGTCCTCTACCGAAATTGTGAAATTCATGGCCCCAGGGTCAGGGGTTCTAGTGCTAGGGCGGGGCTCTATTGATTATTCAGTGAAATTGCTGAATATTACTGATTAGTCGAAATGCATTTTTTTTCCACTACTCTGTCTATGGGTATTAAGTAACCAAACTAAACATGCTAAGTGTATAGTTATGATTAGCAATGGTGCCTCTTTCAAAATTGTGAATGCCATGATGTCTAGTTTAAAACATGAACCAAAGTCAATTGTTGTAAAGTTGTTGCATGATGCTCAGGTGACCTATAAGGCCCATGGGCCTATTGTTATAGTTTATTTTGAAAATCTAGATTTTGGAAAATCTTATTTGCTATTGTTTTTAAAAACTCTAAATCTGAAGAGCTGTGTACAATTTTCAGTCATGAGCAGAAAATTTATTTTGTTTCATTCAGTACAATTTTGTTTTATTTTTGTCAAAGGTTTTTTTTTTATGTTACAAACTTTGAATTAATCTTCTCTTTAGACAAAGACAGTCAAAGGAAGGAAACTTCCAATAGTAAGTCACAATATGATAATATCTTGTATGTAATTTTGGAGAAAGATTCGTCCTTAAATGAATAATGACCTTTATATATTTTATCAAGGTTACAGAAAAATGTTTCCAAATTCAATAAAGTCAAGTGAAGAGAAAAAACACCTACTCATTTTCTCTAAATTATTCAATTCCTATCTACCAGTGTAGTGAAATTGGCTAAAATCATATGTAAAAATTTATAGATTTGCAGTCAATAAATTGTAATTTTGAATTAAAATAATTTATTATTCCTTGATTTTGTCTTTAACCAAAGAAAGTGGTCCCAGATCGAGGTTTTATTAGGAAACTTCCACCAGGAGCAGTGAAAATCACCTTTAAAAGGGTATAACACTTGACTATGATAAATTATTCTTTTCTTTTTCATCCTATTTCTTGCAGTTGATTTGACTGAAAAAAAACTTTTACGAAAACCTTTGAGATAAAAACATTATAGAAGACAAACTCAAGAAAAGATTTATTCATACCTCATGTTGAATGATTTACAATTTATAGAACAGCACATGCATTTGACTGTCTTGTATGCTGATCTTTAATTGATGTTTAATTAGAATACTATTAGATTGAAATCTCTGTATTTATTAAACAATATATGATACTCAGAATCCAGTAAAAAAAGTCAAGGCTCTTGACAGCGAAATGAAAATGAATTTTAAATCATTCGATAAAAGTGAACAAGAATAACATTGAATAAAATCAGCTTAATTAATGTTGTATTTTGTGTTTTAGAAAATAGTTGAAAAGCTGAAGAGGATAACTGACAAGTACAAACAAGTCAAAGAAAAGGCACTGAAAATGAAGGAAAAGGTATTGAAGGAAGTACATGTAATATTATGAGTTTATGAAGCTTAGATCTGCTACTAGAAATGCAAAAAAAAATATCTAAATATGTTTCTTTATAAAATGTTAGCTAAAAGAGAAACTACAGGAGAGAAAAGAAATCTCTACCTTACCAACAAAAACCACTAAGGTAAGTCACACATCTTAAACAGGTTAATTTTATGCTTCTTAAATGAACTATCCAAGTACATTGCTTAATTAACTACTTTATTACTTCTTAATTAACTTACTGTAACAGAGGATGAACTAGTAGATGTTCCTTTATTAATGAAATACTTTGTGAAATGTAGGAAAAGAAAACTGTAAAGAAAAGTAAGAAGAAACTGGAAAGAAGAATAAAAAGAATCAGAAAGATTTGCAGAATAACTAGAAAGGAATTAAGAAGAATTCAAGAAAGGGTAAACTTTTATCTATGCTTAAATTTTGTTCTTTTTTTTTTATAAGATTAATATCAGATAATATTGAATGTCTTTTTGTTGTTTTAGAGGAGAAAATTGCTAAAAGAGATGAACAAGGTAAGAAAAAGTGTTAAGGAAAATAATTTGTGCATAAGTTTTTGATTAATATACAGTGTATCCCTTAAATTCTAAGAAAGAACAAGCTTTTTATTTTCATAATATGAATGCTTTTTTCTTGAATTTCCTTCAAATTTTCTTATTTTAATAACGTTTTAATTTTACCAAAATAAGATATATTAGTGATAAATTTACCAATAATGAATGAGATTTTAAAATTTTGTGGTCAACTATGACACAAATTGAAATTTAAAAAGTTTTGTTCATCAATCTTACTTTTAAGTATAAGGAAAAAGCAAATGTAACAGCAATTACAAAAATGACATCTTCCATTTCATTAATTACAGAGGAGGGAACAGGCAAGAAAGATAAGTAAAGTAAGTATGAGTCAATTATGAGGTTTGCATTGCAGCCAGATTGGGAATTTGTACAATACCCTTTTTAAACTTACATTTACAAAAATCATATAAAGTTTGCTTATTGTAGACTCGAATTTGTAAAGCATTGATTAAATAATTGATAAATCGCAAATTATGTTGATTCTCAAATTTCGTGGTATCAACTTCAAAGATTAAAAGAAAGGATTGTTTCTGTTATTGAAGAAAGAAATTTAGTATCTTTGTTTATACACTATCTCTGATTCAAATTTTAATTTCTATAAAACTTGATACAATCGAATATTACTGTTATTACATCAGGGTATAGATTCCCAAGCTTTTTTGTTCAGTTTTTCTGAAAATCATAATTGGTTTTTGAAATACATTTGTTAATTTTTTTTTTATGCTTGGATTTGAGCAAATCCTGATGCAAACAATATCTACTTAAAATCAAAAACATATGTGCACAATCCATAATTTATTTGTTATTGCTCTTATATAGAATATTACAATAAGTTGAAATTGTTACTATATGATACCTCTGCTAAAGCTTTACGTGCATGTGTAGTAAACCCTGATAAATGATTCTTATATGTCTTCAAATGGGAATAGACAGTGTGTATGTTATTTTATGTATCGAATGTTGTTCTTAAAGTTATATTAACATTCTTTTTTTCTTTTTATAGTTTAGTGCACACTTTTTAGCTACATTTAGTGATCAGAAAGTTTATTTTGTTTCCTTTAGTACAATATTGTTTTTTGTACCTGTTTTGTATTGGTCACAGTATCTTTTTTATATTGCAAACTTCTCTTCAGACAAAGACATTAGAAGGAAGAAAACTTCAAATAGTAAGTCACAATATGGCTTTGTATAGTTTACATGTAATTTTGGAGCAAGATTCGTCCTAATAGGAATAATGACCTTGATTTATTTCATCAAGGTCACAGAAAAATGTTCACAAAATCAATTAAAAGTAACAATAAAAAACACCTACTTAATTTCTCTTTTGATAATTTATTTCATATCTACCAATTTAGCTAAGTTGACTTTAAACATATTTAAGTATTTATAAATTTGAAAAAAAATCATTTTGATATTGAATTACATGTAATAATATTTTATTATTCTTTGATTTTGTATTTAACCAAAGAAAGTGATCACAGATCGTGGTGTAATCAGGAAACTTCCACCAGGAGCTGTGAAAGTCACTTTTCAAAAGGTATTCGATTGACTATGTTTAACTGATCTTTTCCTTTTTCATCCTATTTCTTGCAGTTGATTTGACCGAAAAGACCTTTTATAAAAATCGTTGTGATATATACATAATAGAATTCAATTTGAAGAAAAGACTGAAATATTGAAGCTTTATATCGAATGATTTAAAATGTTTGAAACAGCCAATGCTTTGCCTGTCTTGTAAGGTGATAGACTATGATGAGGATTAAATCAGCACTAAAGTGTTAAGGTATCCGACCCATATTAGGACCCAAATTTCTAACCTTAAATATCAATTGTTTGTAAAATATCCTGATATTATTTTAAAGTATTTTAAAGTAAAAAGGGATTTACCAAGAGAAATTTTCAAAAATTTATTTACCTAAGCAGAAATCAATTATTGAAGATTGCATTGAAGTATATGGAAGGAAGTAAGTTTTTCAAGATAAAAAAATAAAAACTTCAAATATCAGAAAATGCTGTGGTGGAAAGATGAACTTGATCATTGGGAATAGAAAAACAATTAGAAATAATTTTTTTACTAGACAGATTTTTTTAAAATTAAGTTTTATTGAGTAAAATCAAAGGGAGATAATTCGTCAAGGGCAGGAAAAGGTCATAAATTAGGACATGGACACTCTAACATTCTTATACTAAAAGATGAAAATTAGTTCTAACTACACTAAGTATTCGGCCCATACATATCTATTATATATTCAATCCCATTGAATCGGGATTAATATGGATCAGATACCTTAAATGTTTAATTGGAATAATATTAGATTGAAATCTCTATATTTATTAACCAAAATCAAATACTCAGAATTTAGAAAATACAGATCAAGCTTCTCAACAGTGAATTAACAATGAATGTTTTAAATTCTTGGTAGTAAAGTGAACAAAAAAAAAACATTTAATAAAACCAGCTTAATTAATGTTGTATTTTGTGTTTTAGAAGTTAGTTGAAAAGCTGAAGAGGATAACTGACAAGTACAAACATGTCAAAGAAAAGGCTCTGAAAATGAAGGAAAAGGTATTGAAGAAAATCATGTATCAGTAAATGAGCAGATAATAAGAAGATAAAACAAAGATCTACCACTAGAAAGGCAAGACACAAAAATATAATTTATGTTTTCTTTATAAAATGTCAGCTAAAAGAGAAACTACAGGAGAGAAAAGAAATCTCTACATTACCAACAAAAACCTCTAAGGTAAGTCACACATCTAAACAGTTTAGTTTTATGCTTCTTAAATGAACAATTCAGGTACAAATCTATTTCTCAATAAACATACAGTGTTTTATTGGCAAAAACAATCTGTGAATTTCTTTTATTTTATTTGAAAAATATAATGAAATGTAGGAAAAGAAAACTGTAAAGAAGGGTAAGAAGAAACTGGAAAGAAAAATAAAGAGAATCAGAAAGATTTGCAGAATAACTAGAAAGGAATTAAGAAGAATTCAAGAAAAGGTAAACTTTCATCCATGTTTCAGTTTTGTTCTATTTTTGTAAGAAGATTGATACAAAATAAAAAATTATGTACCTTGTTGTTTTAGAGGAGAAAATTGTTAGAAGAAATGTACAAGGTACGTAAAATGTGATTGGGGGAATTTTTGCAATATTTTTTTTCTTTTTATAAGATTTATATGAATAAATAATCATTATCAATGTACTTTGTCGTTGTAGAGGAGAAAACTGATATATGAAATGTACAAGGTAGGTAAAATATGTGTATTTGTGCAGCAACTTTTGATTAAATAATATACAGTTTATCACTTAAATTGAAAGAAAAAACATAGGATTCTTACTTTTTTAATTTGAATGCTTTTCTTCAGGTATGTCCTTTTCATTTTCTTATTGGTAACAATAGTTTTTATTTTGCCGAAATAGGATCTGTTAGTAATAAGTTTTACCTTGGAATAATGAATTAGCTTTTAAAATTTTGTTGTCAATCAGGAAAATCAGAAAAACACAAAATGAAACTAAAATGGTTTTATTCATCAATTAAGCTTTTAGTATATTGAAAAAGCAGATGTAAATGCAATTACAAATACAACATCTTGCATTTCATTTTTTACAGAGGAGGAAAAAGGCAAGAAAGATAAGTAAAGTAAGTAAGAGTTGATTATGAGGTTTGCATTGATGTCAGTTTTGGAAGGGAAAATTATGAATTCTCGTTTTTACTCCTATATACAAAATACCTATGAATGCTTGTATTTTAATTCTATTTACAAAGTCCATATATAAGCTTGATTTTTATAGACTGGAAGTTGTTAAGCATTGGTAAAATAATTTGTTAGTATTGCTTACCCCAGATAGCAGAATGTTATTGGACCTTTGTTGGGCCAACAATGCTCCTTATGTTGGGCCACCGTTTGCATTCAACATTGGGCCATCGGTAATTTGCTCATCGGCCCTTAATCAAACCAACTTGTTGGCTCATTATTGGGCCAATGCAACAGTTAATATTGGGCCACTGTTGGGCCGATGTATTATTTCAATATTGGGCAAACGTCATTTTTGTACAATTGGGCCATTGTAAGCTATGAATATTGGGCCAACGGTAATTTGCTCATCGGCCCTTAATCAAACCAACTTGTTGGCTTTTTGTTGGGCCAATGTATCAGTTAATATAAGGCCACTGTTGGGCCAATGTATTTTTTTCAATGTTGGGCAAACATCATTTTTGTACAGTTGGGCCATTGTAAGCAATTAATGTTGGGCCAACGGTAATTTGCTCATCGGCCCTTAAACAAACCAACTTGTTGGCTTTTTGTTGGGCCAATGTAACAGTTAATATTAGGCCACTGTTGGGCCAATGTATTTTTTTCAATGTTGGGCAAACGCCATTTTTGTACAGTTGGGCCATTGTTAGCAATTAATGTTGGGCCAACGGTAATTTGCTCATCGGCCCTTAATCAGACCAACTTGTTTGCTTATTGTTGTACCAACGAACGGATATTATTGAGCCATTGTTGGGCCACTTATTCTTTCAATATTAGGAAAACATCAATTTTAGGCCAACGTTAGTTTGTATCTTATTGGCTCTCCATTATGACAACTCATTTGCTCTTGATTGCTGGCCATTTGTCCTCAAAATTGACAAACAAATATATACAATAAGGTTGTACTAGTTTTGTAGTACAGTTTAATGGTAAAAGTCCTTTAATACTATCTATATATGCTATATATGCTAGATTATTAGTTTAAGGAGGCTGGTGGGTCAACAAATTAATCCCAAATTAGCCACCAGATTTAACTTAACTTTTTAGATACGGTATCTTTAGCTGTCAACTATCATTTGACAAAGAACAAATTCATACATTTTAGTTTAAAAATTTGATCATTTTTGTATATCTTTATATGGAGCTCTCCTTTTAAAGGAGATTGAAATAGTGTAAAAATGGCTGCCACCCCCCAGCCTCTTTAATACATATTCTCAATACTAGTATCTCATAGAATTGCCATCAACAAGCATTGCATTGTAAGTAGCTCTACATTAATTAAAAAACTGATGAAAAAGAAATCAAAATATAAAATTAAATTACAACATACTATAATTTTATTGCTCAGTGCATGAAGAAAACATTTAAGAACTAAAAGTTGGTGTTCACTTCAAGCGATACATGTAGGGTTACATGACTGTATACTAGCTCCCTCTCTGCTGTAAATTGATGCAAAAGTTAAGTAAATTACAAGTATCAATAAGCACGTCTAACAAATAATCCAAACCCTCATGTTCTTAAAATAATACTAAAATGAATCCCGTCATTTTGATTACTTACACAAAAATGTTTCTGGCATCTGCATCGTGTTTGTAACCGACAAAAAGACACAGAAAAGGGTAGAACTACAGGTATGTCACACTATATTACAGAAAAAAAGTTAGGCACTGCCACTTTCCATCTGATCCCTCTCCTAAGTCTTCTCTTCTCTCTCCTGAGTCTCCTCCTCCCCCTTCTTTTCTTCTCTGTCTGTTTCTCCCTCCCCCATATCCCTGTCCATGGCATACCTTAGCTATTCTTTGATTGTGTTCTCATTGTCTTTTTAGAATCTCCAGTAGCACTAAAATTGTAGTATTTGGTACTTAATACATTTGTTACTTTTTCAGTAAAAAGTAAACATACGATTAAATTTATAAGTATATCACTATATGTTTAAGCTGTCAATTAAGGAATAACCGTCTTTTTTATTTCATGGTGTGATTAAGTGATAAGCTTGCGTGATGAAGGCATTTATGCATAACATTTCTACGCTTGATCATCATCATCACAACGATTTTGATTCAATGTTGCCCCATATAAAATTCATGTATTGAAAATTTGTCGTTACACTGAACAAATTTTAAATGAAAGAACCCAATTTATGTTTAGTACTGAATTAATTTTGTTTTAACTTCAACAAGTTCAACATTTTCAAAATGTTTGATCATGTACTTGACGTTAAGTGTATATAAGTAAATTAAGTGGTAGACTTCTGAAATGCATTCTACTAGACACAAATTTCAATATAAATAAGGGGCAAATTATTCATTGTTTAAACCGTATCAAAACACGTTTGTTATTTTATACTTTCATTTATTTTTCTTGTATAGAAACAAAAACATTTAATCACTGATAATTTATTTGGTTTTGATAAATTATAAGAATTTTAAAATTTATTTTAGCTAGCTTGTATTTTCAAGTAGGATTGGTTGTAGATTTATTTCTGATTGTAGAGACAATCAGATTTGTTAATATACAGATTTGTAACAATTAAATATTTATACACATTGGCCCAATGTTGGTCCAATATATTGGGCCAACATTGGGCCAAGAAAGAAAATGACACTGGACCAACGTCATTTGCCAACATCGGCCCAATGTTCTTGTTGACGTTTCGCCAACAATGTCGCATTCATTGGGCCGATGTTGGTGCAACGTTGGGCCAATATCTGTAGAAAAAACACTCTACATTGGGCCAACGTTGGCCCAACATATTGGGCTAACATTGGGCCGATGAGCAAACTTAAATTGGGTCAATGTCATTTGCCAACATTGGCCCGATGTAACCAATTACATTGGCCCAACGTTGGCCCAATGTTAGCATTCTATCTGGGGTATAGTGTTGACCCAACAGCACCTGGCCTCTGCACTTCCCCGTGTCTGATTTACACAGATTTGTACATAATATCGTTTAAAAACTAAACGTTAATTCAGCTGTGCCGAGGCAAACATATTATAAATACTTACAAAGTGGTTGCAGATATATGCAAGGTATCAGTCTCATTACGCTCGCTCGTGTCAGATAAAAAATGGCGCGGATATTACAAGTAGCCCGGTTGTTGTCTACCCATGATGCTCAGTCAGATTCATGGTATATTGGGCCAACGTAGGGCCGATGCCAATCCCCAAACAAACATTTTCATGATAATAGTTTTATGATATCATGTCAACAGTTAGCCCAACATTAGCGCACCATTATACATAACCAGCTATCAATATTCCATGTTGGGCCATTGTTGGCCCAATCAAGGTAACCCAACAGAATAGAAACATAATGTAAGATTTGGCAAACGATGTTCTGCTATCTGGGAATTATTATAAATAAATAAGCATAAACACAATTTCAAAAAATAGAATAAAACACTCTTTGGTGCTGTGATCACTTAAGTGCAAATATATAGATTAAAATTTTGAAAATATATCTAAACAAAAGCAGGCATCCAATGATAAGCATGGACAAAGAAAGTCTTCTTAATTATTTCAGAATGTGCCAATGTTGTCCAAACGTAAAGCTCAGAAGCTAATTATAAAATTAACACCATCAATTAGCTGGCAGTATAATAATTGGACCAACGTTGGCCCAATATAAATATCTCATCTTTAAAACACCTAAACAAAATAACACTCTTGTGTATTACTAATATTGTGCCAACATTGGGCCAACATAATACTACCAACTTGATAAGACATTTTCTTTAAGGGTGTATTACAAATATTGTGCCAACATTGGGTCAACATAATACTACCAACTTGATAAGACACTTTCTTTAAGGGTGTATTACAAATATTGTGCCAATATTGGGCCAACAAAATACTACCAAGTTGATAAGACATTTTCTTTAAGGGTGTATTACTAACATTGGTCCAACGTTGGGCCAACATATTACTACCAACTTGATAAGACACATTCTTTAAGGGTGTATTACAAACAATAGGCCAACGTTGGGCCAACATAATACTACCAACTTGATAAGACACGTTCTTTAAGGGTGTATTACAAACAATGGGCCAACGTTGGGCCAACATATTACTACCAACTTTATAAAACACATTCTTTAAGGGTGAATGACAAACAATGGGCGAACGTTGGGCCAACATTTTACTACCAACTTGATAAGACACATTCTTTTAGGGTGTATTACGAACAATGGGCTAACGTTTGGCCAACATACTACTACCAACTTGATGGAACACATTCATAAATGGTGTATTACAAACAATGGGCCAACGTTGGGTCAACATATTACTACCAACTTGATAGGACACGTTCTTTAAGGGCGTATAACTAACAATGGGCCAACATTGGGCCAACATAATACTACCAACTTGTATATACACTTTTCTTTAAGGGTGTATTTTAAACATTGGTCCAACATTGGGCCAACATATTACTACCAACCTGATAAGACACATTCTTTAAGGATGTATTACAAACAATGGGCCAACGTTGGG